AATAGTAGAACTTCTCTTTGGAAGTGCTTTTGTAAAAACATATGCAATCTGCTCATTAGTACCACAAATTTCAGTTCAATCTCTCCGTCTTCAACCAATTTTCTAATAAAATGATGACGAAGTTCTATGTGCTTTGACCTGCTATGAAAGACTGGGTTCTTTGTCATGGCAATTGTGGACATGTTATCACAGTACAATTTGTTGGAGTGTTTTGTTCTTGACGAAGATCTACTAATATTCTTCTAATCCAAACTGCTTCACATGCTGCACTTGTGGCTGAAATATACTCTGCTTCGGCTGTTGATAATGCCACTGTACTTTGCTTCTTCGATGACCATGATATAACTTTACTTCCCAAGAAAAACACATGTCCAGAATTGCTCTTTCTATCATCAATTGCACCTGCCCAGTCACTGTCTGTGTAGCCAACTAACTGTGCTTTCTCTCTCTTGTGTATATCTAATACCATATCCCTTGGTTCCTTGAATGTATCTGAGTATTCTTTTTACTGCAACAAAATGGTGATTACTTGGATCACTCATGAATCTAGATACCACACTTACAACATGAACAATATCTGGCCTTGTATTTGTAAGATAAATTAATGAACCAACCACAGTTCTATATATGGATGCATCAAACTTAGGTGCTCCATCGTTACTTGTAAGCTTCAAATTAATTGCCATTGGAGTATCCATTGGCTTGCTCTTCAACATTTTGAATTTTTCAACAGATTTTCAGCATACTTCTCTTGAGAAATAAATATTCCCTCATCTGATTGTTGAACCTGTATACCAAGAAAATATCTCATAGTGCCTAAATCTGTCATCTCATATTCCTTCATCATGTTCTTCTTGAAAACTTCTGCCATCCTTGGATTTGTGCTTGTATAAATCAAATCATCAACATATATAGAGGCACAAAATCAGAAAATCGTGTGTACCTTCTTTCTTGAGATAAAGTGATGGCTCATTAAGCTTCTTGTAAATCCATTTTGCTGAAAATATTGATCAATTTTGTTGTTCCAGGCTCTTGGCGCTTGCTTTAAGCCATATAAGGCTTTACGGAGGCGATAAACTTTATCTTCCCTCCCTTTCTCAACATAACCTTGAGGTTGCTCCACATAAACCTCTTCTTCAAGTTCTCCATTTAAAATGCAGATTTGACATCCAATTGATAAACTTTTGTCTTCAGTTGAGCAGCTAAAGCCAAAATAGTTCTTATAGTTTCCATTCGAACTACTGGAGTAAACGTCTCATTAAAATCAATTCCTGGTTGTTGAGAATATCCTTTTGCAACCAAGCGAGCCTTATGCTTTTGGATTGAGCCATCTTCATTAAACTTTGTCTTGTAGACCCATTAAGTCCAATGATATCTTTTGATTTGGGTCGATCAACAAGTTCCCATGTTCTATTTTTCTTGATAACTCTTATTTCCTCATCCATTGCATCTTGCCAAATATTTTCTTTACAGCTTCCTCAAATTTTGAGGCTCCAAAGCACTCAAAGCAAGATCACATGACTCATATATGTCTACCAATGAACGTGTTCTTGCGTTTAGTCTAGGAGTTGAATCTGGTGAACTAGGATCAGATGTTCTTGCACTTGGAATTGGACTTTGAAGGAACTAAGTTTCTTCTGAATGTGATGAATTTGGTTCCTCAAAAATCTTGGCACTTCAATATCACAATTCTCCCATTTCCAAGCTTTGAGTTCATAAAAAATAACATCTCTAGAAATTACCAAACTTTTGGTTCTTGGATCAATTAATCTATAAGCTTTGGACTGATCACTATATCCCACAAAAATATATTTCTCACCTTTCTCATCAAATTTTTCTCTCTTTTGAGAAGGGATATGTGCATATGCAGTGCACCCAAAAATCTTGAAGAAATCCACCTTTGGTTTAAAACAATGCCATGCTTCAAAAGGAGTCTTATCTTTGACTGCTTTGGTTGGAGACCGATTAAGAATAAAAATGCTGTATGAATTGCTTCAGCCCAAAATGTATTTGGCAGACTCTTTGCTTTCAACATGCTTCTTGCCATCTCGACAATGGTTCGATTTCTTCGTTCGGCAACTCCGTTTTGCTGTGGGGTGTACCTTGCTGTCAACTCTCTTTTAATACCATTGCTTTTGCAATATTCAGAAAATTCATTTGATATAAACTCTCCACCACGATCTGTTCTTAACACCTTCAAATTGTGACCACTTTGATTTTCTCCAAAAGCTTTGAATTGCTTGAAAATAGAAAATGCTTCTGACTTTTGTTCCAAGAAATATACCCACATCATCCTTGAGAAATCATCTACGAATAGAATGAAGTACCTTTGTTATTGAAGGATGGTGTACGAGTTGGTCCGCAAATATCTGCATGTACCAATTCAAGAGGGGCTTTTGCTCTCCAAGATGATTGTGAGAATGGTAATCGATGGAATTTTCCAAAGATACAATCCTCACATATTTCCTTTTCAGAGTGAATAGAGGGAAGTCCAACCACCATATTTTTCTGGTGTAACAGCTGCAGGCTTCTTTGATTCAAATGCCCATATCTTAAATGCCATAACAACGATCCATCAACTTTTTCTGCTTCTAAAGCAAAGTTTTCCTTTGATGTCATCAACAGCGGAAAAACTTTGTTTGCTGTCATTTTTATCTTTGCCACCAGAGTGTTATTCTTTTTATCAGAAATAACACAATAATCATCTTCAAATTTCACCAAGAATCCTCTTTGCAAAAGTTGTCCCACACTTAGTAAATTTTGAGATATATACAACAGCCTATAACGTTGGCTATATATACAACAACCTATAACGTTGGCTATATATAATAGCACTCAGACCATTTCATAAACAAACATAACTCTTGGATTAGTTCCAAGAGTTGCAGACACAACTCCTGACTTCTAAAGAGACACAACTCTTCCTAAACATAACTTTTCATCAAGAGACACAACTCTTTACTTTAACAACTGATACAAATGCATTACGTTTAACACATATCACAGCAAGTACATAACTTAAGAAGAAATTTCAATGCAGAATTAGCTAGATGAAACTCAAGCTGCAGAAAGAAATCTTGTCCCAAAATGGGGAATGATGAGAAGAACAATGGAAATAACCAAAGAGGCATGGATGAATAGAAGGAGCCATTTAAGAAACTGGGAATGTTGGAATTTCATACCACAAAGCCAGTCCCTTAAGGTACCATTGGGCATGAACTCATAAACCAGCATCTGCACAAGCACCAAGAACATAATTTGACTAATGATATTTACATTCATGTGATTCTAATACATCGAAGCACTCAACCAGCATCTGCACAAAAAAACCAATTGCAACTTGGAAGCAATGACTAATTTCCCAAGACTGCAAACTGTTTGGGCCTAAAAATTGACACACCCAGCCCAGCGAAAAGAGGCCCAGAATAAGGCTGCAAAAAATCAAAGCAATTTGGTCTTCGAGAAACAGGAAGATGGAAGCCCAAACTCCAGAAAAGCCCCAGCCCAAAGCCTAAACTTGGGCCTCACGGGCCCATTGAGATAAAAAGGGGGAAGCCCAGAGACAGGAAACAAATCCCACGTGACATCTCTGGGATAAAGAAAAGTCAACAATGGCAACTGTCATGAAAGAAGTGATTGAAAAATTTATGTCATCAAGCTGTTCTGAAAACCCTAAAAATCTGAAGATCAAAATCCCTCTTACATATATATATTCAGAGATTTTTTCTTCTATTCTACAGAGAGGGTAATTCTCCCAAAGAGATAAGCAAGCTACAATCTCAGAGAGGGATAAGCAGGAAAGCAGGGAGCTGTCCAGAAAAGAAATCAAACTAACCATCACGGATGAAATCTCACAAGGGGCAGTTGAAATTGGGAAAAGAGATTAGGTTCTTTTTCAAGAAAAACAGGGAAGTGATTGCCTATTTGAAAGCCTATCTGCCAAACTGATGAAATCCTACTTTCTTTCTTTCCATTTAAAAAGAAAAAAAGGGAGATATCTTTTGAAAAGATTTGCCGCCCATTATTAAACAGAATCACCCTACTCCAGAAAAACATTTTACTATAATACAAGAAGGAGTGAACAGGGTAAGAGACAAAAAAAAATTCAACATCCAATCAAACAAAAATCTTGCACAAGGAAACCACCAGTCAGTCAGACAACTCAAAATCAACCAACAAGCCCACTTGAATTTCAAGTGAAACCAGCTTCAAATCAGAATTCCCAAGGCTCAGACTTAAGAAGTAAGTCATTCAAAACGAGATTTTTCTCGTTACAAATTTGGTTCAGCAAAAGAAACCAAGACAGGTAGAGCTTGAGCTTTCTCCAAATATGGAAAACCTCAACAAAATTCACAGTGCAGTCTCTAGCCCACTAAAGTCCTAAAAAACAGTCACTTCTGCCCGAGCAGACTGAGGAAACCGCAGTTCTACCCACTCAAAAGCTTCACAAAAGCTTGAGGTACGTTGAAGCTCTGCTAGAATCAACTTTTGGTATCGATTTACAGTTGAAACCTAACAGTCAAAGTTGTCAACAGTCTAGTCCAGCCCAGGCATTTTCAGTCCAGCCCGGATCAAAACCTTCCATCTGGACAGAAACGGAGTTCCAGCAGTCTCTTCATCTCTTTCTAGCATAAGCATTTATTGTTATATTTTTGTAAAAGGCAGTCCCGCCTAAAAATAGTTTAAATCCCATCAACCATTCTGACCAGAACAACCTCTTTATACTGAGATATATTGTTGAAGTCCTCAACAGTCTGAGGCAAGAAAAGAACTTACTTGGGAGATATTCCTCACCCAAATTCACAATCGCTTGTTTGCAGAAATCAGTAACTTGGGACGCAAGTTATCCACTCCAAACTAAGTCTGCTAGAATTTTTACTAGCAATGGCACGCTTGCACACCAAAGAAAGCTGACTTGTTGACCACTCTATGGTTCTCAAGGCAGTGGGAACTTCGCCCTTCCATCATAGGAGTAAACGCAAAACGGGTGAACACAAACCTCATACCTGCTCCCCTTCTTCATCACAATATCCCACCAAAGAGACCAAATTTCGGTGATGTAATCTCGATAACAGTTCTATCTCGGTCAAGAATTCTTTTTCACCCTGCAAGGATCCTTCTTCTGCACGCTTTATGGCTACAATTGTGTCATCAGATAAAATACCTCTGTAAACTTTCCCATAACCTCCTCGTCCAAGTTGAGTTGAACTATCAAAATTCCTGGTAGCTAGTGTCATTTCTTTGAAAGTGAACTCCTTTACGCCATCAATTTTCATTGTAATCTTCGAGGCTGCAAAGAGTGATAAGAACTTATACCACTTTCTAGGATGATAAACAACCTGATAGTATCTCCAAGTATTCAGGACTTACATGAATGTCTCCTAGAAGGTGGTCTGTCCCGGTGTCTCAAGCATCTTGTGATCAGAAGCATGACAGTTGCAGAAAGAATGACAAATGATGCAACTGCCCCTGTTATAATAGCTGCCAAAATTCCCTTCCTAATGCCCATCCTTCGTGGGTCAATGATCACTATAACAACAATATAAGTGAAGTTACCATGATGCAGAATGAAATTAAGAACAAGAACCCTGCACTAAACCTGATTCTAAAATAAAATTAAGAAACAGAAGAGTTATGTCATGCAGGAGGAACATTGACCAATATACTCATAGGCTGGTGCTGGTAGATGAGCAAATAGAAAAATGCAGCATAATTTCATAAATTAGACCAAAATGACTTGAAACGAAGATGTCCATGCTAAAGTACATACTATTTGAATAAGGTCCCAGCAGAGTGAAGTTGAGAAGCTCATAAGGTCCAAAGAAATCAGTTAGAGGAAGTTCCCACGATGTTAAAACTCCTCTAATTCGATGAACCTCACTAAAGTTGAATGTATTTGAGTGGGGATTAATGAACATAGGGAAAAGCTTCAAATGCATCCGTAGACGAGGTCCTTCTTGCCAGAAAAATGAATCAATTGATAATTGATAAAGGCTCAAGTCGAGAGATCTAGTTAAGTATATTTCAAACTTCTGACTATATGGAGGAAAATAAGAAAAACTAGGGCTTTTCAGACGATATTCAACTATTATAGGTGATGCACAAAAGCATGGCACTGGGGAAGATGGGACATATTCGTAGAAATTATCTATTGGGCATGCTTGACTAGGGCAGGTCATTGTTTGAGTTGAATTTGTTGAACCATCAGGGATTCCATCTCCTCCAGCTTCGGATTGACAGAACTGGCCTACATTTTGTATGCTTGCATTCTTGCAAATAGGATTTCCTTCAAGCCTGAGAAAAGCTGCTACAGTGAGAATTTGAAGTTCTAGAAGTAAACAAGGTATACGTTTGCTAATAATTTTAAATACAAGACATAATTTATGGGCAAGTGAACCACTGCATAACAAGCAAGCATAAAATTCCCAACATATTCCATTGGATTGAGAATACAACCATAGAACAATGTGTGTTGCTTTTTAAAATTTGGTAACATGTCTCTCCTAATTGAAATTGTACCATTCATGTCACTCTTAATTTGCATGCAATTATTTTGTGCATTTCCTCATTTCCATGAAACTATTTAATCAATTTGTGTATCTGCATGCAATTATTATGGGCAAGTGAACCACTGCATAACAAGCAAGCATAAAATTCCCAACATATTCCATTGGATTCAGAATACAACCATAGAACAATGTGTGTTGCTTTTTAAAATTTGGTAACATGTCTCTCCTAATTGAAATTGTACCATTCATGTCACTCTTAATTTGCATGCAATTATTTTGTGCATTTCCTCATTTCCATGAAACTATTTAATCAATTTGTGTATCTGTAAAAGTCTCCATTTTTAACTGCACTGAGAAAAATAAGATGCCCAGCTATAATAACATCCTTAACAATGCAGAGTTCTTTTTGTTCTATCTTCTTTAATAAATCCAGAACAATAAACAAGAAACATCGCGGAAAATAGGGATCTGATTGAAGCCATTGCATTGGAAACATACCTCAAGGTGACATTTGTTGGAGGATTTAGTTCTCCCGATATGTTCGACAGTGAGTTGTTCCGGAGATCACTGCAAAATTCATCAAACTTCTAAATAAGCTCAATCAAAAAATTTACACTAAATCATTAAGGTCCTCCAACTTTAAATGTTAATGCTACTTTTTTGGTAAAGGAATTTACAGTTTAAGTCTCGCTCTTGTACTAAAAGATATTTTCCACCACATAGCAGGGACAGAACCAGTCAACAAATTATTCTCGAGTGACCTGTAATACAAGTCATTACAGAAATCAGAGCCAGTCTGCATAGAAGTGCAATATTATACGAAATACAGATTTAGGGAAGTTAGGAGATTCTCACAATTTCTGAAGCGAAGGAAGATCAGAGAAACTCTCAGGAATAGATCCATTAAGCTGGTTATCTGACAGATCGCTGCAATAAATAACGAAAATTAAACAGGAAAAGTTTATAAATTACTCAGATTAAACACAGACAGTGATATGTAATAATTTTTTTGTGTAACATTCATTTAAAGTTAACATGCTGATGCAGCAAGAAGTATTAATAGAACAAGTTACAAGTTTTTTTTTTGGACAGACAAGTTACAAGTTTACTTGGGCCATTTGCATACATTGTTGTCATATTGTGAGAGAGTCTATGTGAAGGTATGGATCCACTCAGTTGATTCCAGCTTAGATCTCTGTGAAATGAACCCAGTAAAAGGTTAGATAATAGAGGTATAAATAGAAGAGTATATAAATGCATTACAGTGTCCATTAATTCAAGGTTGTTGAGCCATCTTAATACTTACAGATAACTAAGGCTAGGTATCCTGCTAAAATCAGGAATTTCTCCCTGCAAGCTACAATTCCTAAGACTTCTGCCAAATCAGAAAGAGGAAAAAGAAAAACTATTAGCAACCCTTTCAAGCAAATTTATGCAACATGTAATAAAAACAAAATGAAAGCACTTAAAACATCTCGAGAAGTGGAAATACTGGATTTCATAGGGCATTTGGATATCAGAGAAATTCTAAAATTCCTGTTGGAATTACCTTGCATACGACCTTGATCACCAAAATAATGCAACTTGCTTATAGTCCTAATGTAAAGCAGTACAAACATGAACCATCAATTCAACAAGAGAAAGATATGAATACTAAAACTTACATTTTTGCTAATTGGGAAAGGTTTCCATAAGAAGCTGGAATCTCAGTCCCCCTGAAGTTGTTGTTATCAAATTGACTGCAAATGGAAGAGAAAACAATAATTCCATCAACCAAGAAGAAAATCTCATGAAGAAAAAACAGATTACCTACTGAGATCACACAAAAGGAAACAAGTTACTCCAAACTAAACATCCAGACAGTTTTGAATTAGGACATACATTATGCGCAAGTTTGGTAAGTTGGATAATTCTGGTGGAAGATATCCAGATAAGTTATTATTATCAAAAAGCCTGTAAAAGTTTGCGTCAAGTATACACCATCAGGAATCAGTCAACAAGCATCAATACAGAACAATTTCCCAAAAACACAAGGAAATAGCTCTTTAAGAACTCACAAATGAAGAAGAGTGGGTACTTTAGAAAGCTCAGACGGAATTTGACCACTGAAGGAGTTGTTGTTCATGTGGCTATAAAGCAATTAATGTACAAGCAGCTGTCAAACATGAGAAATATAAAATGCTAGCCAACTTCAAGTAGCATTTAGCTTGAACATGTACTTACAGATGTTTTACATTGACCAAGTTAACAAATGATTTTGGTATTGGACCTGACATATAGTTTTGGTCAACTTGTAGCCTATTTAATTTTGAAAGGTAACCGAGCTCGTCAAGTAAAGAACCGGATAATTTGTTTCCATTCAAAAGCCTGCATACAAATGCATCACCAAAAAAAAATATATATATATACATATATATATATATATATATGAAAATTGTGTACTGTAAAACAGAAAATTATGTTGATATTCCAAAAACAAGTGTACCCAGAACTATTGATTGGTTGAACTCAACTTACAAGAGTTTCAAGGATGTCATGTTTCCTATCTCCTTTGGTATGGTGCCACTTAATTCATTCCACATGAAATCTCTGCCGGAAGAGAAGAAAACAAAATACAAAACATTAGAAAACAACTAAAAGGATAATCAGGAAAAAAAACCTCCAGAAAAGTGGAATCACAGATCAATTTTGAGAGGCCAGACTCACAATATTAGAAGGTGAGATAGTTGGCCAAGCTCAGGTGCTAAACTTCCTGAGAGATTCATGTTCAGCAGTTGGCTGCATCAAATCATAATTAAGAAAAAAACATTATCACTCAATGATTTAGTTTTGGAGAGAGAATTTCATGCAAGGTTGTTATCCCCACCAATAGCATATTGATATGCGGAATAATTTTTCATCTGTCATTATACCATTTGTCGGGAATAGTATGCTATATTCCTGTTACAAGAAAGTTTTTATGCTAGTTGGGACTATATAAAGAATTTTTGTCAAGTAAGCTTTTAGCATTTTCATAAGCAATCAATCATAAATCACATTTATGTTAAGTAAGTGAACATACTTGGTTAGTGGTTAGTGGTCATAAATCACATTTATTTTTGTTTCAATGATTTAGTTTTGGAGAGAGAATTTCATGCAAGGTTGTTATCCCCACCAATAGCATAATGATATGCGGGATACTTTTTTCATCTGTCATTATATCATTGTTCAGGAATAGTATGCTATATTCCTGTTACAAGAAAGTTTTTATGCTAGTTGGGATTGTATAAAGAATTTTTGTCAAGTAAGCTTTTAGCATTTTCATAAGCAATCAATCATAAATCACATTTATGTTTAGTGGTCATAAACATTGAAAACCATATTGGTTTTGGGTTGAGTTAAGTTGATATCGTACTCGTGTCTGAGATTACCTTGTTTAGAACTTCTATTTAACTGGATCTCTAATATCAACTGTAGCTACTAAATCATTATTTCACAAAGGATTTTAATCCATAAAAAAATTATATCAGCAAAAGAATTCGAGTTCATTGGCAAGACGTGCCAAAGTACGAATGCAAGTACAAATTTGCTGCTTTTATTAGAGGGCATAAATTGTCAACATCAAATTCCATTATAACATTCATCCTATTAGTATTTCCAGTTTAATATCAGACCCAGTTGCTCTCAAGACTTGCAATTATTGCTTACAAATTTCCACAAGTTCCAGTCAGGTTGATATGAATGAAATACATCTCTACTTGACAAGGACTCACTAAATCACAAAGAGGCAGCCGCCCTCCAAAAATATCTTGAAAACTTGGCAAAACTGGTATTGTAATGTCAAACTGGTATTGTAATGTCAGTCATGTTGATATGAAGACTCCAAATTGTGCATTAATACATATGACAACCATCTGAACCGTGCATTATACTTATAGATAGGTCTTGGACCACATCTGGAATATGACCTATATATAGAAATTTGAAGTTTAAATCTGACATCTCTCTAAAGCACATCTGCATCACCTATTTTCCTTGCATCTGTTTCTATAATTTTGTGAAAATGCAATCATAAATATTGAATTTCTTTAGAAACTGACATGACATTCTGAAACTGGCCATCCAGGCATCCAATTACCTTAGATTAAAAGAGCAAACCAATCATACCTTATTTACTTTCAACTTTAGAATTCTGAAGCAACTATTCTTCCAGACAGACTCTGCTTAAAAGTAAACCCTACACTTCCAGACATACTTTCCCTGTAACAGGTCTCTCAAGAATGTACTCTCAAGAATATAAGTGTTCTCATGTCATGTACACAAATTGCAGCGCTAAACCAATGATAAAAGCACATACATACTTGAACTTTTTCTAAGTGATGACTAATACTTTGGGTACCAAAACATCCCTAGGCGGCCCATTTTCGAAAACTTGAACGTGTTTTGTTTTTCATTTCTTTTTTTCCGGCTTGATAACTCAGTATTTGGTAAATTTGAAAGTATCACTTTATCTTCTAATCTTAAGGGTACACTTAATGCAACCCCTCCTACTCCTTCTCCCTCTCCATCTCCAGAGCCAACAATTTCTCTATATCCTGCTTCTCCAGTTCACTCTCCAGCACCCTCACCTGACACAGTAATCATCTCCCACCAGCACCATCCAAGGTACCTCCACATCCTCGTCCGTGTCCATACTGCGGTTCTGGAATTCCTCCAAGTTCCTCACCAACTTCTCATCCTAACCCTACTGTTCCTCCTACTTATCCACCTAATGGTTCCCCTTAGTCGCCTTCTACGAGTCCCTCATCTCAATTGTCCCCCCATGTGTTACCTGCACCTGTAGTGTCCAATGCTCCCAGTCCAGGAAACAAGGGAAGTGCACAAGACTTGATTCTCCATCACCTTCCCCATCCTTGTCATGTAAGTTACAAGCAGTAAGATTTACCCTTTTTTGTTTTCTCCTGTTTTTCAGTTGGCATGTATGTTTGGTGACTTAATGCATTATGTTGTTTGTTTTTTTATGGTTTTGGCAGTGTTAGTTATTCATATAGAATGCAGGCTCAGAGTTAGAGTTTATAAGAAATTATGATTCTTTCCTACAATAGAAACTCGGGTAATGACCTAATAGTAATGGATATTGCTCAAAATTACTCATCGTAAAATCAGGAGGAAAAAAAACGAGTACAGCCGATCGGCTCTACCCTTTTAAATATATTATTTAAGGAGTACAGCCGCTCGGCTATACTATTTATTTTTTGAAAAAAATATAGAGCCGCCTAGACCGCCTAGCCCGCCTAGGCGGCCGATTTTCTGTTCAAGTCTGGATATTTGGATATGGTTGTGTAGGCTAAAATTAGAAGGAATGGCTCCAATTCTAAGATGATTACATTAACTGGGTCTCTTTTCTTTGACTGAATTCTTAATTATTTATGAGTTTTCTGTCAAATGTTTTTTGTGTTTAGAACTGTAAGTTTTGATATGGAAATGGGTTTTCTGTGCAAGCTTGAATTTGTAGATTTGGTTGTGTTGGCCCCTGTAAATTTGGTTGAGTTGGTTGTGTTGGCTCTCTGTAAATTTGGTTGAGTTGGTTTAAATTAGAGAGAACTCGTTATAAAAATCTCAAGACTCTCAATTTTTGATGGAGCATCTCTTGTGATGATAAAGGTTATATTGTATGAGGGATGTGGTTTAGTCTCATAAATCATAAAGGGGAATATTCTTTTTGCTGCTCTTTTCTGTACTAATACTTGTACCTGCAGGTTAGGCTTGAAGTGATGGGAAAGAAGGCAAAGAATGCAACCAACATTTCTGGAAATGAGGCTGGGAAAATTTCCGAAGAGATTTAGAAAGTGGAGAAGAGAAGGATAGTTAAGAGTACTCTTTGCAACGAAAGAAGTTCTCGGAGCCATTGCATGGTAGGATTCCCTTGGACTTTCAAATATATGATAATTCTTCCCCAGGTCTTGTCACTAGTTGGACATAACTTGCTTTCTATTTCTGCACAGATAATCCTTGATGTCCCAACAGCAGGAGGGCGCTTGATGCTTGTGGACATGGCTGGCTCTGAAAATATTGAGCAAGCTGGCCAAATTGGATTTGAGGCAAAAATGCAGGTAATGTCTTGGTGGTGCTTAATTTGTGCTGATACTGTATGCAGCACTTTCATTGTCATTGTATCAAATGTTAAATTATGTTATATTGAATTCACAGACTGCGAAGATCAACCAAGGAAACATAGCTCTTAAAAGAGTGGTTGAATCCATTGCCAATGGTGATTCTCATGTGCCTTTCAGAGACAGCAAACTGACCATGCTTCTACAGGTAACTTTCATTCACACTAACGTCAGTTACTAGGGATTATATGGTGCCCTGCCCTGTAACCTTGTATGTGAATGAAAGTTCTCATGTTCTTTTTATGCAGGATTCTTTCGAAGATGATAAAACAAAAATTTTAATGGTGCTGTGTGCAAGCCCAGACCCAGAGGAAATACACAAGACAATCTCCACCCTTGAATATGGTGCAAAAGCAAAATGTATTGTCTGTGGTCCTCATTAGCTAATCAAGGATAAAATTGGGACTGAAGATTCATCTGCTGTTATTTTAGGATCGAGGATTGCTGCGATGGATGAATTCATCCTTAAACTGCGAAGGGAAAATAAGCTCAAAGAGAAAGAGCGAAATGAAGCACACGGGAGTTACAGAAGAAAGAAGAGGTTGCTGCACTGAGAGCTAAACTTGAGCTTATGGAAGGGACGGGATCTGGGAAAAAGGAGGAAGAAATCAACTTTAAGGTGACTGACTGTGAGTTGGAAAAGAAGTTGGAGGAATGCCAGCGTATGGCAAATGAGTTTGTTGAATTGGAGAGGAGGAGAATGGAAGAAAGGATATTGCAGCAGCAGCAGGAAGCTGAAATGCTTAGGTGGTGGTTGGAGGAAATTGAGCTTGAGCTATGCCGCTCAGGTGATGGAAATGGTAAGGAGAGTGGGACAAAGGACCATGATGGAACCCACAGTTTGCCAAAAGGTTGTTAGGGATCTATGCGAGTGATGATGCAGGAGGAATGGTAAAGTCAATGGATTTGGACATGGGTGATCAAGAACCTTTTGCTCGTGAGGTGAAATATGTAGGTGGGGTTGCTTATCAATCTGACAGCAGTATTGTAAATGCTGTAAACATTGATTCTTTTGAACCAAAATATGCTGATAGGGTATGCCTAAGCACTGTTTTTGAGGAAGAAGAAATGGAAGAAGAGGAAGGACTTAAGGAAAATGTGGAAGCTGAAGAAGTGGAGAAAGAAGTTATAGAGGAAAAGAGAGTGTGCATGGTTGATGGGTCTAGCCTCCAGAGTAATTATAGTATGGGATCCCTGACATCTTTACCTAAGGATTATCAACATACACCAACTGTGAATCGGCCAAGCAGAAATCCAGGGGAAGAAGATGGCAGGGGGGAGATGATAGGCTTGTCAGGATCCGCAACATATTTACACTCTGTGGAAACTACAGAGAGCTCTCTCAACATGTGACAACTCCAGCACCTACTGTTGCATCAGTTAAATCAGAAAATGAGCAGAAACTGACAGAAGAGATAAAAAAAAGTCGAGTATGTGATGATATGGCATTGGCTTCCAAGGAGAACAACAACCCTTCACTGATGCAGATACTGAAGTGTATGTGAAATGGGAGGCTTCAAAAGAGAATCCAGGGAAGTTCATTACAACACTTAAGGTTGTAAAAGATGCAAGCCTTGATGACCTGCGAAAGTTGATTGCAATTTATCTTGGTGCAGACAATCAAGCATTCACTTTTCTCATGCTTGGGGTATGTCATTTCTAAATTCTCTAGCTTGTTGATCTCTTCTTAAAAAATGGTAAGACAATCATGCTAACATGGTTGTTTTTATTGACAAAAAAGTTGTTATAAATCAAGAAATATAGTGCATCTCTGTGATTAAGAAACACTTGATTCAAACTTGTATTGTGTATATATGCAGGACCCCAGTGGAGCTTCAGTACCAAAGGAGAAGGAAGAAACAATTCAGGCCACTAAGCTTCCCCTATATGCAACAATAAATCAAATGGCTACCTTGCTAGCTTGAGACCACTGAAGGGAATGCAAAGCCCAAGTCAGCTCCCTTTAATTCCTCTCCCATTAAAATCACTGGAAAATAGACTACCACTAATTAAAATAATTAAAAAAGACTAAGATTTTACTTAATAACATAAATTAAATTAAATATGGTCTCCAAAAAAAATAAGTAAAGAAACTAATTTTATACTTTCAAATAATTAATTACTATTTATTAAGTAATTTATTAAATCAGTAAAATATTTAAATATTCACTAAAGAAACAATAATTAAAATGTAATAACTAATTAAAGTAATTAAAAAAGACTAGCATTTTATTTAATTACATAAATTAAATTAAAGAAGGTTGCCATAAAACAAAAGTAAAGAAACTAATTTTATACTTTTGAAGCGTATAGCCGCGCGGCTATACGTTTATAATATTCTTTTTAAATAGTATAGCCAATCGGCTAGACCTTTAAAATAGAATATTTATAGTGTATAGCCGTGCGGCTATACTATTTTAATATATCACCAACAATAAAAATATGGATTTATGTGTAGCAAAAATATGGATTTATAGTGTCATATTTCCTTAAATATATTAGAATATTTGAGTAATTTATGAAATCATTAAAATATTTAAATATTAACCAAATAATAATAATTAAAGTAATTAAAAAAGCTAAGATCTTACTTAATTACATATATTAAACAAAAATAGTTGGCAAAAAAATAGTAAAGAAACTAATTTCAAATAAAATAAAAAAAACCTCTCTCGACGAATGATTTTGTCGGTAGAGACCTAAGTTGGCAAACATTTGCCGGATGAGACTTCTCCTGATGAATGTTAGCCGGCATATGTCTATGATATTACCAATCAAAATAATTTAAAAAGGCTAAGATATTACTTAATAACATATTATTAAACTAAAGAAGTTGGCAAAAAAAAAGAGTAAAAAAACTAATCCGGCAATATCAACTAAAGAAAGTAATGCCATATATAAATTTTGATACAATCACAAAACTAACCAGGCTTTGAATCAAATGTCAAGGCCCATGGAGATATCAACTTAGCAAGTCCAATTTGGGCTTGAATTCGCGGGGATATAATAGGAATTCAATAAAAGGATTTCATTAATAAGATTAAAATGAAATGTTTTCAAGTCACAAAACACACCGTTTCATTAAAAGGATTTCATTCCCCAAATTCAAAACGGCGTCGTTTCATTTTGGTATTATCATAAAGAAAACCAGGACGCAGTGGTCATCTTCTTCACAAGAACTGCGCCTCAGGCAGCCTCAGTTGCAGCTGCAAGAGATTTTCCGGCGAGGGGAGGTGCGGCTGCAAGAGATTTTGTTTCAGAGTGCCTGCTCATTTAACCAGCCAGTGTTTGAAAAATCGGCCTAGGAGGCGCCTAGGCGCTAGGCGGCCGCCTAGGCTGCTGCCCAGAGGGTTTTTATGGTGCTCTTTTATTTCTCCTGTTTTTATGATTTTAGATTCACATGTTAAGCTATGGCTTCAACATTGTTATCAAGGCATTTTGTTTCAGAGTGCCTCCTCGTTTAACCAGCTAGTGTTTGAAAAATTGGCCTAGGCGGCCGCCCAGAGGGTTTTCATGGTGGCTATTTTATTTCTCATGTTTTGATGATTTTAGATTCACATGATAAGCTACAGCTTCAACATTGTTATCAAGGAATTTTATTTCAGACTGCCTGCTCATTTAACCAGTCAGTGTTCCAAAAATCGGCCTAGGCGGCACCTAGGCGCTGGGCGCCCGCCTAGGCGGCCTGGGCGTGTCTGGGTATGTGTCTGGGCGAGTCTGACTCAGAAAAATGAGACGATGATGATGCTATGTGTGAGAGAGAGAGAGAGATGAGGATTGAAGAAGAAGATAGGTCGTGGATTATGTCTGAGCGAGAGAGAGGAGACAGCTCGGGTTAGACTTAGGGTTTGAGAAGGAAAATTTGGACATCTTGTGGCCAGCCTATACCTCGAAGAAGGAACACCTTCCAGTTGCAGCCAAAACGAAAGACAGACAAAAGAGCCTATACCTCGAAGAAGGAACACCTTCCAGTTAGAGAATGCCTTCACTGGCACTAGTCCAGGTAAGGATTGAAGAAGGTGATGATAATGAGTCTGTGTATTATGTTATGCTAAGTTAATACTAGTTTCAGTTTTTTTCTTCAACATGATCTCAAAAGCCTAGATTTTTTTTTTCTTTTCAGATTAATTTTTTCAAGGCAATCTCAACTACCCAAATTTCCTATGTTTTTAAATGACAACAAAAGAAAAGGCATGGCGGCCTGTTGATTGGAGGGTTAACTCATCTGATTAGTACTTTTTGGGCTTGTTTTGTGCTTTTCTTTTGCATTATATGTTGTTTTCGCTATCCAAAAATAAGCAATGCTGTTTTGCCTGATAGTGGTTGTTTAATTCAAGACGTGAAAAAATAGCTCATAAGACATTTTTCACACTTCCATCACAAAACATGCTTGCCTGGGAAAATAGAGGTTCATTTGTATTGTTTACCTGTGCACAGTGCATGCATTTTAATTTCTCCAATCTAATTGTCCTCTGTATATCTCTGTTCTTAAGTTCCTGATAAAATAGGGTTTTGGTCAATATGTCCTCCACTTGAGTAAATGGCCGAAGCGTTGATGTTAATCAAGATTCAAGACAGTAGTGCATATTCCATAGGGTGGGAGAACCTTGGTTGGTTCAATGTCTATGTCAGGATTGGATTGCTCCTCTGGGTATGAATATAACGAAATCACTTTTTTTTTAAATTTATTTATTTATTTATAAGTATTAGAAACTCTTTCTGATGGTTGAAAAAAAAATTGTATTTATCAAAATTTGTATAATCTAATAACAATTTCTTCAACTTGGGCTCGAGTAATCGATGTTATGGACAGTGAGGTATGTATCCTGTCACATGAATTTAAATTTTTTGGTCACGCATTTAACTTGTTTTGTATTCAGTCAGGTTCAAGATTATTTGGTTTTATTGGTGCTGGTGCCACACTTGTACAGCTTTTTGGGTCATTGTTTACCATGTATGTTTGCTTATTCAGTCTCTTGGAGTTTGATATTTGCTCTGTGTGTGTGTGTGTGTGGTGTTTGTTGTTCTTAGGATGAGCTTTTGTTATATAGTTGTTGTTTTGTCTAGTTTTTAGAGTAATTAACACGAGATATGCTGTGCAGAATGTTTGCTTATGCTTACTGAAAGTGTATACTGAAGCAAATCAGGGAGCATTTTTAGAATGCTGACTTGTTGGATTTTGCTATTGTTTTTAGAATGAATGTTGCTCTGAAAGTGCTGTCATGGGCATTTATCTATAATCACTTGGGCCGCTGTTGCAGTTTCTGAGACCCTCCGGAAAGTTTGTATTCTCTAACTTCTGGGTTCCGTTTTTACCTTTTCACAGTTTATCTTATAACTCAATTTAATCAAAGATGTCTGCATGCTAGAAACATGATAATTGTATGTAATATGCATAGGTGAATCTTGTGACCAGGCCTGGCAGAGAACTCCTATTTACTGTTGTCTCACAGGACGAAAAATACAAAGCCAGGTCACAAGCTTCTAAATTCTTTTTTACATAGAAAATCAAATGCATTTGGTTTTTTTATAAAATAAGTTCATCTACGAAACTGTGTCACTTGGTGCTTGCTGCTGTTGGTGTCTTAGTTTCCTCTATATGAGAAAGTGCTTTAATAACTTTGGTGCATGCATAATGCATTGGCGCGCTTGCTTTGCTACTATAGTACTATATAATTATAAAGTAAAACACCAAAAAAGATGTCTTCGCTGTAGCCATTCCACTCAAGACAGGATCTCTTATTTGGTGTCTTATATTGCATTAATTGTGTCATGTTCAACTTTAAGCGGATCACCAAACTATTTGAAACGCTGTTTCACTAATTACATGATACTGCAGGTTTGCATTGATGTATTTGTTCAAAGACTTGGAGATATGCTTCAGAAGCAGGAATGTACAAGCTAGCTTTCAGCACTACTAGTACTGTTAATGGGAGAGCATCAATTGTGTCTCTTTACGGCCTGTGCCTTTATGGGAGAGCGTCACATGTTTAGCTGTTTATATACTGTAAAGATGAATCATTCATGAGCTTTTGAACAAGTACCATTACAAGAAGTTGTGTTAGCTCTTTTGTTAGACATTACAGCAAGGGCAGCTTGCCAGTCAGTCTTTCGTATACGATGTCATACGAAACGCAAGTGCTTTTTAGCAAACAAGCCAATATTAACGTTTGTATCTACTGCATTTATCCATGTAAGCATTGATGATTAATTGGAAAGGAATTGCACTTTACAGATTCATTAATAATATCAGATTTTCCATCTCAACGCCACAGTCAGGTTTGAGTATTTAAAGAGTATAGCTAAATATGTTGGAAAAGTATAGCCGCGCGACTATACTCTTTAAATATATTTCCATTTCGCTTCTCTATCAACCCAAGCATCAATTTGTTTTCTTCGTGTTGATGCAGAGAAAATTAAAAGAACAATATTACCTGGAAAAATTCGTTGTGAAGCTATGAACGATTCTTGGGATGAGTCGCGTACTAAGTTGCTCTCTTTGAGACGTTTCGCCGCTCTGCCCAATTTGTGCAAGCAGTTCAGAAAAGGCCACTACGTCCCCAGGATAAAACAACCCCAGAATCTCCTCTGTCTAGGTTCTTCCTTGCATTGAGGAAGGACCCGAATACAAACATCTTTCTATGTTGCTCAGAAAACTTAGTTTAGAAAATAAGAAAAAGATATGAAGAGGAAGAAGGCAACAACTATGGTTTGTGTCGTTTTTCTCTCGTAGCTATATCATATATATATACAAGATTTATCACAAAAGAAACGTTGGTGGGCTTTAAAGACAACAATTTTTTTTTTTTTTTTTTTTTTTTTTTTTTTTTTTTTTTTTTTTTTTTTTTTTTTTTTTTTTTTTTTTTTTTTTTTTTTTTTTTTTTTTTTTTTTTTTTTTTTTTTTTTTTTTTTTTTTTTTTTTTTTTTTTTTTTTTTTTTTTTTTTTTTTTTTTTTTTTTTTTTTTTTTTTTTTTTTTTTTTTTTTTTTTTTTTTTTTTTTTTTTTTTTTTTTTTTTTTTTTTTTTTTTTTTTTTTTTTTTTTTTTTTTTTTTTTTTTTTTTTTTTTTTTTTTTTTTTTTTTTTTTTTTTTTTTTTTTTTTTTTTTTTTTTTTTTTTTTTTTTTTTTTTTTTTTTTTTTTTTTTTTTTTTTTTTTTTTTTTTTTTTTTTTTTTTTTTTTTTTTTTTTTTTTCCATTTTTTCGGTTCTTTTTTCCATTGTTTTACTTTCATACCAGTCTAAACTACGAGGAGGGGAGGAGGGAGGGAGGATGAAGGAAGCTTAGAGAGACTTCAGCATGGTGGAGGAGATTAGGAGACGAAGAGTGGAAGAGGATGAGTTAAAGTATTTTAACCGAATTAATGAAAATGAGAAATTAAAATTAAGTGATGTGGCTCGTCTAAGTCCGCCTTTTTTAATGTGCAGCCAAAGGTGCGCCTTTTTTTCCCCCCCCCAAAACTCTGCGTTTTAATGTTTTAAGTCGTCACCTTTGTTGATCAAAACCTTCATACGCTTTTTAAACATTACCAGAAAAGCACAGGACGCCAATCGTGGTAATAATGATGGGTGCACCGGAAGCAGCAAGTCCACCTTATGTTAACATGTCATGTGCTCCTCATCCCGTCCCTGGTTTGAGTCTGTCGGGTCTCGCTTTATGTCTTCCGAGCACAATGTGTTTGAAGAAATGCCTCAGCGTGTTTCGAATTTCAATTCTCGGGAATTTATATGAATGTATAATTTGCCTCAGTTTGTTTTGAATTACAAGTTAAAAACTCTACGCAACACCCCCTTGCAAAAATCATAAATTTAAAACTTAAATGTTAAAATAGTTCCTATGCTTCTATCTATACCGGTCAATTTAGTCAAGTTCAAATTCAGTTTAAATTAATTTACTTGATTATAAATATGCTAATTCAATCTAAAAATGAAATAAAATAAAATAAAACTTAAATATGGTAGAATTGAAAACATTGCTGTATTTCTGTGGCTTATATGAGAGCCAATAACGTAATGACATGTATGATAACTTTTCAATGTATCATTGTGTTGTTGGTCGAGGATAGCGAAACAATGTTATCCCCGTTATAAGTTCTTTTGTTGGTCTAGGAGTCCCATTATATCATGTACACGTATGTTCATATTGATTTCCGTGATCTTGGATTGGATATGTTGGTCCCACCTCAGACATGAAGTTGCTGAGGAAATTTCGAGCCAAAGGGTAGAGTTGCTTTGTTCTATAATTAATGTGTTCTAACCCTCCAAGTATCTTGAAAACGACTATAAAATAAAATATTTTATGATATTTGCTACATTCCATAAATATAAAATAAAATATAAAAGATACACACAAGAAAGACAGGCACAATTCTTATTTCTTGGATCTTAAAATACCCTAGGCATAATTAACAAGAAATCCAAACTTGCATTGTTCCTCCTACTCATTTCAAAGTCTCCGCCACCTTTGATTTATGTGAACATGTCTTCGATGAATCCCAATTCTTTCCTCCAGCTGAGGGAATATCTTGAGAAGGATGTTGTACATAGCTCTGTAATACCACTTACTCCATCTCTTGCACAACACAAGTGACCCAACGGCAACTCCAAAGCCAAATGTAAATCCAATTTCAACAACAATAAGATCCCAATTAACCTCATGATTATGTCCAGAATTTGGAGCCCTTCCATTCACTGTTGGTGGCGGTGGAAATCCTGCTTTATTATCCACCGTCAAAGGAAACCCCCATAGTCCTTTGTTACCTGTAAAGGAGGATGGGTGGAAATGTTGAAAACTGAGTACTAGTTGGGATCTTGCCGCCAGTTGATTATATGAGAGATCCAAGAATGAAAGGAAGGTAAGCTCTGCCAACTTCGGTGGAATGTGCCCGCTCAGCTTGTTCTGTGACAGGTCCAAGGACTCAAGTACGCTCATGTTACTAAATGATGATGGGATTTCGCCCGTGAAAGCATTTCGGGACAAGTTAAGGACAAGTAGTGATTTGAATTCTCCTATTTCCTTAGGTACTGGTCCACTGAAGTTGTTGCTTGAGAAGTCAATCAAGGTATAGATAGATAGAATTTTTACCAGTTCCATCTCGACACCTTTGCTGATAACTGTTACACTTACACCATACTGTAAAAAATGACCACATCTACATAAGAAGCACATTCAGAGGGAATGCAGGCTCTATAAGTTGGCGTTCTACGGCAGATAGCCATGGGATTTATTTTTGTATATGATCCAACTAGGATTGTCGATCGGTAACCATTTTCGGCAGCCATCATTTCCCACCATGTTCTCCAAAGTATTCCATGTATTTCACCACTGAAATTATTGTGAGCTAGGTCTATGATTTGAAGCTCTGGCCAGGTCCAGGTGCCATTGGTGGTGAGACATTCAATGCCTCCATAAAAGTTGTTGGAGCGCAAAACAAGGACACGCAAGGTGGAAATTTTCTTCAACAAGCATGGAAAGCTATCTGTTATATTATTGTTTCCAAGGTTTAAAACCTCCAACTTAGTGCATTTAGTGAGAGATTTTGGAAACTGGCCACCTAATTGATTTCCACCAAATTCAAGAATTTCTAATGAACTGCCTTCAGCAATTTCAACATTACAAATCGATCCAGTGAGGTTGTTTCTCGCTAAGTTAAGTACACTGAGATAGCGCATTGCAGTCAAGCATTGGGGAATCATGCCACTCAGAGAATTATTGGATAGATTAAGAATATGAAGATTTGAGGCTTTGCATATTGATGTTGGAATGAGCCCATGCAAGTTATTGCTTGAAAGAGAGAAGAACGGTGTGTGTGTGAGGAAATCACCAATGTTCGATGGTATAGAGCTGAAATTATTTCTTGAGTAATCCAGATACCTGGCATATGGTAGGAAAGTTGGGATTTGCCCATGAAGTTGGTTTGAATGAAGGTCAACAATTTTCACTGTAGAATTAAATAAAGGAGCTTCTAGTGTTACCAAGTAGTTACAAGAAAGATTTAGGGTAGAAAGTCGATTGAGACTCCATATCCAACGGGGTATCTTGCCTCGGATATGGTTTTTTGAAAGGTCCACACTGGATAATGTGGATTGATTTCTCAAGAAATATGGGATTGTTCCCAATTTGTTAGCAGCCAAATTCAATGAATCAAGTTGAGGAAATGAGGAATATGAGGAATCAGTACCATTATATAAACTCAACAAGCTATTGTACGAAAGATCAATGTTCGTAAGATTTTCCAGCTGTTGAGGGCCATTGAACGGAAAGGCAGTGAAATTGTTGGAAGAAAGATTAAGTGATTGAAGACCTTGAAAATTAAATATAGACACCGATATTTGTCCTTCCAAATTGTTGAAGCTTAAATCAAGGGTAACTAAGTTGGAAGAGACATTAGAAATGCAAGTTCACCAGAGAATTGATTGTGGGAAAGGTTTAGTTGTGATAATAATGGAAGAGAAAAGAGCGACGAGGGGATTGATCCATGGAAACTGCAATTTGAAAGATCTATCGTGGACAACATTTTGAGGTTGCCAATGGAGTCAGGCAGTGACCCTGAAAAGTTTGTCTTGCTTAGAGACAAGGACTGAAGAGATCCAATTTTCTTGGGAAATTCTGGCAAGGAACCACCAAGTTTAAAATTAGCCGAAAGATCAATAGTTTGTAGAGTAGGTACCTGAAAGATCTCGTTGGGAAATGTTCCATTCAACCGACAACCACTGAGCCTCAAGGAAGTCAACTTTGAGAAATTGGCAAAGAATCCTGGAATTGGACCGGAGATGTTGTTCCAACTCAAGCCCAACATCCTCAGGTTTGAAAAGTTCTCAAAGGATCCTGGAATTGGACCGGAGATACTGTTCCAACTCAAGTCCAACACCCTCAGGTTGGAAAAGTTGGCAAAGAATCCTGGAATTGGACCAGAGATATTGTTCTGTCTCAAGTCCAACTCCCTCAGGTTTGAAAATTTGGCAAAGAGTCCTGGAATTGGACCGGAGATACTGTTCCCACTCAAGTTCAACACCTTCAGGTTTGAAAAGTTGGCCAAGGATCCTGGAATTGGACCGGAGATACTGTTCCAACTCAAGTCCAACACCCTCAGGTTGGAAAAGTTGGCAAAGAATCCTGGAATTGGACCAGAGATATGTTCTGTCTCAAGTCCAACTCCCTCAGGTTTGAAAATTTGGCAAAGAGTCCTGGAATTGGACCGGAGATATCGTTACCACCCAATCGAATAACAGAGAGAGACTGAAGCTTAGCAAGGGACTGATCAAAAGGATCGGAAAGACCAGTCCTAAACAAGCTCAACACCCTCAGGTTTGGCAGTGAAGATGATATCGCTTGGGACCAGTTAGCTCCCTGTGCTCGCAAATATACACCGTCAAAATATAGCTCTGCAAGCTCTGTGAGGTTCTGAAAGAGGATGCTTATATTCGGGGCCTCAAGGGAGTGGAATGACAGGGAAATATCAAGGACAACCAACCTTGTCAAGCTTGAAATCTCAATGGGAATTTTCCCGGAGTAACCATTATTATATGATAAATTCAGATACCTCAATTTCACAAGCTTTCCGATTGCTGATGGAATGCTAGTGCCATAGTCAAAATCATTATCAGCCAGATTGAGGCTTTGAAGATGTTGAAGATGGAAGAGACTGCTCGCATTGTCGATGCCACCAGAGATAGTTTCGCTACTAAGGTCAAGACCAACAACATGCCCATTACTAGTGCAAGTAACACCAACCCAAGAACAACAGTCGGTGCTTGAATTCCAGATATAACCTTGGTTGAGTACGAAGGTTGATCAAATTGAAGGCTTTTCTTCAAATGGAGCAACGATTGTTGCTGGTCTTTAATACACTGGCTTTGAACTGCAGGGAGGAGGATATTGAAGCAGAGGAGGAACAAGTAATGCAGCAAAGTTTTCATTTTGGAAAAACTTTTTAGCTGATGTGAGGGAGGGAAAGTGGTGAACAAAACAACTGATGAGAAAGAAAGGTTGTGGTGGTTTTAATATATATGCATGGTAGAATACAAGTGGAAAAGGGACACCTCCTAGCTTTGATGAGATTAAATCTTTGTCGTCGCTGCTGGCTTGACTTTGAAGTCTTCCACCAACATCTAATCTTATAGTAGTAACCAGGAAAATAGGACAAGAGAAAAATAATAATGACGTAGCAAAAAGGCCTCCACGAGATTCGTGGTTAGCTTGACTTGTTTAGTCTTTATAATTGCAATTTACATGGCAAGCTGTAAAGAATTCCGTGTAGTTTTGGGTTGGGTTAAGTTATAGCTGTCATGCGATGGAAGAGTTTGTTTTCTTTTTACATTTTCTTTTTTTTTTTTTTTTTTCTTTTTTCTCTCTATGGAGAGCTGCTTTTGATAAAATAATAGGAATGGATAGAGTTGATCTGGACGTGTGAATAATTATTCTACAAACGGAAGAGTGATAAAACAATTATACATTTGGGAGAGAATGAGGAATCAAATCTTTAATTACTCTACAAATGGAAGAGTGAGCAACTATTCTTTCTTTTATTTATCTATTTATTCCTTACAAAAGAAAACCCTACCAGCTAGCACATTAGTTTGAATTGTTTATATTCTTCATTTTTCATTTCATTGCGGGTTGCTAAAATTATGATTTTTGGAATGAGTCAGTGTCTGCTAGAAATTGGGGTTTTGAAGGCTTGATTGGCTCTTATTGTTCAACGAGACTAATTATACTCAAACCATATCTCAAGTTCTCAACTGATTCTTACTAAACTTATTATGTGTAATATTTAAGCGTTCATCCGTAATGAAAGAAAAATTAAAAAAACATATTAATTGTAGGTTTTCTTGCTCCCAGAGAAATGAGCGGGTTTAATACACTAGTGCAATATCAACTTGCATCATGCATGCAATATCAACTTGCTACTTCCCAACTACCAAATTTTAACCCAGAAATTCTCAGCACATTTTATTCCAAGTTAAACCCAATTAAACTCGATTTTTTTAAACATTTAACAACCAAAAGAAGCAAACTCTACACTTTTGCAATAGTGTGTGAATTATGGAAAATTTGTCACCTGAGATATTGACATGTCGGATTGAGAACAATGTGAAATTGTGATGTGAGGTTGCTTTATGGATTGACTTGTTGACTTTGAAGTCTTGCCCTATCTTGTGTAGTGGGCCCGGCTACAGTCTACATGATTTCCTACCTACTTGGATTTTTGGATGAGTATTGACTTGGCCGAGATCAATAGTCATAGCTCATGACCCAGTCAAAGAAAACAGATGATTTCTGTGGCCCAATCTGACCATCAGACACGAAGATGCTGAGGAAATTTTGAACCAAAGAACTCCCTAATCTTGAATTCAAGTTCCATAACAACCTTGCATATCGTTTAGCTTTACCTACCTACCAACCTAGTTTCACACTATCATCCCAACTTACAACTAAAAAAAGGAAAAGCGCAGTCAATTATGTGAAATCGGACCTCTTTCTTTTTTTCATTTTTCTTTTTCTAACTTCCTTCAATTAACTTTTTTCAATTAGGTAAGGTGTCTATTATAGGGGCACAGCCTAATTACTATCAAAAGAAAAAAAAAAGTGAAAAACCAAGTTAAAGACTTGATAATGGTAATCATGTTCATTCTCATGTAATGCATAATCTATAGATTGAGAATTTCATTTCCCAAAACATTAAGGTGATCTCTTTAGTGGTGTGGATAATCCTTTGAAATTTAGTTAGAAAATTTTGCATATAGTGATTGTATTATAGACATATTTACACATTATTCGAATTTTATTTATGTATCTTTTTACAAAAAAATTAATAATACAAGTAAACTCACTACTATAATATCTGGGTTTGGGCATAAGTATCATCCGTGCTCTTTAATTTTGTCACCTTCGCACACAAATCATTGGTGTCTAAAGCCTTTATTTATTTTGAAAACAAATTAGTAGCAATTTGAGATCTCACACATACAGAGTGGGCCATATACTAACAAGGTAAATACTCCATAGAGTAGATAATGAGGTCATTCAACCGCACACCACATTTTCTCATCGACAAAATCACATTCAAAATTGTACTCGAAAAGAAATTATCAACCAAAAATATATTAATATGAAGCATCCCCGTATAGGTCACGTGTATCACAAATTACAAATTCCCCTTATGTATTAAAATTCATAAGTTTGTATCAGATTGAGCCATGATCATGACTAAAATACAACATTTAGGTTGACATTAACCTCAAATAAAAACTGAACGTAATACCAAAGAAATACACTTAAATTTAAATATACAACTTCTAAACCTTGTCAGCAGCCTAAATGTTATGAAGATTGAAGACCTGGCCAAAATCAAGTGCATCTAGCCCAACCAAAAGTTCCAAAGTTCTTGTCACTAGCCTAAATGTTTTGAGGCTGAAATCACATAAAAAGTAGATTATGCAAGACTAGATTTCAATGACTAAAACAACTCAACAATCAATATGAAGAGTACCAAACAAACTATGTTTCAAATTGATAGTTTCACAATATGAACATTAATTACTTGCACAAACCTATTTCTGTTTGCTGAAAAAAGGATTATTTGCATAAGAGAGCTGCTACAAAATTCCACAACGTTCCCTAATTTCAAATTGAGAAAAAAAGAAGAAGATAAGATCTCCTTTTGAAGGGGAAAGAAAGATGCGTAACTAATGCATGTACAACACAGGGAAGAAAAAGAGAAAAGCAGACTTAGAACAAGCAATCCAACATCAAATCCCACAAGGACAGGGAAACAATAAATCCCTGCCAAAACAAAATAGCAATAACTATTACTTCGGCACCTATGCCTAAAAACAACACATCTCCCATCAGCTTATGCTACCATATAACCTGAATCCAAATGGCTCTACGAATTGTTTGACGAAGACATTTTTTGGTGGGGGGGCGGGAAAGAACACATGAGTCAAAATGTAGAACACAACACATTTGGATATTAAAAGAAACAAGGGTTAATTGCACTTTAGTTGCAACTTTTCAAATGAGATTCTAAAATAATAAGATTCTTTACATTTTGGATTAAACCCTTACTAGCTACAACATTAGTTTGAATTGTTTATATTCTTCTTCACTGTCTGTTAGAAATTGGGTTTAGAAGGCTTGATTGGTTCTTATTGTTCAACGAGAACCTCCTAGCTTTGATGATATTAGATCTTTGTGGTTGCTGCTGGCTTGACTTTGAAGTCTTCTACCAATATCTAATCTTTTAGTAGTAACAGGGAAATAGGACAAAAGAAAATTAATTGTAGCCTTAATAATGATGTGCAAAAAGGCATCGAAGACATTCGGGGTTGGCTTGACTTGTTCACTTTAACGTCTTTCTTTATAATTGCAAGTTGCATGGCAAGCCCTGGATGAGTTAACTTTAACAAAAACCTAGAGCTGTGAAGAATTCCATGTAGTTTTGTGTTGGGTTATAGCTGTCTAAAATGCAAGGATAAAAAATTACCAAAATTGTATGAATCAAAATGGAAAATCTGACAAACTACAAAGAGAACCATTGACTAGACCTTTACCACTAGTCTAGATCCCATTGAGAATTAAAGTTAATATATATTATTGGTTTTCTTTCAGGTTTAACATAATTTGGACAGAAGGTTGTAGTAGGCTTTGTTGCTCCCCAAGCAATTGGGTTTAACAGAATAATTGTGCTATATCAATTTTCTGCATCATGCATCCAGTACTTTTTGCTACTGCTTCCCGAACACCAGAGATTTTAACCCATAAATTCTCAGTGCATTACTCCAAGTTAAACCCAATAACCAAAAAAGTAACAAACTCTATTACACACTTTTGCAATAGTGTGTGAAGTATGGAAAATTTGTCACATGACTGAGATATTGACATGTCGGATTGAGAACATTGTGAGGTTGCTTTATGTATTGACTTGTTGACTTTGAAGTCTTGCCCAACTTGTCCAGTGAGCCCGGCTACAGTCTACATGTTGGTTTCCGACTTGGATTTTGTGGTAAGTATTGACTGAGTCCAGTGGAAGAAAGCAGATGATTTCTATGGCCTATGCTCTTGTATGTTCATGTTGATTTCTAGGTTGGAAGAGGAATTCTCCATAATCTTGGATTGGACGTTTGGTCCGACCACAGACATGAAGATATGCTGAGGAAATTTCGAACCAAAGAGCTCTATAATCTTGGATTCAAGTTCACATTATATAACAACCTTGCATGTCGTTTAGCTTTACCCACCAACCTACTTTCAGTCTTTTATCATCCCCACTTACAACTAAAGTCTGTTCAAATATGCTTTACCCTAACAAAAAAAAGGAAAAGTTTACTCAAATTATGCGGAGACGACCTAATTTCACAAAACCTTTTGATTGGCTGCTTAGAGCCTTAGACATGAAATGAACCATAACAAAATGGCAATCGTGCAAAGACGAAGGGGCACGGCCTAATTACTACCAAAAGAAAAACAAAAGGTGAAAAACCAATGGTAATCAGTTTTCATTTCCCAAAAATTGACGCGTTCTCTTCAATGGTGTGGATAATCCTTTGAAAGCCTAGTTATAAAATTTGCATATAGCGCATGTATTTACACATTATTCACGTTTCATATATGTATATTTTTACAAATTCTTTAATACATGTAAACTTCATGTATTATGCACATATTATTAAATAAAATAATACACTTTAATTTTTTTTTATAATAAATTAGTATTGAAATACTATTCCTTCTTTTTTTATCAGATAATACTAGCCCCTTGGTACATGCTCACGCATGTGCCAATTGGTTTTCTTTTTTATTTTTATTTTATTTTTAGAATTAAAAAAGATAATGGGCAGTTGTGTTTAATAAAAATAGGATTCATTATCTTATTTTTCTTTTAATTTTAATTTTTTTAATATGAAAATAGTGAAAAATTTGAACCTTATAAGAACTCTGTATGGCACTAAGTCACTCATGTATTTGTGAACTACCAATATTTCCATCGAAATTTCTGTATTTTTGAACTACCGATATTTCTTATACCATCAATATCATATTTTAGACCTTGGATGAGATTAGATCTTTGTGGTTGCTGCTGGCTTGACTTGGAAGTCTTCTACCATTATCTAATCTTTTAGTAGTAACAGGGAAATAGGACAAAAGAAAATTAATAATGATGTAGCCTTAATAATGATGTGCAAAAAGGCATCCACGACATTCGGGGTTGGCTTGACTTGTTCACTTTAAAGTCTTTCTTTATAATTGCAATTTGCATGGCAAGCCCTGGATGAGTTAACTTGAACAAAAACCTAGAGCTGTAAAGAATTCCATGTAGTTTTGGGTTGGGTTATAGCTGTCTAAAATGCAAGGGTAAAAAATTACCAAAATTGTATGAATCAAAATGGAAAATCTGACAAACTACAAAGAGAACCATTGACTAGACCTTTACCACTAGTCTAGATCCCATTGAGAATTAAAGTTAATATATATTATTGGTTTTCTTTCAGGTTTAACATAATTTGGACAGAAGGTTGTAGTAGGCTTTGTTGCTCCCCAAGCAACTGGGTTTAACAGAATAATCGTGCCATACCAATTTTCTGCATCATGCATCCAGTACTTTTTGCTACTGCTTCCCGAACACCAGAGATTTTAACCCATAAATTCTCAGTGCATTACTCCAAGTTAAACCTAATAACCAAAAAAGTAGCAAACTCTATTACATACTTTTGCAATAGTGTGTGAAGTATGGAAAATTTGTCACATGATTGAGATATTTTGACATGTCGGATTGAGAACATTGTGAGGTCGCTTTATGTATTGACTACTTGACTTTGAAGTCTTGCCCAACTTGTCCAGTGAGCCCGACTACAGTCTACATGTTGGATTTCGACTTGGATTTTGGGGTGAGTAATGACTTGGTCCCAGTGGAAGAAAGCAAATTATTTTTGTCGCCTGTGCGCTTGTATGTCTGTGTTGATTTCTGGGTTGGAAGAGGAATTCTCCGTAATCTTGGATTGGACGTTTGGTCCGACAACAGGCATGAAGATATGCTGAGGAAATTTCGAGCTCTATAATCTTGGATTCAAGTTCACATTATATAACAACCTTGCATGTTGTTCAGCTTTACCCACCACCAACCTACTTTCAGTCTTTTATCATCCCCACTTACAACTAAAGTCTGTTCAAATATGCTTTACCCTAACAAGAAAAGGAAAAGTTTACTCAAATTATGCAGAGACGACCTAATTTCACAAATTCTTTTGATTGGCTGCTTAGAGCCTTAGACATGAAATTAACCATAACAAAATGGCAATCGTGCAGAGACGAAGGGGCACGGCCTAATTACTACCAAAAGAAAACCAAAAGGTGAAAAACCAAGTTAAAGACTTGTTAATGGTAATCAGTTTTCGTTTCCCAAAAATTAACGCGTTCTCTTCAATGGTGTGGATAATCCTTTGAAACCTAGTTATAAAATTTGCATATAGTGCATGTATTTACAAATTGTTTAACACAAGTAAACTTCATGTATTTTACTAACTGAAGTATGAAAGTAATTTCACCTATAGATTTATACTAAAATCCACGTCATTGAGAGCCCGTGCTAATAATTTGGGCTGTGGAAGAAACTCCTCCCCCAAATTCCAAGTGGTTTACTGCCTACGTTGCTTGTTCCAAATATGCCCCTCATTCATGATGTCTTTTATTTGCTTTAACTTTTTGTAATATCGTGCTTTAACTGAAGGTTGATCGATAACCAATTTCGATTTTCTAAAACATGCAAGTTTTTCAATTTCAATCCAAAAGAAAGACCTAGTAGTAGTAGACACCAGCCAATAATTTTTCTTTTTAAAGAAAAAAAAAGAAGACCTTCTATGCCATGTCAATAACCATTACCCTTCTTTCTTTTATTCATTCATTTATTCCTTACAACAGAAAACCATTAGTTCTAAAACGTTACTCTTCTTTCTTTCATCTACAAGCTAGCACATTAGTTCAAATTGTTTATATTCTTCATTTTTCATTTCGTTGCGGGTTGCTAAAATTATGTTTTTAGAAGGCTTGTCTACTAAAAAAGAGAATGAGTTCGCGTCTACTAAAAAAAGGGTTTAGAAGGCTTGATTGGTTCTTATTATTTGCATCATATCTGACCGTCCTCCCGGGCTACTCCCACAAGTCCCACATCGAAACTTCACAAGGTACAAGATAATAGCCACTTGACATTTATGCTCTTGCTTTGTCAATAGTTAACTCCTCTCTATTATATTCCTGTCCAATTTTCAGCGTCGCTCAATTCTGCCCACGAATATATCGTTGCTTAATTAGATGCGATGCAATCGTTTAGATCAAAAGAGACCCTTAGCAAGCCACCGCCAAAGCAACCTCATTGTCATTTATCCAATAACGGGCACTAATATTACACATCGTCTAAGCCACCGAGCACATAAGAAAACTTCTTACATTCATGATTTCACATGTATTATCAACGTATTTACTATATCTTCTTCACATTATTATATATGTTCACTACATCGCTATGCTGTATTATGCGGAAATACATTAGCTTGGATGAGTTATATGTTCTTATTGGGACCAGCGCCTGCCCCACGCTCATATTCATTCTATAAGAAATTGATTTCATATACCTTTTATATTTGCTTTGGGGTAAGGCTTGGCGGAGCCAGTGCATGCCCAAGGTGGGCACTAGCCCCCTCTCAAATATTGTTGTAGATACAATTTTATGTTAGTATATTGTACAAATATTATAAAATTCCTCACAAATTTTTAAATGGCCACTATTTTTTTGTTTCTCTTTCATTTTCATGTCTAAATTTCTTTTGAATTGCATGTATTTTGTCATCATAAAAGAGTGATAGGTTATTCATACCAAAAGTAAAGAAAAAAGAGAGAAAAGTGATAAAATTAGGGATTTCTTAAAAACTAAGTTGATTTGTTATAAAAGAAAGTGTATGAACTTTTAAAAGTGCCCCCTCCTACTTAAATTCCTGGCTCCGCCATGATTAAGAAAAATTTGCTTATAGGCACAGGTACGAGGTCAGTCGTTCTATTTGCTTATAGGCAAGACAATAGACACATATAATATTCTACGTACTAAATTCAACTACAAGTCCCAAAGTCATTAGCATATGCTGGAACTACATAAGTAACTAAAAGCAAGATAAGAAGAGAAAAGCAAAAATTCTCTGCTTGGGGTTCAGCCCTCTGCTCCCTGAATGATCAAACGAAGCAGCCATTATGCTAGCCATTCACTCAACTTCTCTCAAAGCAAGATAAGATATCATCTAAACCCATCCACTTTGACTTTCACGTAATACTAAATTACCAACAATTTTACATATTGTGGAAGACAATTTGAGTCCTGCAGGAATTCGTTTTTCATTTTGTGGAAGACATTTTTTTTTGGTTAATCCCAAGTTCATTTTCCAATTTGCATGAAAACTGATTAAAAATCTAAAAAAATTATATTCTACGCTTCAATCATTCAAATGCTCTTACCAACTCCACGTAGAGGGCCGTGAGCTCAAGTGTCTTCTCATGCATGTTAGCTATTGGCTTTCCAAGATTACCGTGTTGACTCAATGAATGAGCTAAATTAGCTGAACTCAAGAAAGAAAGAAAAAGATGCGGGAATTCCAATTTTGATGGCATAATTAATGTACCAGGTAGCCATTGCAAGAATGACGAAGAAAGTAAGCAAAGAAAGAACAGGAAACCTCTAGATTGATTGCTCTAATTCTCAGAATATACAGAATGAATCCTATTACAGAGAGACTTAGCTTTTATATGCTATTAAAACAACACTAAACAGACTATTAACCATCTAACTGTATTGGAATCTTGACCACGTGCTGGTAGTTACAATGCCAGCTGCAGTATTTATACTAGAATATAGAAAACCTACTTGACATAGGAAATTAAACCAAATCCTAGTAAAATAGGAAAACAAGTATTAAAATAACCTATTAATTTAATATAACTAAAACTTAGCCTTATTGACTGATGCCCACTTAGATTAGGAAAGTCTAATAGATGCTCCTGCATCACATCCATATCAGATATGCAACTCTTTAGGGTTGGGTAAGAATTTGTTTATGGAAATCGTGAGCGACAAGGTAGTGGGTGCTTTTAGTAATGTGTGTTGGAAAGTAATCAATACCTGATTCTAAGGCAACTAGAATAGGAAAACTTTCTTTGTAATTGTTTGACTTTCCTTAGAATTGCTGTACAATTCTTTTCCTAGTTAGGCTGTGTATATTTTCCTAGTTAGGCTTGCGTTCTCCCTGTATAAGAATATTGTACAATCAATAGAATAATTATTCCGGCATAATATCTTCTATACCAATTTTACAATGTGTGTCCTCCTCTTGTCGTTTTGTCCTATCTCTCTTCAGGATAGTTTCATCAAAGCATTCTAATAACAATGGCGTGATGTTTATTTAACCTGAGTAGGTAAATCAACACAGAAAAGCCCTCAGTTCTCTCTCTCTCTCTCTCTCTCTCTCTCTCTCTCTCTCTCTCTCTCTCTCTCTCTCTCTCTCTCTTTGATTCACGGCCAACCGGCCACGGCAGGACGTGAGACAAGTCACGTTCGAACTGGCTCGACGCCCCGGCCACGTCGCACCCAAAATCGCGGCTGGAAACCCCGAAGTCCGGCCACAGTTTTCGACTGGTTTAAACCGGGCTTTTCCTGTTGGTGCACCGCCGCCTCCGCCGCCCAATCCCGGTGAAATAGGTATGGTTCCTCACCTATTTCTCGAGCTCTAGCCGCCTATTTGGTAGGATTGGATCAATTTTTAGTGTAGATAACTCGATTTAAAACTTAGGTTTTGGCCGGATTTCGGGTTGAAATTGGATGCTGCCGCAGTTGAATAAGTTGCTCCACTCGTCGAATAGTAGCTATAGCCGGAAAGGTGGCTCTCGATTTTGAAGTTTTCCGGCAATCGGTATCGCTTTGGACACCCACGTGCTGCCAGCGTGTGTGGCGGCAGTGGGCACTATAGCAGAGGGGCATTATGTCCCAATGCGATCTCCTAGTTGTCACGAGCGCGTAGGAATTTGCGGATCCCAATTCGGATACCGTTTGATTCTCGAACGGATATCGCCTATTACGTGTTATCCGGGTTCGATAGGTTCGAACCGTTGGATTGAATCCAATTTAATATATGTTGATCTAGGTATTCCTAGGATCATGTAGGATTTGATGGATTGTAAAACGGAGTCTCGGATACTCCGAAAATGCCAACCCTAGGGTTGGGTTTGTAGTAACTGTCCGATCGTGCGATCGAGAGTGATCCGACCGTCGGATCTAAACCAAACTTGCATGACGTGTGTCCTAGGCCTTGTGGAACCTATAGGATCTTTTGGATCGGAGTTTGGAGGTCGCGGGCCTCGTGGGCCCGTTTGACCAAGTTTAGGTAGTTTGAACCCTCGGTTGACTATAGTCCTCTAAGGTTGTTTCACCTTCGGGGAGTGCTAGAATGGCCGTTATTTGAGTTTAGTGACTATGTTGGGAGTTTGACTATTGGTTTATTTATCATAGGAAAATACTTAAATATTATGTTAGTACTTGAGATTGGGTTACCCGTGTGGATTATATGGTTAAGTATCATTAATTATTGTGGAAAATTATATTTATGTATGTTAAAGATATAAAGATGTATGATTACGTTATGTAAGTACCATCCTGTGCTTGTGAGGTTGCACGTGTCGTAGGAGTAGCCGGCGTGTTGACATACCCCATACGTGGTGTTGGTATATCCGGCGTATGGGGAGATATGTGATATTGCGTTGAGGTTGCACGTGTCGTAGGAGTAGCCGACGTGTTGACAGACCCCATACGTGGCGTTGGTATATCCGGCGTATGGGGAGATATGTGATATTGCGTTGAGGTCGCACGTGTCGTAGAAGTAGCAGGCGTGTTGACAGACCCCATACCTGGCGTTGGTATATCCGGCGTATGGGGAGATATGTGATATTGTGTTGAGGTCGCTTGTGTCGTAGGAGTAGCCGGCGTGTTGACAGACCCCATACGTGGAGTTGGTATATCCGGCATATGGGGAGGGTATGTGATATTATGGTAGATAAATAGCAATTTGTGTTTGGTAGTTGTGAGATAAAGTCAAGGGTTTTAGAGTAAAGAACTATGTGTGGGTTGATCCCTCCGGGAGGGTATGTAGGCAGCCTAGGGTGATGCCTGGGTGTAGCCGCGGGTTAAACCTGACCTTGTTGTTGGTCATGAAACTTGGTTGAATTGAGGCTTGGTCGGTGGACTAAGCGAGTGTGATTGTGGTTCAGTTAGGTTTGAAATCCTTTTTGGATTGTTGCACGGCCTAGGTTGAGACCCTAAACTACTTGTGGTTGTGTTAGGAGGTTCAAACCTCGTATGTTGGTTATTTGGGAAGTTATTCTACGTTGATTTCAGTAGGCGTTCATAAATAAGTTTGTGTTTATATTATGCATTGTTTTATGCATTAATTTGATTTAAGAATATTGAGAGGAATATGGAGAGTGAGAGTATATTGAAGAGAACTAAGAAGTGAATGTGGGGGTAGATTAGATGCACTGAGATATTTTTGACATTGTGAGATATAGGGTATTGATTATTACACTAAGGGTGTCACGTTTCTGGAAACGTGTCTATCCAAATTGTCATATCTCAATATCCTATGGGAGGAAATCTGAAGAGCTGAAAGTATTGAATCCGCTGAGACGAGATAAAATTGTCAGAGAAAGTTGATGGACAAGTTACATGGGAATGGAGGAGTTGTGAGTACGACCAATGGAGGTCGAGACAAATTCAAGTGAGAAGTAGTGGTGTTGGGTGAAGTATCATTTCACTCGCATGGGCTTGAATGCCGCGACTGACGGGAGTGAAACATTATGGTTCTTCTTCCTTGCTCTCTCACGCGGTAAATTTTAACTCTAAAATTTCTTGGAAGCCCGGCCACTGTGAATTTGATCGGCGACTTGGGTTACTTTCGCCCATCTTTCTGGAAAGGGAACCAAGTTGAGAAAGAGGAAGAGGAAAGATACATAGGCCGTTGAGGCAGAAGTAGAGCCGAAGCTTTACCACAGACAGAGGTTGTTTTAGAAGTTTCGGAAGATTGGGAGCAGAAGCCGGAGATTTCGTATGAGGCAACACCTGTACCTATTGTATAGTTGGATGTTCCCTATGATAAAGTTGCTTGCTAAATTCATATAGGCGGGAGAACATGGAGTTGCTCAACCTGCTTCTAGGGATCCTCCATTGCCTGAACATGTTGCTAGTTTTCTTTGGGAAGAATAACTTCCTGATATTGGATCATGGGATTCATGACTTGAAAGACGACATTAGAATAATCGAAACCACAAGTGTGGAAAAAGATTAAGATGGTCGTCTTTCTCTTTGAGAAAGAGGCTTGTGTGTGGTGGGGATACCGTGGTCAAGTCCAAGGATGAGACCCAAATGGATCTGGTAGTCCTATCTATAGAAGACGGAGAGAGTGCTTGGGGGTCTCATCTCATGTGAGCACGTCTGAGTAGAAATCTTTCATTAGAATCATAAATGGGTCATGGTAGAGAGTGGAAGATGATGATTACAGTTCGGTAAAAATGATCTTTTCTGATATCCCTATCAAGAAATCCTGTTGGTAATGTTGTTCATTGATTCTAAAGCGAGAGGGAAAATATCAACAAGTCAAAGAATTCTGAGAAGGTTGAAGAGCAAGAATGGAAGTGTTAGCTTGGAGAAAAGATTAAGCATTACAGCAGCTATCAGAAGATATTTTAGCGGGAGAGGGACACTTCTCTTTTTCTGTTTGCTTAGCTAGAGCTTTTGGCTTCACTGTCGACATGGTGAGGAGGAAGAAACATTGGAAACCTGGGTAGTAGATGCAGGCCCAGTACTATTTGTGCCTAATAAATCACGGTCATAAACTGACCGAAGGGACTTCCTCTCGGCCCTAGCACCTGCTCATGAACTGAAACGGCTACGTTTCGTTAGGCATTTTGCCTTCCTGAAAACAAAAGAAAAGCTGTGAAGGTAGAATTCTCTCTGCCTCGCGACTGCGGTATTATAGGCCGAAGCCGAAGGTCGTAAGAGACACGGCCGAAGATACTGTGGTTAAATCGCCACGTGGCCTCAGGGTCCCACGCCCCATTTAATGAAGTAATGCATCTGACTATCGCAGCAAACCCACTAGTCGCAATAATCATTTAATGCACGAGAGAAGAGGGGAAGTGATTGAAGTCAGGATTTGGTGATGGAATCAGAGTGGTTAGGCGCAAACATTCTCACAAGTATTCTTACAACTTAAGGTCAGATCACCAACCACCAGACCATGGCCAATGGGGCAGAACCCACGATCAGGGCGGTGGCCGAGATTTACCAGGATTTATGGGGGTCACACCACCATGCTTCACGATCCCAAATGCCGATTTGACTACCCACTTGCCCCGATCAGGCTTCACCACACAGATCTTTTTAGCCTTGATTGTCCCTCAGGACTCCTCCTAAATCTTAAACTCAAAACTACATTCAAAGGGTCCAAACACCAAACCAAAAGCCTCCCACGGAGCAAATTATATTTTCTTGTAATGCACTTTCAATAACTTTATTTGCTTTCCTAGGAGTAGTGGTAGATTGTAAAGAAAATCCATTCATCAATATATCATACGACTCTTGATTTTCAAGGCGCCGGAGCACCATCTTTGTTATTATCTCATTCACCCCATATATCATACGATCGTCGCTCTCTGAGCAACGCGCCGGAGCACTGCCTAAAAACCGCAACCAACACCACCACTAAACGGCCTTGTAGCTCAGGCCGTGAACCTGACAGCCGAGATCAGTTCCTTTCTCGGCCACAGTCGTTTGATTAGGAGTCGAACTCAAAACAGGCGCATCACTTAACCGTCTTCTACCCAAACCTCATCACCATTTCGACGAACGGTAAACCGTGCCGGCACGCCCGCGCACAACTGCATCGCATCCAAAAGAAGGACGTCACGTGTTAACGCACATCCTCTCGGCCCGGAGCACCAGGCTGTAAGATTTGCGCAGCCAACAAGTACACATACACCTTCAAGTGGTAGGTACGAAATTTCGAGGACGAAATTTTTATAAAGGGTAGTCTGTAACGACCCGGTCCTAAACAAATGGATAAACATTAATTTATTCAGATAAAGGACCATTTTTGCCCATAGAATATTTTATTAGGTTTAAAGTTGACTTTTTGACCGGGAAGGAATTTGGGAATTCCAACTATACCGTTGCGTAGAGTACGACGAGATAAGTCCATAGACACGTAGTGGGCTCGAATCGGAGTTGTAACGAGAGAGATAAGATCAAAATACCCTTAGTAGCATAATTGTAAATATTTCGAAATGAGATTTTGATAAAAGTCAGAAAAACTCTCTCTCTCTCTCTCTCTCTCTCTCTCTCTCTCTCTCTCTCTCCCCGATACCGTCTCTCTTTCTCTCTTCGATTCACGGCCATCTTGCCACGGCAGGACTTGAGACCGGTCACGTTCGAGCTGGCTCAACGCCCCGGTCATGTCGCACCCAAAATCCCTGCAGGAAACCTCAAAGTCCGGCCACGGTTTCTACTGGTTTGAACCGGGCCTTTCCCATTGTTGCGCCGCCGCCTCAGCCGCCCAATCCCGGTGAACAAATATGGTTCCTCACCTATTTGTCAAGCTCTAGCTGCCTGTTTGGTAGGATTGGACCAATTCTTAGTGTAGATAACTCGATTTGGAACCTAGGTTTTGGCTGGATTTCGGGTTGAAATTCAGGCCACTTGCCGTCTGAATTGGATGTTGCCGCAGTTGAATAAGTTGCTCCACTCGTCGAATAGTAGCTATAGTCGGAAGGGTGGCTCTTGATTTTGAAGTTTTCCGGCAATCGGTATTGCTTTGGACACCCATGCGTTGCCAGCGTGTGTGGCGGCGGTGGGCACTGTAGCAGAGGGGCATTATGTCCCAATGCGATCTCCTAGTTGTCACGAGCGTGTAGGAATTTGCGGATCCCAATTCAGATACCGTTTGATTCTCGAACGGATATCTCCTATTACTTGTTATCCGGGTTCGATAGTTTCGAACCGTTGGATTGACTCCAATTTAATATATGTTGATCTAGGTATTCTTAGGACCATGTATGATTCGACAGATTGTAAAATGGAGTCCCGGATACTCCGGAAATACCAACCCTAGGGTTGGGTTTGTAGTAACCGTCCGATCGTGAGATCGTGAGTGATCCGACCGTCGGATCTGAACCAAACTTGCATGACGTGTGTCCTAGGCCTTGTGGAACCTATAGGAATTTTTGAATCAGAGTTTGGAGGTCGTGGGCCCTGTGGGCCTGTTTGACCAAGTTTAGGTAGTTTGACCCTCAGTTGACTGTAGTCCTCTGAGGTTGTTTCACCTTCGGGGAGTGCTAGAATGGCCGTTATTTGAGTTTAGTGACTATGTTGGGAGTTTGACTATTGGTTTATTTATCATAAGAAAATACTTAAATATTATGTTAGTACTTGAGATTGGGTTACCCGTGTGGATTATATGGTTAAGTATCATTAATTATTGTGGGAAATTATATTTATGTATGTTAAAGATATAAAGATGTATGATTACATTATGTAAGTACCATCCTGTGCTTGTGAGGTTGCACGTGTTGTAGGAGTAGCCGGCGTGTTGACATACCCCATACGTGGCGTTGGTATATCCGGCGTATGAGGAGATATGTGACATTGTGTTGAGGTCGTACGTGTCGTAAGAGTAGTCGGCGTGTTGACAGACCCCATACGTGGCATTGGTATATCCGGCGTATGGGGAGATATGTGATATTGCGTTGAGGTCGCATGTGTCATAGGAGTAGCCAGCGTGTTGACAGACCCTATACGTGGCGTTGGTATATCCGGCGTATGGGGAGATATGTGATATTGTGTTGAGGTCGCTTGTGTCGTAAGAGTATCTGGCGTGTTGACAAACCCCATACGTGGCGTTGGTATATCCGGCATATAGGGAGATATGTGATATTGCGTTGAGGTCGCACGTGACGTAGGAGTAGCCGGTGTGTTGACAGACCCCATACGTGGCGTTGGTATATCCGGCGTATAGGGAGATATGTGATATTGTGTTGAGGTCGCACGTGTCGTAGGAGTAGCCGGCATGTGGACAGACCCCATACGTGCCGTTGTTATATCCGGCGTATGGGGAGATATGTGATATTGCGTTGAGGTCGCACGTGTCGTAGGAATAGCCAGCGTGTTGACAGACCCCATACGTGGCGTTACTATATCCGGCGTATGGGGAGATATGTGATATTGTGTTGAGGTCGCACGTGTCGTAGGAGTAGCCGGCGTGTTGATAGACCCCATATGTGGAGTTGGTATATCCGGTGTATGGGGAGATATGTGATATTGTGTTGAGGTCGCACGTGTCATAGGAGTAGTCGGCGTGTTAACAGACCCCATATGTGGTGTTGGTATATCCAGAGTATGGGGAGAGTATGTGATATTATGGTAGATAAATAGCAATTTGTGTTTGGTAGTTGTGAGATAAATTCAAGGGTTTTAGTGTAAAGAACTAAGTGTGGCTTGATTCCTTGGGGAGGGTACGTAGGTAGCCTAGGGTGATGCCTGGGTGCAGCCGTGGGTTAAACCTGACCTTGTTGTTGGTCATGAAACTTGGTTGAATTGAGGCTTGTTCGGTGGACTAAGCGAGTGTGATTGTGGTTCAGTTTGGTTTGAAATCCTTTTTGGACTGTTGCACGGCCTAGGCTGAGACCCTAAACTACTTGTGGTTGTGTTAGGAGGTTCAAACTTCGTATGTTCGTTATTTGGGAAGTTATTCTACGTTGATTTCAGTAGGCGTTCATAAATAAGTTTGAGTTTATATTATGCATTGTTTAATGCATTAATTTGATTTAAGAACATTGTTGGTAGTTTGGTTTCAGAATATTTGAAGGCTGGAGGCCGTTTATTTGAATTGCATGACATTTTATTGTGCATGCAGCATGCTGCCGGTTGAGTTATTAAAATGTGTTTTATGCAGGTAGAAATTTTTGGGAAATGTTCAATTTACAGGAGAGACTCTGCCGAAATTTCGGTAGAAAGTTTCGTACCCTTACTCCTTTCGAAAAAGGAGGCTACATTTTTTTAGTGAGTGGGGGCCGAAATCGGTATGATGTCGGCCATTCCACAGGATTTGCCCCGAGTTTCGAGAAATTCGAGGCGAGTCTTGATAGGAAGTTCAACAAATACGTTCATTTATTTACAGGCTTTCGATGTGGTTAAGTCGCATACATTTAAACTTCACAAGAATTAGGCAAAGGTATATGCCAAGGTGTTCATTGAATTTACCAAGGTTCCGTAGTGGAATAGGATTTGAAGGCATATAAAACTCATGACAACATTATAACCATGGCCTTCAATACATGATTATGGCATAATACTACAAAAGAAACAAAAAGCTAAGGAAAAAAACGAAGATAATTTTGCTTTAACTCACGTTGCATTATACTACACACATGATTATGGCATAATTAACCTAAAATATGAAAGCAGAAGCACATTGCTAATTTCGTGGATCTTGAAATACAGGAAAAGAACACCAGCCTCAGCCCCTTCATGCATTGCTCTTCTTAATCAATTCAACGTCTCCACCTTCGATTTATGTGAACATGTCTTCGATGAATACCAATTCTTTCCTGCTGAGGGAATATCTTGAGAATGATATTGTACATAGCTCTGTAATACCACTTACTCAATCTCTTGCATAACACAAGTGACCCAATGGAAACTCCAAAGCCAAATATAAATCCAATTTCGGTACTGATAAGATCCCAATTCACCTCACGATGATGTCCAGAATTTGGAGGCCTTCCATTCACTGTTGGTGGTGGTGGCAATCCTGCTTTGTTATCCACCGTCAAAGGAGGTCCCCATAATCCTTTGTTACCTATAAATGAGTCTTTTGGACCGCAAATTGTTGTGAGCTAGGTCTATGATTTGAAGCATTGGCCAAGTGCCATTGGTGTTGGGACATCCAATACCTCCATAAAATGGTTGGACCGCAAATTAAGGACATGCAGAGTCAAGTTCATCAACAAGCATGGAAAGGCATCTTTTATCAAATTGTTTCCAAGGTTTAAAAGCTGTAAACCACTACAGTTAGCTAGAGACTTTGGAAACTCACCTTTTATCTGATTTTCACTGAGGTCTAGAGTGCTGAGGGAACACCAACCTGGAAATTCTAAATTAGAAACACGTCCAGTAAGGTTGTTTCCCCTTAAATTAAGTACTCCAAGGGATTCTTTTGCAGACAAGCATCGGGGAATCATGCCACTCAGAGAATTATTGGACAGATCAAGAACCTGAAGAAAACGGGGATTGCATATCGATGTTGGAATGATCCCATGCAAGTTATTGCTTGAAAGCGATAAGAAGAAAAGGGAATCACCAATGTCAGTTGGTATACTAGAGCTGAAATGATTTCTTGAGTAATCCATAAACTCTGCAGTTAGTGATGGGAGTGGCCCCTGGAGCTGGTTTGAATGAAGGTCAACAACAGAAGTAGTGAAATTAGGTACATGACCTGAAAAGGAGTTACAAGAAAGATTTAGGGAGAAAAGATCGAGCCCCCAAATCCATTTAGGTATCATGCCTTGAATTTGGTTTTGTGAAAGGTCCAACTTGACTAAACCGGATTGATATCTCAAGAAATCTGGAATTGTTCTCAACTTGTTAGAAGTCAAATTTAAACGAACGATATTTGGAAATGAGGAATATGAGGAAGTGGTGCCATTATAAAAAAACAGCAAGCTATTGTACGAAAGATCAATTTCATTAAGATTTTTCAGCTGTTGGGGACCATTGAAAGGAAAGGCACTGAAATTGTTTGAAGAAAGATTAAGGCTTTCAAGTGCGTGAAAATTAAAGATAGACGAGGATATTAGTCCTTCCAAATTGTTGGAACTCAAATCAAGGCTGAGTAAGTAAGAGGAAGAAGCGTCAGAAAATTCATGGAGTTGACCAGAGAATTGATTGTGGGAAAATAGTAAAAATTTCAGTAAGGGAAGAGCAAAGATAGAGGATGGAATACTCCCCTCGAGTAGATTGTTGTACAAGCGGAGATCTATCAGATTAACAAGATTTTCCCACGGAATAGAATCAATTGGACCATTAAGCATGTTTGATGACAAATTCAAATAAACCAATTGTTTTAGGCTCCCCATTGTCTTTGGAATTGATCCAGTGAAATTGGAAATCAAGATACCTCAAACTGGTAAGGTTTCCGATTGCAGATGGAATGGGAGAGCGATAGCCAATTCCGGTGTTGATAGTTTCTCCGCTAAGGTCAAGACCAACAACATGTCCACTACTGCAAGTAACACCATCCCAAAAACAACAGTCAGTTCTTGAATCCCAGTACATAACCTTGGTTGAGTACAAACGAGAATAAGGTTTATGATGATAAGGTGTAAGGCTTTGCTTCAAATGGAGCAATGATAGTTGCTGGTGTTTAGTGCAGAGGCTGTGAACTGCAGGGATGGTAGTAAAAGAGATTGTAGGGATTAAGAATAAGAGGAAGAAATATTGGAGCAAATGTCTCATTTTGAATAACTTTTTTAGTTCTGGAGACGCTGGCAGGGAAAGTGATGAACAACATATGAGAATTTGAGAAAGAAAGGTTGTGGTGGTTTAATGTGTGTGTAAATATATATATATATATATATATATATATATGCGTGGTCAGTGAGAGAGTCAGGACTTTTGCCTCAAAGGGTCAAGGTGTAGAAATTTCGGATTATCCGCAACACAACGCGGCCATCTAACTGACTCCGTCTTAACTTGAACTACCATGCAGCATGGTAAATTAGAAAAGGCCTCCTCCCTCCTAGGTTGATGAAATTAATCATGTATTTGTGGTCGCTGTTGGCTTGACTTTGAAGTCTTCTTCCGTCTGTAACAAGGAAAAAGAAAGCGTGGAATTTTGCCCCAACAAATTTGACACCGTGAGAGAGAGAGAGAGAGAGAGAGAGAGAGAGAGAGAGAGAGGTTTAAGAAAGTCGATGCATGATAAGTCTTACTCTTACACCCATAAATGCACGTTCATGTTTTTCTCTGTGAAGTTAAACTGTCCCATCCCACCTACGTGCTCTGGGTTTCCATATTTTTGGTGTCATTTCTGGTATAATATAATTTGGACAGAAGGCTGTAGTATGTGTTCTCTTGCTCCCCAAGTAATTAGCGGGTTTAATAGAATAAGTTACACTTGTGCAATATCAATTTGCATCATGTATGCAGTACTTTTGCTTCATGGATTTAACCACCAGATTTTAACCCAGAAATTCTCTTGCTCCCCAAGTTAAACTAGAATTTTTAAACATTGACCAACCAAAATACCAAACTCTAATTACACTTTGACGTGAATTATGGAAAATTTGTCGCATGAGATGTTGATATACGTTGGATTGAGACTATGAACATTGTTGTGAGCTTGCTTTATGGATTGACTAGTTGACTTGTTGACTTTGAAGTCTATCTGTCGAGTTGGCCCGGCTACAGTCTACATATGTTGCTTTCCTATTTAAATTTTTCGGTGAGTGTTTTCTCAAAAAATAAAATAAAATAAAAATTCGGTGAGTATTGGTCAAGATCAATAGTCATGGCTCATGGCCCAAACTAGGATAACAACCCTAACTACCTCAAATTCTAGGGCCATATATTAGAATAGTTTTAAAATATATATCTCATTTAATTTTATTTTGCTTTATAAAAATAAAAAAATAAAAAAATAAAACCTAAGATTACAAAATTCCCAAACCATCCTTAAAACTTAAAAAGAACTGCACAAACCCTTCTACAGCACAGAGGAAAAGAGAGAATTGACCAAGCTTCCGTAGTGGAATAGGATGGAGGCATATGAGACCATCTCCAACTATGTTGAAAGTCATGACAACTTTTTAACCATGGAAAATTTTAAGCAAGCAAACGATAGTAATATGTTTTGCACTCACATTGCATAATACAAGATAAATGATTATTAAGATAAAGGCTTTTTATCACAAATGGTCCATGAGATTTGCAAAATTATCACCTTTAGTCTGTAACGTTTATTTTTGTGACACTAATGGTCCTTAACATTATCCTCCACACATCAAAATAGTCCATATCGTTAGCTTCCGTCAAATTTTTTGTTAAATTGCTGACGTGACACATGTGTGGAGCCCACACATCCAATAGTATAAAGGCACATGGTTGTAAATAAAATAAAATAAATTTTAAAACTTAAAATCCCTTTTTTTAAAAAAAATCTCACTTACTATATTCTGTCTTTCTCTTTCTTTGTTCATCAAAGCCAAAGCCAAAGCCAAAAAAAACCCCAAGGGATCAAAGATATCAACTTTAAAGCACCCACCTTTCAATTTCCAAACAAAATCCATTCTTTCTTTCATTTATGGCTTCTCTGTCTGCTACTGCTGCCACTACAAGTTCTCATCACCATCCACCGCCTTTCTACTTCGATGAGAAGTGGAAGCTGTCAAAGAAAGAAGGGTCATGGAGATCGAGCTGTTCATCTTCTTGCCCTCACATAAGTGTGGGCACCACACATGTGCCACGTCAGCAATTTAATAGAAAATTTGACGGACGCTAACGACAGGGACCATTTTGACGTGTGGAGGATAACGTTAAAGACCATTATTCAAAAAAAAAAAAAAAAAAAAAAAAAAAAAAAAAAAAAAAAACGAAAGGTGAGAAAATTTCGTAAACCTCAAGGACCATTTGTGATAAAAAAAAAAAAGCCTAAGATAAAATATGACAGCAGAAGGACAAAGACATTATTTCGTGTATCTTGAAATAAAGAAAAAGATGGCCAGGGACATCTCCAAGCCTTCAGGCATACATGGATTGGAGTCCAGCTGCATTGCTCCTCAACTCTCCACCTTCGATTTATGTGAACATGTCTTCGATGAATTCCAATTCTTTCCTCCAGCTGTGGGAATATCTTAAGAATCATCCTGTACATAGCTTTGTGATACCACTTACTCCATCTCTTGCACAACACAAGTGACCCAACGGAAACTCCAAAGCCAACTGTAAATCCTATTTCAACACTGATAAGATCCCAATTAATCCCACGATGGCCATACTTTGGAAGGCTTCCATTTAATGCTTGTGGTGGTGATAATTCTTCTTTGTTATTCACTGTCAAAGGAGGCCCCATATTCCTTTGTTTCTTGTAAATAAGTCTTTTGGAAATGTTGAAAATTGAGTACTGGTTGGGGGATCCTATAACGTGGGTTATAAGTAATTATAGCACAAGTGCAAAATTTGTCGCATGAGATATTTTGATATGTCATTGAACAGAAAGACTTGTTGAATTGTGAGATTGCTTTATGGATGGACTAGTTGACTCGTGACTTTCAAGTCTTGCCCTATTTGTCTAGTTGGATTTTTCGGTGGCTCTTTACTTCACTAAGGTCAGTCAATACGTCAATGACTCAATATAATTAAACACAACGTCATGGTTATGTGTCATAGCTCTAGGTCTAGGGTTCCCATTATATGGACATATTTTCATGTTAATTTCTGGGTTGGTTGGAAGAGGAATTCTCCATAAACTTGGAATGGAGATGTTTGGTCCGACCTTAGACATGAAAATGCTGAGGGAATTTCGAAACAAAGAGCAGAGTTGCTCTGTACTCACTACAAAAAAAAAAAAGGTTCATTACCGACCAACTTTTTCCGAGGGCTCCCAAATTCCCTCAGCAAAAGTGTTTTTTTCGGGCGAAAAAATGTTGTCCATTGGAAATATGTCACAGGGCTGGAATTTATTTCTAACAAAGGAACGGCCCTTTAAAAAGTCTCTATAGTTGTCATAAATGTAATTTATTTGGTAGGAAAACTTGGTGCTAACTTTATTAACGACAAAAAATTTGTTTGTCAGAAATAAGATGATTATTTTCGAGGGGTTTCTCATGCCCTCGAAATTGTTTGACTATTTCTAAGGAGAAATATGTCCGCTCGATAATGCAATTACATTTACGACCAAACTCAAACTTGTCGGTAATAGTTGTGCTTGTTTCGGAGGGCATATTCACAGTTGTCGGAAATCGCAACCTAGTTCTGAGGGCAACATATGGTTGCCGGTAATAATTTTTCTATTTACAAGGGGAATTAGCAGTCATCGAAAATGACTATCTTAACATATTCACAACAAATTAAATTTAAAAAAAATACACCCAAAAAAGCTACTCATTCCTTACAACAAATCCATTGATTTTAGAGGTCTAAAATAACGATTCCACATAATTGAGGGATCTAAGAAGCAAGAGTGTTGGTTGTCACATTGAATTTACATTACCACAACCTGTCGTCACACTTTCAAGAGCATGCCAATATAATTCCTTATTGTTTTTTATTTTTTGTTGTATCATTTTATGTGGAGAATCTCTGTTGAACTAGCTCCGACGGTGCCGAGTGGAAGGGCCGTCGCTCAACGGATAAAAGTTACTGTAGGGATAACAGGCTGATCTTCCCCAAGAGCTCACATCGACGGGAAGGTTTGGCACCTCGATGTCGGCTCTTCGCCATTTATTTTTATAATTATTCATATTTTAATATACTGTTGGTTTATATATTTGTTTCTTTAAAATGTAGTTGTGTGTTTTTTTTTACGCCTTCTCACCCACCACCCCCCCCCCCCCCCCCCCCCCCCCCCCCCACCAAAAAAAAATGAGAAACTCCCTCTCTGGTTCTGACTTCAATTCTCGAATTGAAAGGGTATTTTATGAGAAAGAAAATTGTTATATTGAATTTGATTGTGGGACTAGGTAAATGATGTTGAGACAAATATGAGGAACCCAACTACTGATTGCACTCTAAAGAATATTCTTCACTCATGGCTACCAACTTAGAATCTACATACCATCCTTCAATTTGCAGATCCTCTTTTGAAAACATCTGGATCAGGAAGCAATGTGTTTATATCCTCTGTTTCTGGTTTGGTGGGTATAGGTTCTGGGACCAACAAGTAGTAAAGGTGAGCTACTGCTCTGTTATGGTTTGTCTCCTTTTGCTCCATAGTCCATAGTCAATATATTGTATTAAATTTGATGAGTGTGAAAAGGCAAAAGCTGAAGCCTTTTTCATTTTCTCCTCTTCTCCGTTTTCAGCTGCAATCAATCATTTTGCAAAAAATCTGGCTTGTGAGTGGGCCAAAGACAATATCAAGAGCACTTCTTTCTACCCTTACCAGAACCTCACTTGTTGAACATGTAATACTCTTTCCTTCTTATGGTCTTTTAGGTGTTATACATATGTTTCAACATTATTTCAATTACAATTTTTTGTGTTTGGCTAAAAGTACACCAGAGAAGTTTATATCAGGGCTATTCGCCATGAAAATGCACCAACAAAACCTCAGGCTTCTTTCTCACCCAACAATAGGAATTACATTGAAAGCGAATGTGTTAGTTCTCCTTTCTTAGGTTACTTAGGAATTGGGATAGACAGTTATATGAAGAGAGTTTTACTAAAACACCCAAAATGGGGGCTGAAATTATAAAAAAACCCAACACCCAAAACACTTTATAAACACACTCAAAACCCATTTATAAACACACCCAAAAAATATACAATTGTTGATTTTGGGTGTGTTTCTATGTTTAAATAGTGCTTGGGTTTTTTTATAAATACATGTCTAGGATTGGGTTTATTTATAAATTTGTATTATATGAATTATATGCTTACAAAGACAGTGAGCATTTTATGGACTAGATAATGTTCAGCTTCATTACTAAAATATAGATAGAATAATTGACATACTTCTTACATCATGTTCAACTTAGAACTGTGGCAAAATAAACTTTACCATTTTATTTGACATTTCAATACCTCAAAACTAAATAACAAACTTATCTAGTTACTGGTTTCCTTTGTTTCAAGATGGGAGCAGATCTCAGACAAAGCTGCAAGCAATTATATCTCCAACAGCACTTAGAACCCAAGAAAAACATTAACTAGTGTTCTTTATTTGATCCATTTTGTCATGTTTCAGGTATGTTATTAAACTCTTAATCTTTTTCTTTACCTCATAAATATCAATTTGAGGTTATCATGATTAAGATCTTGAGTTCGCGTTTGAAAAACATTGAACGAAAAAGCCACTTTCTGTTATGTGTAAAAATTAGATTAATCAACTGTTTCTTTATTTCGTTTTAAGGCATGTAATTATGTTTTTTAATTCCTCATATATTTTATTTCATCCAAAAAAATATTTATATGTTTTCAATTCATGATCATAACTATTTGTATATAGGTGTGCTTGAATCATGGGATACGATTTTGCATTTCAAGGAAGCCGTATTTACATACAAGTCACACGAAGACCTAAAAGTTGCATTCAAACACCTCATTCAGTTGGAAGTGGGCTTCGAGGACTAGTGATATAGGATATATCTTAGGATTGTAATGAGTTTCTTTTGGAATTTGTTACATTGATCTTTTACTAATGATAATATATATTATTTTTCGGACACCAATTTCTCATTGGAAATATTTTTTATATTTCTTTTATATTTATACATTCCGACGGCTTTTTACTCTTGTTAATCGCTATAAATATAGTCGGAAAAACATTTTTTTCGACACACTTCCATGTTGGAAATGCACAATTCCGACAAATTATATTTATCACAAATAATACTCTAGGGTCGAAAATACTATTTTCGACCAAGAGTCATTGGTTGAAAATATAGAGTCACAAAACAAAATACCTCGATAAAAAACTATTTTCGATAGTCGTATAAGTATTTGCAACCATATTTATGGTTGGAAATAATTTTATATGGTTGTTTTGAAAATCCATTTATGATAGAAATATAATCCATATTGACAAAACATGGGCGTTGGAAATAAATTATTTCCGATGGACTGGTCCGAAAAAAAACCTATTTCCAACTAGTTTTTCTGACCACTTGCCGTCGAAAAAGGGTATTTCCGACGGCAGAAGGCCTTTTCCAACCACAAACTGCCCTCGCTAAAGGCATTTTGTTTTGTAATGACTGTTATAGATTCAGGTGAAAAATTAATCTTTAGTGCCTACAAATACTAGATAGATTTTATTTGGAAGCTTTAAAAATAAGAATGTAAGACCCGTGTATTGGGGAAACAAGAACGATGAGCAGTCCCACAGAACTCGGGGAGGGAAAGGTGAAATGCCTTATATGTGTGAGCACTTCTCTTCATAGCTAGAGGCCTTTTGGGCAAGATAGCATTAGCTTGAGGGTTAATAAATTTGCATATAGCATGTTATGCATTCTTTACATTTAATACATGTATTTTTTTACAAATTTTTTTAACAATACAAGAAAAAAATATTACACTTTTAACATTTTAATAAATAGTCTATAATAGCTGAGACTTTCACTGTATTCTTTTTTTTAGATAGTATATAATAGCTGGATCTCAAGGAACATCCACAATTCAAATCCCGGTGATTGGCTGTTTAGAAGAATGTCACTGCCTAATTAATAGTAAAATATATGTACTTAAGAGATTAATTATTTATTTGTCGTCGTTGTTGGCTTTGAACTCTTCTCCCATGTCCCGCTTACGTACTCTGGGTTTTCCATAAAGGCATGGTCATCTTTTTCTCTGTTAAATAAGTGCATTTGATTTATTTTTGTCATGTCAATAATCATTACTGGGGGAGACTTTGGAAAAATACAAAGGAGAGAGAAATTTTGTAAAAGAAGCCAAAATGGACAAAATTGCCCTTATTTATTTTTGTATTTCCTAAAAAATCTTTTACATTTACATGTCTTTCATTTGAAAGTTGAGAGGTTTTTCTGTTTTTTTTAAAAAGCTTTTGCTTTCTCCAAAAGTGAAATTATTTTTTTGGCTAAAACCTAAATTTACTTTTTTCTTTTTTTGTTTTTTTTTTTACTCAAAATCCGCTAGCTCCAAGTTATGTAATTTTTTTTTTTTTTTTTTTTTTTTTGTGCGGAGAAATTGGTTTAGATAGAAGGCCTTTTTTATTCTTTACATACTAGTCTAAATTACGGGAGGGGAAGATGAAGAAGCTTAGAAGGACTTTCAGCAGGGAGGAGGAGATTGGGGAGACGAAGAGTGGAGGACGATGAGAAGTTTGACCATTTTTTTATTATTTAAATTATTTTAAACCAAATTAATTTAAAAAATGAGAAAATTAAAATTAAGTGATGTGGCTTGCGCAAGCCCACCTCTTTTTTTATTTTATTTTATTTTTAATTTTTTAATGTAGTAGCCAATGGGGCGCCCTCTCTTTTCCAAAACTCCGCGTTTCATTGTTCTAGGTCATCACATTTGGTGATCAAAACCTTCATACGCTTTTTACCATTACCAGAAAAGCACGAGGTGTCCAATCATGGTAATAATGATGGGTGCACCTGGAAGCGATAAGTTCACCTTCTGTGAACATGTCATGCGCTCCTCAACCTGTCCCTGGATTCGTGTCCGCCGGATTTCACTTTACGTCTTCCAAGCACAATGTGTTCAACGAAATACTTCAGTGTGTTTTTTACTATTCTCAGGAATTGATACGATATGCATAATTTGCTTCAGTTTATTTTGAATTACAAATTAAAAACTCTTCGCAATACCCCCTTACAAAAATCATAGATTTAAAACTTAAATGTTAAAATAGTTCTTATGTTTTTACCTATACCGGTCAATTTATTCACGTTTAAATTAATTTCAAAAAATTGTAATTGATTATAAATATGCTAATTCAATCTAAAAATGAAATAAAATAAAGTAATTAAATATGGTAGAATTTAAAAAATTGCTGGCTTGACATGTGCAAATCAATAGTCATGGCTCATGGCTCATGGCTCATGGCCCAGTGAAAGGGACAATTTATTTATGTGGCCTGTGGTCTAGGATTCCCATTATATCATGTACACGTATGTTCATATTGATTTCCGTGATCTTGGATGGGATATATTTGGTCCCACCTTAGACATGAAGTTCCTGAGGAAATTTCGAGCCAAATAGTAGAGTTGCTTTGTTCTATAATGTGTTGTAACCCTCCAACTCCAAGTATCATACAATCATTAATTTTTTACAATATTTGCAACATTCCATAAATATAAAATAAAATGTAAAAAATACACACTAGAAAGGCATGCACAATTAGGGGTGGGCACAGTATGAGATGACACGAGATGGAGGTCATTCCGGTGTCAATCCCGAATAAGAGAATCGGTATGGGATGACATGGGATGAGAGTTTTTGAAAACACGTTCAAATCATACCAAATTTAATTGGGATCGGTATGATTCGGTATCACTGTTGATATCGTAAAAAATCTGCAAGGCTGCATCAAACAGTAATTTCAAATTCAAGCAAATACAAAAACAGAACAATTTCTCAATTTTGAAAACACAAAACTAAAACCAGCAGTTTGATGAAAAACTAAACAAACTATAAACCTCTAGATTGATTGCTATCTCTAATTCTCAAAATATACATAATGAATTATAGCAACAAGACTTAGCTTTTATATGCTATTTAAAACAAAACAAAACAGACTATAAACTACCTAACTATATTGGAATTACATCAGCGGGATAGAACAAACCATTATTAAACCATGGTCAAAGCACATGCTTTCTATTCAGCTAGAAAGAAGAGAAAAAAAAAAAACTGGACAGAGAGGAGGAACTGAATTAATTAAGTTAGGGTTATTATTTACATTTACTATTCAGTACGGTATGACACCAAATGGGATCACAAAGTTGGAACCGATGTCGTGTTAAACAGTAACGGGATGACACGGTATCATCCCGTTTACATGTCAACACCAAACGGTTTGGCACAAAATTGACACGGTTTGGCACGATTTCGGGATGGTTTCGGTATTCCGGTTTTGATGCCCACCCCTATGCACAATTTTTATTTCTTGAATCTCAAAATACCTTAGGCATAATTAACAAGGAGTCCGAACTTACATTGTTCCTCCTAATCAATTCAACATCTCGATCACCTTTGATTTATGTGAACATGTTTTCGATGAATACCAATTCTTTCTTCCAGCTGAGGGAATATCTTGAGAAGGATGTTGTACATAGCTCTGTAATACCACTTTCTCCATCTCTTGCACAACACAAGTGACCCAACGACAACTCCAAAGCCAACTATAAATCCAATTTCAGCACTGATAAGATCCCAATTAACCTCATGATGATGCCCAGAATTTGGAGACCTTCCATTCATTGTTGGTGGTGGTGGAAATCCTGCTTTGTTATCCACCGTCAAAGGAAACCCCCGTAGTCCTTTGTTACCTGTAAAGGAGGATGGTGGAAATGTTGAAAACTGATTACTGGTTGGGATCCTGCCAACCAGTTGATTATATGAGAGATCCAAGAAAGAAAGAAAAGTAAGCTCTGCCAACTGCGGTGGAATGTGCCCACTCAGCTTGTTCTGTGACAGGTCCAAGGACTCGAGTACCTGCATGTTACCAAATTTGGATGGGATTTCGCCCGTGAATGCATTTCGGGACAAGTTAAGGACACATAGTGATTTGAATTCTCCTATTTCCGTGGGTATGGGTCCACTGAAGTTGTTGCTTGAGAAGTCAATCAAGGTAAAGATAGATAGAATCTTTACCAGTTCCATCTCTAAACCTTTGCTAGTAACTGTTACACTTACACTATACTCTAAAGAATAACCATCATCTGCATTAGAAGTACCAGCATCTGCATTAGAAGAACCAGCATCTGCATAGCGATTGCAGAGTCTATTAGTTGGATCTGAAAGGCAAGATTCATGTGCACGAGAAGGAACAACATTTTGATAGCCACGGCAGGATCTATCAGATACTCGAATGCAGCTTGTAGCCTTCATCGAGGCCAAGGTTTTTCTTTTTGTATGTGATCCAAAGGCAATTGTCGATAGGGAACCATTTTCGGTAGCCATCATTTCCCGCCATGTTCTCCAAAGTATTCCCTGTATTTCACCACTGAAATTATTGTGAGCTAGGTCTATAATTTGAACCCCTGGCCAGGTGCCATTGGTGTTGAGACATTCAATGCCTCCATAAAAGTTGTTGGAGCGCAAAATAAGGACACGCAAAGTGGAAATGTTCTTCAACAAACATGGGAAGCTATCTGTTATATTATTGTTTCCAATGTTTAAAACCTCCAACATAGTGCATTTAGCTAGAGATTTGGGAACCTTGCCATATAACTGATTTCCACCGATCTCTAGAATTTGCAATGAACTATCTTCAGTAACTTCAACATTAGAAATAGATCCAGTGAGGTTGTTTCTCGCTAAGTTAAGTACACTGAGATCACGCATTGCAGTCAAGCATTGGGGAATCATGCCACTCAGAGAATTATTGGACAGATTAAGAATCTGAAGATTTGAGGCATTGCATATTGATGCTGGAATGAGCCCATGCAAGTTATTGCTTGAAAGAGAGAAGAACAGTGTGTTTGTGAGGAAATCACCAATGTTTGATGGTATAGAGCTGAAATTATTTATTGAGTAATCCAGATACTTGGCAGATGGTAGGAAAGTTGGGATTTGCCCCTGGAGTTTGTTTGAATGAAGGTCAACAGTTTTCACTGTAGAATTAAATATAGACACCGATATTTGTCCTTCCAAATTGTTGAAGCTTAGATCAAGGGTAACTAAGTTGGAAGAGACATTAGAAATTGCAAGTTCACCAGAGAATTGATTGTGGGAAAGGTTTAGTTGTGATAATAATGGAAGAGAAAAGAGCGACGAGGGGATTGATCCATGGAAACTGCAATTTGAAAGATCTATCGTCGACAACATTTTGAGGTTGCCAATGGAGTCAGGCAATGACCCCGAAAAGTTTGTCTCGCTTAGAGACAAGGACTGAAGAGATCCAATTTTCTTGGGAAATTCTGGCAAGGAACCACCAAGTTTAAAATTAGCCGAAAGATCAATAGTTTGTAGAGTAGGTACCTGAAAGATCTCGTTGGGAAATATTCCATTCAACCAACAACCACTGAGATTCAAGGAAGTCAACTTTGAAAAATTGGCAAAGAATCCGGGAACCGTACCAGAGATGGTGTTCGAACTCAAATTCAACACCCTTAGGTTTGAAAAGTTGGCAAAGGATCCTAGAATTGGACCAGAGATAGTTTTGTTGCTAAGGTCAAGACCAACAACATGCCCATCACTGGTGCAAGTAACACCAACCCAAGAACAACAGTCGGTGCTTGAATTCCAAGATATGAGCGGGGTTTGGCGTGAAGGTTGATCAAATTGAAGGCTTTTCTTCAAATGGAGCAATGATTGTTGCTGGTCTTTAATGCACTGGCTGTGAACTGCAGGGAGGAGGATATTGAAGCAGAGGAGGAACAAGTAATGCAGCAAAGTTTTCATTTTGGAAAAACTTTGTAGCTGATGTGAGGGAGGGAAAGTGGTGAACAAAACAACTGATGAGAAAGAAAGGTTGTGGTGGCTTTAATATATAGGCATGGTAGAATACAAGTGGAAAAGGGACACCTCCTAGCTTTGATGAGATTAAATCTTTGTCGTCGCTGCTGGCTTGACTTTGAAGTCTTCCACCAACATCTAATCTTGTAGTAGTAACCAGGAAAATAGGACAAGAGAAAAATAATAATGATGTAGCAAAAAGACTTCCACGAGATTCGTGGTTAGCTTGACTTGTTTAGTCTTTATAATTGCAAGTTACATGGCAAGCTGTAAAGAATTCCGTGTGGTTTTGGGTTGGGTTAAGTTATAGCTGTCATGCAATCGAAGAGTTTGGTTTCTTAAATAGTTTACATTAGCTTTTTCTTTTTCTATGGAAAGCTGCTTTTGATAAAATAATAGCAATGGATAGAGTGATAAAACAATTATACATTGGGAGAGAATGAGGAATCAAATCTTTAATTATTCTACAAATGGAAGAGTTAGCAACTTCCGATTATAGTTTTAATTAAAAGAAGAAGAAAGCAAACCTCTATCTTCCGATTATAGTTTTAATTAAATCTTTTGCAATTCAAAGTACATTATAAACTCAGTCAAATTTTTCTTTCAATTTTATCAAAAATACAAGGACTCGAATTGCTGAAATTCAAAGTACTTTTTACCAAAATTCGTCAAAATATAGACAACAAAAGTTACTTTTTACCAATTTTTTTATTTAAAAGGTACCAATTATTTCCATGCCATGTCAATAACCATTACTATTCTTTCTTTTATTTATCTATTTATTCCTTACAAAAGAAAACCCTTAGTTCCTAACTACCCTATAGCTACCACATTAGTTTGAATTGTTTATGTTCTTCATTTTCATTTCATTGTCGGTTGCTAAAATTATGTTTTTTTGGAATGAGTCAGTGTCTGCTAGAAATAAGCGGTTTAATACACTAGTGCAATATCAACTTGCATCATGCATGCAATATCAACTTGCACATTTTATTCTCAGCACATTTTATTCCAAGTTAAACCCAATTAAACTCAAAGTTTTAAACATTTAACAACCAAAAGAAACACTCTACATTTTGCAATAGTGTGTGAATTGTTGAAAATTTGTCACCTGAGATATTGACATGTCGGATTGAGAACAATGTGGAAATTGTGATGTAATCGTTGCTTTATGGATTGACTTGTTGACTTTGAAGTCTTGCCCCATCTTGTGTAGTGGGCCAGGCTACAGTCTACATGATTTCCTACCTATTGACTTGGCCGACATCAGTAGTCAGAGCTCATGACACAGTCAAAGAAAAGAGATGATTTTTGTGTCCCAATCCGACCATCGGACACGAAGATGCTGAGGAAATTTCGAACCAAAGAGCTCCATAATCTTGGATTCAAGTTCCATAACAACCTTGCATATCATTTAGCTTTACCTACCTACCAACCTAGTTTCACACTATCATCCCAACTTACAACTAACAAAGGAAAAACGTAGTCAATTATATGGCATCGGACCTCTTCCTTCAATTAACTTTTTTTAATTAGGTAAGGTGTCTATTATAGGGGCACAGCCTAATTACTATCAAAAGAAAAAAAGAAGTGAAAAACCAAGTTAAAGACTTGTTAATGGTAATCTTATTCATTCTCATGTAATGCATAATCTATAGATTGAGAATTTCATTTTCCAAAAAATTAACGTGATCTCTTAGGTGGTGTGGATAATCCTTTGAAATTTAGTTAGAAAATTTTGCATATAGTGATTGTATTATAGACATATTTACACATTATTCGCATTTAATTTATGTATCTTTAATGCAATTGGCACAATTATTTGTGCTTTATGAGGTCGGCCACGGTTCAGCTATTTTTAAAAAGTCGGTTTTTTTTCATAGGAGTTTCTTTTGATCAAAGGGCACGATTTTTTTTTATCTTCCTAAAAACTCATACTTTTGAGCACCAAAAATATCATTATTCTGACAACATCGAGAACAAATTGTGATTTAACTTTTGTAATAGTGTCACTTTTGCACACAAATCATTGGTGTCTAAAGTGTTTATTTATTTTTAAAACAAATTAGTAGCAATTTGAGATCTCACACATACAGAGTGGGCCATATACTAACAAGGTAAATACTGAGGTCATTCAACCATAACACCACATTTTCTCATCGACAAAATCACATTCAAAATTGTACTCGAAAAGAAAATATCAACTAGAAATATATTAATATGAAGCATCCCAGTATAGGGCATGTGTATAACAAATTACAAATTCCCCTTATGTATAAAAATTCATAAGCTTGTATCAGATTGAGCCATAATCATGACTAATACAACATTTGGGTTGATTTCAACCTCAAATAAAAACTGAACGTAGTTCCAAGGAAATATACTTAAATTTAAATATACACTTCTAAACCTTGTCAGCAGCCTAAATGTTACGAAGATTGAAGACCTGGCCAAAATCAAGTGCATCCAGCCCAACCAAAAGTTCCAAAGTTCTTGTCACTGGCCTAAATGTTTTGAGGCTGAAATCACATAAAAAGTAGATTATGCAAGACTAGACTTCAATAACTAAAACAACTCAACAAATCAATATGAATAGTGCCAAACATACCTCTAGTGGTGCAAGAATTAAAGCAGAGTTCTTTTACAAACTATGGTTCAAATTGATAGTTTTCACAATATGAACATTAATTACTTGCACAAACCTATTTCTGTTTGCTGAAAAAGTATTATTTGCATAAGAGAGCTGCTACAAAATTCCACAACGTTCCCCAATTTCAAAAAAAAAAAAAAAAAAAAAAAAAAAAAAAAAGAGAAGATCTCCTTTTGAAGGGGAAAGACAGATACGTAACTAATGCATGTAGAACACAGTGAAGAAAAAGAGAAAAGCAGACTTTTTTTTGGGGTATTGAACAACCCAAACGGGAAGGGCCAATACAGAGACAAAGGCAAATGAATACAAACAGAGTTGGATCAAGAAACAGCTAGAACTCAACGCAAGCCTAGAGCATAGCTCCTAACCCAAACAACTAATTAATGGGGGGGCATGGGAGCCCATCAGAAACAAGGACGCGCATTAAAGCAGACTTTGAACAAGCATCCCAACATCAAATCCCACAAGTACATGGAAACAATAAATCCCTGCCAAAACAAAATAGCAATAAGTATTACTTCGGCACCTATGCCTAAAAACAACACATCTCCCATCAGCTTATGCTACCATATAACCCGAATCCAAATGGCTCTACGAATTGTTTGAAGAAATTTTTTGGGTGGGGGTGGGAAAGAACACATGAGTCAAAACGTAGAACACAACACATTTGGATATTAAAAGAAACAAGGGTTAATTACACTTTCGCTTGTGGTTATACTCTTAAGACATGTTAGTCCTTATTTTCTTAATTTTTACAATAACATAATCCAGACTTTTAAATTTGTTATAATGTAGTTTCACCGTTAAGGTTTCCATTAAATTTCTCCGTTAGTTGCCTAAGTGGCACTGTGGATCCCACATTTTTTAATTTTTGTTAATTTAAATTGATTAAAATATTTATAATAAAAAAACCAAAATTTTAAAATATATATATATATATATATATTTCTCTCTCTCTCTTCTCCCTGCATTCCCCCACCCTCCAACCCTCAAAACACCAAGAATTCACAAAAAGCAAATGGAATTCTACATTCAAATTTCGAAGGTGTAGAGATTATTAAAAGAGTTAATTACACTTTAGTGCCGCCCCCTATAGATAAACTATTGTATGAAACCATTGCGAGAAATGTTTTCTCGCTAGGAGAATTAGAATCAGAATTTCCGAAAGAGGAGTGAAGACATATTTATATATAATAAAAAAATGTCTAAATGCAGACATCAAATTTCATGTGTGGCGACATATCAATCTTGATAAGGTAAACTGGCTTATTTTGTTTTGTTTTTTGCTTTTGATGATACAAAGTGATATCAAATCACGTGCTATTGGTGATGAGGGATCGAACATGACTTTCATCTTGTATGCTTCAACACATTGTTAATTAAATTGATTGAGAAAGGTTAACGTAGTAGAACAGGATTAGGAAGCTTATGAGTTGACAAAGTTAATTTAACCACCTTCAATATGGTTGAACTCTTCAAATGAAACAAATATGAATGAAAAGGAGGTATTTCTTATTTGTTATTTGTTTTAAGTTTTGAACGAGCTCACAACTCCATAATATATATTACATAAATTACTATGAGACACTTCACCTCAAATGTGACGACAGAAGCACAATTCTTATTTGTTGGATCTTGAAATAAAGAAAAAGAAGGCCAGGGTGAGCCCCAGGTACGGTACTTGCATACCCAAACTTAATTAGGTTATGAATCCATTTCAGCTAATCTATCTACCACCGTATTGCATTCAAGATATACATGATGAACAGAACCAGAGTTGATCCATGGCATGTGTGGGCTGTGCAACTACATAGGGCCCCAAAAATTCAGGGGCCTCAAAATGTTTTTAAAACCCCAGCATTCTATTATATATTTTCTACTACTTTCTGTTCTAAGCAAATTTTTATTCCAAAATATTATTTTCTATTCCTAATGGGCAGATTTTTTTTACAAGCATTAATAAATAAATAAAAAAACTCGTGAGTCTGCTTGCGTGCAGCGTCTCTCCTTGCTATTCTCAAATCGCTTTTCTTTTCACTTCTTCCCAACTTCTTCTTGACTCTTTCGTCCAAAAGCAAATTTCTTCATTACCCTTTGGCAAGGCAAAAGGCGTGCTATGCATCTCCGCTCTCCACCACACCTCTCTCTCTCATATTAGAATTTAGAAATTATGTGTTGCATTGGAATTAGCCATCATATGCATCTTTGCTTCATTTTGCTAGGTGTAGTTTTTTTTTATGTAAAAGAAAATTGAGTGGATATGAGTATGTGAAAATAGACCAAGGATGATCTTGATTCTATTTGTGGGTTCTAATGTAATTGATGCCACATAATAATTTCGGTTTAATGTATGATTTATGAATTTTAAAATTTGAAAAATTGTTATTTTACTTATACATATAGGGTCTCATCAACTTTCTTCGCACATGGCCTCCATATCTAATGGACCAGCTTTGAACAGAGCAATCCCAACTTATGTCTACATAGTATTGGCATCCCCACAACATAGCAGCAAGAGGATGTTAAAACACAACTGCACTACAACAGCCCATATACATCCCAAGAAATTTTGAGTCTAGGATAGATGCCCCATAACTCAGCTTCTAAGACTTGTTTGACAGCAAAATTAACAGCAAAACTTGTAATCCACTACCCAGTCAGAGCTATCTCTTTGTACACCCCAGTAGCAATGCGCACATCCTCTCCCTTTCTGCAGCTATTTGTGTTGATTTTAAATCACTCCTTCATTTGGGTATTACCAAGAGAGACCTAACCATTATACGCTAGCTATAACACTAGCTCTGGTGGCTGAAGGAAATCTCCTCCAACCAAAAAGAGCAGGGTTGCTCTGTTACAGATTCAGGGGAAGACCTAACTATGATACGCTATAAAATTGAGTGGCAAGGCAAGATCTCAAAAAAATCCACGACTCAAATCCTTGTGATTGGTTGTTTAGACGTGAAATGAACATTAACAGTAGAGAAAATGGTAATCAATTGCAGAGAAGAATGGCACTGCCTCTCACAATAATTATCGAAAGGTGTATACCAAGGTGTTCATTGAATTTACCAAGGTTAAGAGTGGAAAAGGATTAGAACCCATATGAAAGTCATGACATGGTTGAACTCCATGCAATGACGAAACTTTAAAAGAAACAAAAACTAAGGAAACCAAAGACAGTTTGCAGTGAACTCACATTGAATAACATTACATAAATTATTAGGGCATAATTAAGCTAAAATATGACAACATAATCACATTGCTAATCAATTCAGCGTCTCCACCTTTGATTTATGTGAACATGTCTTCGATGAATTCCAATTCTTTCCTCCAGCTGTGGGAATATCTTAAGAACCATTATGTACATAGCTCTGTAATACCACTTACTCCATCTCTTGCACAACACAAGTGACCCAACGGAAACTCCAATTAATCCAACGATGGCCAGAATTTGGAAGGCTTCCATTTAATGTTGGTGGTGGTGATAATCCTGCTTTGTTATCCACTGTCAAAAGAGGCCCCACAGTCCTTTGTTTCCTGTAAATGAGTCTTTTGGAAAGGTTGAAAACTGAGTACTGGTTGGGATCCTGCCGACCAGGTGATTATATGAGATATTCAAGAACAAAAGGAAAGTAAGCTTTGCCAACTGTGGTGGAATTTGCCCGCTCAACTTGTTATGTGACAGGTCAAAGGACTCGAGTACCCGCATGTTACCAAATGAGGATGGGATTTCGCCTGTCAAAGAATTTCCAGACAAGTTAAGGACATAATTTCATATCATTGGTGTCATTTCAGGTTTAACATAATTAAACTTATTATATCGTTGGTTTTATTTCCGGTTTAACATAATTTTTAACTAAATTTTTTGAATTAAGCCTTGTTTCTCCCGAAGCAATGACCGGGGGTTTTACAGAATAAGTTACATTTTGCAATATCAATCTGCAGTTTTCTTACTTCCCAGACACCACCCAAAAATTCTCAGTGAATTATTTCAATTTAAACCCAATAAAACTAAAATTTTTAAACATTGACCAACCAAAAAAGTACTGAACTCTAATAACACTTTTGAACTAGCGTGGGTTATAAGTAATTGTACCACAAGTGGAAAATTTGTCGCATGAGATATTTTGATATATCATTGAGCAGAAAGACTTGTGGAATTGTGAGATTGCATTATGGATGGACTAGTTGACTTGTTGACTTCCAAGTCTTCCCCTATTTGTCTAGTTGGATTGTTCGGAGGCTATTTACTTCACTAAGGTCAATGCGTCAATGACTCAATAGAAACACAACGTCATGGCTCATGTCATAGCTCTAGGTCTAGGATTCCCATTATATATGGACATATTTTCATGTAAATTTATGGGTGGGTTGGTTGGAAGAGGAATTCTCCGACCTCAGACGAACCATAATCACTTGAGAAAATGGCAATCATGCAGAGAAGAAGGGGCGCTAAAATCATAATCAGTTGAGGATGAGATCATGAGACAGTTTCATTTCCCAAAAATCAATGTTCTCCCTTGAGGAGCGTGTGTAAAATTGTAAATAATGAGAAATATTTTCCTACTCATGTTTCATTGTCCTCGTTTGATAAGTGACATAAGGAGATAAATAAGAAGAAGAAAATAAAATGGGCGCACGAAAGTTTCTCTTGTGAATAACCCACTGAAATATAGTTAATAAATTTGCATATAGCACGAGTATTATTCATGCATGTACGCATTTTTTACATTTAATATATGTATTTTTTACAAATTTTTTAATAATACAAATAAAAGTAGTACGCTTTAAAATGTATCTTTCACTATATTCTTATTTTATTTTATCAGATAATACGTGTACATATTTTTTTTTCTGTTGATGTGTGCATGCTACTTAGATCATTTGGTAGATCAAATGGAGAAGATGATTGAACCTTGACTGATTTTATAAAAGCAGATGAATTTTTTATTCAACCTCAGGCATGAAGATGGTAAAGAAATCTCCAACCAAAAAGAGCAGGGTTGTTTCTGTTACAGATTCCATGATACTCTATAGCTCTAGATTTGGTGGCTTTTAATTGAATGGCAAGCAGGATCTCAAGAAACATCCACAATTCAAATCCCGGTGATTGGTTGTTTAGAAGAATGGCACTACCTAATTAATAGAAAAATATATGTACTTAAGAGATTAATTATTTATTTGTCGTCGTGGTTGGCTGGGACTTTGAAGTCTTCTTCCCGTCTGTCACCGGGAAAAAGAGAGTCCCACCTACGTGTCGACAGAGAGAGCCATGTGGGTCATTGTTTTCTCTTATATAGAATATTCTCAGTGTGCTTTGAATTAATATTCTCAAGAATTAATACGATTAGAGTAGAGTTGCTTTGTTCTAAGATTTAATGTGTTCTAATAACCCTCCAACTCCAAGTATCATACAATCATAATTTTTTGTGATATTTGCTACATTCCACAAATATAAAATAAAATATAAAAGATATACACAAGAAAGGCAGGCACAATTCTTATTTCTTGTATCTTAAAATACCCTAGGCATAATTAACAAGGAGTCCAAACTTACATTGTTCCTCCTAATCAATTCAACGTCTCCACCACCTTTGATTTATGTGAACATGTTTTCGATGAATACCAATTCTTTCTTCCAGCTGAGGGAATATCTTGAGAAGGATGTTGTACATGGCATTGTAATACCACTTACTCCATCTCTTGCACAACACAAGTGACCCAACGGCAACTCCAAAGCCAAATGTAAATCCAATTTTGACAACAATAAGATCCCAATTAACCTCATGATGATGTCCAGAATTTGGAGAACTTCCATTCACTGTTGGGGTGGTGGAAATCCTGTCAAAGGAAACCCCCATAGTCCTTTGTTACCTGTAAAGGAGGATGGTGGAAATGTTGAAAACTGATTACCGGTTGGGATCTTGCCAACCAGTTGATTATACGAGAGATCCAAGAATGAAAGAAAAGTAAGCTCTACCAACTGCGGTGGAATGTGCCCCGCTCAGCTTGTTTTGTGACAGGTCCAAGGACTCGAGTACCCGCATGTTACCAAATGAGGATGGGATTTCGCCCATGAATGCATTTCGGGACAAGTTAAGGACACGTAGTGATTTGAATCTCCCATTTCCTTAGGTATTGGTCCACTGAAGTTGTTGCTTGAGAAGTCAATCAAGGTAAAGATAGATATAATCTTTACCAGTTCCATCTTGAAACCTTTGCTGATAACTGTTACACTTACACCATATAAAGGACGAGCACGTGCATAAAAACCAAGAGTATGACTACGAGAAAGCCGAAAAAATGCATAAAAAGATCTAGCATTTGCAAAAATAGATTTAAAATTTGAAGAGCAGCCTCTTTCAAATAGTGAAAAAAGGCAGGTAATAGGCTTTTTGATTGTCGATAGGGAAGCATTTTTGGTATCCATCATTTCCCGCCATGTTCTCCACAGTATTCCCTGTATTTCACCACTGAAATTATTGTGAGCTAGGTCTATGATTTGAAGCTCTGGCCAGGTGTCATTGGTGTTGAGACATTCAATGCCTCCATAAAAGTTGTTGGAGCGCAAAATAAGGACACGCAAGGTGGAAATGTTCTTCAACAAGCATGGGAAGCTATCTGTTATATTATTGTTTCCAATGTTTAAAACCTCCAACATAGTGCATTTAGCTAGAGATTTTGGAACCTTGCCATCTAACTGATTTCCACCGATGTCTAGAATTTGCAATGAACTATCTTCAGTAACTTCAACATTAGAAATAGATCCAATGAGGTTGTTTCTCGCTAAGTTAAGTACACTAAGATTGCGCATTGCAGTCAAGCATTGGGGAATCATGCCACTCAGAGAATTATTGGACAGAACAAGAATTTGAAGATTTGAGGCATTGCATATTGATGCCGGAATGAGCCCATGCAAGTTATTTCTTGAAAGAGAGAAGTACATTGTGTTTGTGAGGAAATCACCAATGTTCAATGGTATAAAGCTGAAATTATTTCCTGAGTAATCTAGATACTTGGCATATGGTAGCAGCGGCGGATCCAGAATTTTTCAGCAGAGGTGCAAAAAAGCTAAGAACAAAAAAAAAAAAAAAAAAAAAAAAAAAAAAAAAACAATCCTTATAATTTAAACAATACTAATGTTATTCATAATACATTAAAAAAATATCATTACAATTACCCTACAATTGTTGCCGACGAGATTTCATATCTTGAAAACGTCGCATTATATTTATATTACTAATACAAGAAAAAACATCTTTCTCAATGTAAACAACCAAGCTATCACTCAACCATTGATTCCCTATTTTGTTACGCAATGGTGTTTTCACAATATTCATAGCTGAAAAAGCTCTCTCAACTGAAGCTGTTGCAACGGGTAAAACTAAAGCCAATGTAAGAAGTAAATATACATAGTTGTATATTCTACTCCTTCCTGTATTCACCAATTTTTCTGCCAGATCAGTAATTCCTTTCAATGATGAAAAACTCAGTGCTGCTCTGCATATCAACAATATAAAGCCCAAGTTGATCTTCAAGCTTCATGAGGTCTCGGTCATTAAATTCTTGAGGGTAAAATTGAGCAAAACGAAGTATTTTTTGTTTGTCAAAAGCTGCAAAATTATAAGCCGGACTCAAACATGCCATACAAAGAAGCAATTCAGTATTTACCTCAGTGAAGCGATTATTCAATTCCACTAGTTGCTTATCAATGATAGTAAGAAATAGGTCCACACGATAATAATGGCGGTTTGTGATTTTCTGAGCTTTACGACGTGATCTCCCTTGTGGTACAAATAAATCATCCATGTTAGGAACATCAATATCATTGTTTGCCACAAAATATTGATACTTTGCCAAGCAGATCATCAAAGTCATCATCCCTCATGGATTGTAGCTTTTGCTTACATCTTTGGACCAACATCATTGCATTCACAATATCTTGATCTTTCTTTTGTAATGCCTTTGACAAATCATTTGTGATTCCCAATATAAATCTCATCAAATATAGGTGAAACACAAAGTCAAAAGTTTGTATTTCTTTCAATAACCTATTTGCTTCACCTAAATTATCTTGGTTGACATCATCAACAATCCATTCAAGCACCTTCACCACGGGGTGAAACATAGTATTAATACTCAGTAAAGTATCATAATGTGAGTTCCAACGTGTATCACAAGGACGTTTGAGAGTAGTCTCTTGATTTAACCCTTGCCCTGTTTCAAGATCATCAATTTCAAGAGCTTTCATAATATCTTTTTGTTGTTGCTCTCTAAGTGCATCACGACGCTTACACGATGCTCCAATAATGTTAACAACACTACTAGCCGTTGTGAAGAAAGTAGCAATATTTCATTACCCTTTGCCACGGCTACAAGAGCTAGTTGTAGTTGATGTGCAAAACAATGGACATAATATGCTTGAGGATATTCTCTCAAAATCTGTGTTTTAAGACCATTGAGCTCACCCTCTCATATTACTAGCTCCATCATACCCCTGTCCTCGTAGCCTGGACATGCTCAAATTTGTTGAAGAAATCAACTGCTCAATTGCCTCTTTCAATTTGCTACTAGTCGTATCAGAGACATATTGGACACCCACAAACCTTTCAATAACTTGCCCTTTTTTGTTCACATAACGCAACACCACCGCCATTTGCTCTCTTATTGAAACATCACGTGATTCATCTACCAATATAGAAAAGAATGCATCGTCTATATCCCTAATAATTGCATCAATGGTTTTCAATAGCACAAGAATTGACAAGTTCTTTTTGAATGTTAGGAGCAATATACTTGAGATTCCCTGGAGCATTCTCAAACACAACGGCACGAACTTTCTCATCATGATCGGCAAGAAATTGCAAAAGCTCCACATAATTACCCTTATTGCTAGATGTTTCACTTTCATCATGGCCACGAAAAGGAAGACCTTGTCGTAAATAAATATCTAGTGCAATCAAGTGCGGCAGTTAATAGAATGCGATAATTAACACGAGCTTGGTCTGTCTGCTTGATCACAATGGTTTCAACGTGTTGCTTCTGATTCATTAAATCTGTACAATGTTGTGTAGCTTTATTGTGAAGGCTTCCAACTTGTCCAACATGGTCCCTAAAATTCTCAGGTCCCTTCCTCCAATTTTTAAACCCTTTCTCAGTGAAGACATCGCTTCCAACCTTTCCTTGTTTATCAAAGTCGCATTTAAAAAGATAACAATGAAGACAAAATGCAGCATCTTTCTCTTTACTATACTCTAACCAAACAAATGAATCAAACCATTTCACAAGAAAACGTCGATTACTCTCCCCCATAAGTGTTTGAGGCATATCGTTTTGGCTTTTAGGCTGACAAGGACCCCTTTGCAGATAGGCTCTTCGGATTTGTTCTCGAAAATTGGGATTATAATAAGTCATTGGAGGTCTAAGGCCAGGGTCTGCAGGAAGATTAGCTAATATTTCATCCAACTCAGTAGGCGGATTATTTGAAGGTTGATTTGAACTAGCCGGATTATTTGAAGGAGGGTTTGGAACTAGCCGGATTATTTGAAGGAGGGTTGGAACTAGACAGATGATTCGAAGGAGGATTTGAACTACCCAGATTATTTGAAGGAAGATTTAAACTCTTTCTCTGAAAGTACCGTTCCATAACTGTACAATTGAAACAAAAATAAGGGTTTTATATCTATTATTATGAAACAAAAAAATTATTAAAAAAAGAATAAACAAATTGGTGTTTGCTCAAGAAAAAAAAAAAAGCATTCGACTTACTTTGGATTGGCGTACTCAAGAAGAAAAAAATTGCAGGATTCTTGTGATGCACACACACTTTGATGAAATTGGGTGATGTTATTGGTCTTTTATAAAGAGAATTCTCAATTCTACTTAATTAAGGAATTCCCAACTCTATTTAATTAAGGAATTCTCAAAACCCAATTGTATAAAGAGAACTTTCAATTAAAACCCAATTAAGTAAGGAAATTGAAGCCCTTTTTCAAAAGCCCACAAAAAGCCCACGTCAGTTTCCCTTTGTTTCCTTTTTTTTTAATTTCAAAACCCTGGTCCAAAACGACGTCGTTTTGGCCAGGTTTTTCAAAAAAAAAAAAAAAAAAAAAAAGGCATATTAACAGCCTGGTCCAAAACGACGTCGTTTTGGCCAGGCTTCGTTAAAAAAAAAAGAACCCTCGCGCGCGCGTTGCGCGCAGCACCAGCAACCTCCCCAGCAGCGGTTTGCGCATTTCATCGAGCACGTTGTGTGCATCGCAGGTCTGAAGCAGAGGTGCAACTCCGTCGTCTGTAATGGCTATTTTCGGCGACCGGAGGTGCAGGCGCACCTCCTTGCGCCTGCACAGATCCGCCATTGTATGGTAGGAAAGTTGGGATTTGCCCCTGGAGTTGGTTTGAATGAAGGTCAACAATTTCCACTGTAGAATTAAGTAAAGGAACTTCTAGTGTTACCAAGTAGTTACAAGAAAGATTTAGGGTAGAAAGGTCATTGTACCTTGTAGAAACCCATATCCAATGGGGTATCTTGCCTCGGATATGGTTTTCTGAAAGGTCCACAAAGGATATTGTGGATCGATTTCTCGAGACATTAGAAAATGCAAGTTCACCAGAAAATTGATTGTGGGCAAGGTTTAGTGTTAACAATAAGGGAAGTAAAAAGAGCGATGACGGGATTGATCCAATAAAATTGCAACTTGAAAGATCTATCGTGGACAACATTGTGATGTTGCCAATGGAGTCAGGCAGTGACCCCGAGAAGTTTGTCTCGCGTAGAGACAAGGACTGAAGAGATCCAATTTTCTGGGGAAATTCTGGCAAGGAACCACCAAGTTTAAGATTACCCGAAAGGTTAATAGTCTGTAGAGTAGGTACCTGAAAGATCTCGTTGGGAAATGTTCCATTCAACTGACAACCACTGAGACTCAAGGAAGTTAACTTTGAAAAATTGGCAAAGAATCCTGGAACCGGACCAAATATGCTGTTCCCACTCAAGTCCAACTCCCTCAAGTTTGAAAAGTTGGCAAAGGATCCTGGAATTGGACCGGAGATGTTGTTCCCACTCAAGTCCAACACCTTCAAGTTTGAAAAGTTGGCAAAGAATCCCTGGAATTGGACCGGAGATATTGTTCGAACTCAAGTCCAACTCCCTCAAGTTTGAAAAGCTGGCAAAGGATCCTGGAATTGGACCGGAGATAGATTCTAGGCTAAGGTCAAGACCAAAAACATTCCCATTACCAGTGCAAGTAACACCAAGCCAAGAACAACAGTCGGTGCTTGAATTCCAAGATATAACCTTGGTTGAGTACGAAGGTTGATCAAATTGAAGGCTTTTCTTCAAATGGAGCAACGATTGTTGCTGGTCTTTGTTAGGACCAATTTTTGGTATATTGGCAATTTCCTGTTACAAAAACATAGAGTAGGTCTTTGAGTGTAACCTACAGTTTTCAAGTGACATTCTGCTATCTTGGATCAGTGTGGCTCAGAGACAATGCCAAGGTATGTTTTGCATCCATGCATTCATATTTTCATATTTGCTTGATCATCAAAAGTGGCTGTAAGATGTACATGACTGATATATGATTTCAGTCTTATATAATCCAGTGCCAGACATCAATGAGTTTTTAACGATGGTTTTATATTCTTTAGCAAAAGGGCTCTTTTGTCTTTACGGCTGAGTTTTTAATTAAGTGGCTTTATTTGTTTTAAAGAAATAATTATTTGTTAAAAACCCATTTTGCTAAAAGCCTTTTTTGGTCTCTGACCTAGTTTTAAGCGTGTAATAAAAGAAAGGAACTTAGCCTTTTTGTTTGTGTGTCTGCAACATTGAAAAAGAAGAAGAACGACAAAATATTTGCAGAGAGGTTTTTGAGAGTTCATATTGAAAACTCATGTGGTTGTTCCTTGTTAGTCTCCATGAGTGATTAAATAATCATCTTTTCATATATGTGTGAGTTCATGAGCTTATGCATGTTGGTGATCAACAATTGTGCCTTGAGGTGTGAGCAGCCAAGACTAGAGTTGTGCCATCTCTTGTTGACGAAGGAAGACAAGATCGCTGGTTGGGTTGAGTAGCAAAGGCGAGTAGGCAAGTCTGCCTTGTGAGCGTTAGTCTTGTGAGTTGAGACTTGTAAGACCTTTTTGTATTCTTTCTCATAGTGATTTGTTCTCCGGCATAGTGCCCGCAGTTGTTTTCCTCATCTTGAGGTTTTTTACTGCGTCAACATATCGTGTGTCCCTTGTGCAATTGTTTGCGTTTTTATTTGAATTTATTCTGCTGCGTATTCTGGAATTTTTGCTTACAGGATTGTTACAGTATTTCAATCTGTCGTGGTTTTTGAGTATTAAGAAACAGATCAGTTGGCCATTCTAGGGAATTTCAGTCTTTAATACACTGGCTGTGAACTGCAGGGAGGAGGATATTGAAGCAGAGGAGGAAAAAGTAATGCAGCAAAGTTTTTCATTTTGGAAAAACTTTTTAGCTGATGAGGGAAAGTGATGAGCAAATAACATATGAGAAAGAAAGGTTGGGGTGGCTTTAATATATATATGCATGGTTGGGGTGGCTTTGATGAGATTAAATCTTTGTCTTGGCTTGACTTTGAAGTGTTCAACCAGCATCTAATCTTTGATTCGTGGTTGTAGGACAAAAGAAAAATAATAATGATGTAGCTTTAATAATGACGTGAAAAAAGGCCCCCACGAGATTCGTGGTTAGCTTGACTTGTTCAGTTTAAAGTCTTTCTATGGAGAGCTGCTTTTGATAAAATAATAGCATGTATAGAGTTGATCTGGACATGTGAGTAAACAAAGGATTATACATTGGGAGAGAATGAGGAATCAAATCTTTGATTATTCTACAAATGGAAGTAAGAACTCTATGGTCTTGTAGTTCACGTCACTTGTCCAGCACAAGCACCATGACAGAGAGAGCCATGTGGTCCAATAAAGTGGACGGATATGATTGGGCATACTCCCATGTCCCACCTACCTACGTTTACTCTGGGGTTCAGGAAGCTGAAACCCCGAATTGGCACTTTGTTTCCGTTTGGTCCTAGAAACTCCTAGTGAGTGGGTTGTCACAGTGGTCCTTGTATTGCCGTGCACTTCAATTTAGTCTGTTTCAGTTAGCTGCTAAAACATCCTTATTACAATGACCTTAGTTGCAACTTTTCAAATGAGATTCTAAAATAATAACATTCTTTACATTTGGATTAAACCCTTACTAGCTACCACATTAGTTTGAATTCACTACTACAAAAAGTGACAAAGACGACCAGAAAAAAACGACGGTCTAAGTGAAAACCGTCGTTGTTTTTTAAAAGACGACGGTTCTATTAAACTGTCGTGTAATAACACCTTAGACACCTAAAAAATGGAGATTCAAATGGTTGTTCATAAACAACGACGTACCTAATTAAAAAACCGACGTCTATTTGAAACAGGATTTCCGCAGTGTAAAATCAAAGCAAATAAAGAACGGCAGAAGTTATGAATCGACCGACGTAGAAAGTAAAGACGACGATTTCAAAAAAAGCCGCCGTTTTTACGCAGAAAATAACACGACCAAGTTTTCGTATAAGGCGCCATATAATTACAAATAAATCCACGGCGGTAAAATACAAAATATCGCCGTATTAAATTAATGTACAACGACGGAAAATAAAAATATATCGACGTCTTTCTTGTATAGTTCTACGACGGTATCTTTAAATCTCACCACGTTTGTTTTTCATTTAACGACGTATTATAAAATTTAACGTCGTATTTATTCCCTTTATACGTCATACCTTATATTTAAAACCGTCGTCTTAATACGAATTTTTTTTATCAATTTATTTCTTTGATTTTGTTATCATACGTCATACTATATGTAAAGATGACGCTTTTTATAAAAATAAAAAAAACGTCGTCTATTATATGTAAAGATGACAATTTTTATAAAAACCGTCGTCTATTATGTGTAAAGATGATGATTTTTATAAAAACCGTCGTCTATTATATGTAAAGATGACGATTTTATAAAACCGTCGTCTATTATATGTAAAGACGACGATTTTTATTAAAACCGTCGTCTATTATATGTAAAGACGACGATTTTTATTACAAAACCGTCGTCTATTATATGTAAAGATGACGATTTTTTAAAAAACCGTCGTCTATTATATGTAAAGATGACGATTTTTTAAAACCGTCGTCTATTATATGTAAAGATGACGATTTTATAAAACCGTCGTCTATTATATGTAAAGATGAAGCTTTTTATAAAAAACCGAAAAAACCGTCGTCTATTGTATGTAAAGATGACGCTTTTTATAAAAACCGAAAAAACCGTCGTCTATTGTATGTAAAGATGACGCTTTTTATAAAAAACGAAAAAACCGTCGTCTATTATATGTAAAGATGACGCTTTTTATAAAAACCGTCGTCTATTATATATAAAGATGACAATTTTTTTTTAAAAAAGGGTCGTCTATTATATATAAAGATGACGCTTTTTTATAAAAAATGGTCGTCTATTATATGTAAAGATGATGGTTTGTTATAATAACCGTTAAATCATGATTTTTCATTTATAACCGTCGAAATTTTTTGTCCCGTTACTTTATCTTTGAATGTTTATTTTTTTCGATTTTTGGTGTAGATGATCTCGAAGTATAAACAAACAAGTTTGACGGTTGGATCGTTGAAACTAGTTTCTTAGAATGCGTATGCCATCAAAACAATATATTCACTAACAATTAAGAGTTTATTTATACTTTCGTTAAATATAACATAAGATTTTGTGGTATCCACTAGTGTAAATATTTTAAATTGAAGATCAAATTCAGTCATTGTATTCATATAGGGTCAAGGAGTGTAGCGGTAAAAAATCATCAAAATCGGAGTTAAAATAACCGTTAAATCATGATTTTTCATTTATAACCGTCGAAATTTTTTGTCCCGTTACTTTATCTCTGAATGTTTATTTTTTCCGATTTTTGGCGTATATGATCTCGAAGTATAAACAAACACGTTTGACGGTTGGATCATTGAAACTAGTTTCTTAGAATGCGTATGCCATCAAAACAATATATTCACTAACAATGAAGAGTTTATTTATACTTTCATTAAATATGACATAAGATTTTGTGGTATCCACTAGTGTAAATATTTTAAATTGAAGATCAAATTCAATCATTGTATTCATATTGGGTCAAGGAGTGTAGCGGTAAAAAATCATCAAAATCGGAGTTAAAATAACCGTTAAATCATGATTTTTCATTTATAACCGTTGAAATTTTTTGTCTCGTTACTTGATCTCTGAATGTTTATTTTTTCCGATTTTTGGCGTATATGATCTCGAAGCATAAACAAACATGTTTGACGGTTGGATCATTGAAACTAGTTTCTTAGAATGCGTATGCCATCAAAACAATATATTCACTAACAATTAAGAGTTTATTTATACTTTCGTTAAATATGACATAAGATTTTGTGGTATCCACTAGTGTAAATATTTTAAATTGAAGATCAAATTCAATCATTGTATTCATATTGGGTCAAGGAGTGTAGCGGTAAAAAATCATCAAAATCGGAGTTAAAATAACCGTTAAATCATGATTTTTCATTTATAACCGTCGAAATTTTTTGTCCCGTTACTTTATCTCTGAATGTTTATTTTTTTCGATTTTTGGTGTAGATGATCTCGAAGTATAAACAAACAAGTTTGACGGTTGGATCGTTGAAACTAGTTTCTTAAAATGCGTATGCCATAAAAAAAAATATTCACTAACAATTAAGAGTTTATTTATACTTTCGTTAAATATAACATAAGATTTTGTGGTATCCACTAGTGTAAATATTTTAAATTGAAGATCAAATTCAGTCATTGTATTCATATAGGGTCAAGAAGTGTAGTGGAAAAAAAACGTCTATTGTATGTAAAGATGACGTTTTTTATAAAAACCGTCGTCTATTGTACGTAAAGATGACGCTTTTATAAAAACCGTCGTCTATTGTACGTAAAGATGACGCTTTTTATAAAAAACCGTTGTCTATTGTATGTAAAGATGACGCTTTTTATAAAAACCGTCGTCTATTGTATGTAAAGATGACGCTTTTTATAAAAAACCGTTGTCTATTGTATGTAAAGATGACGCTTTTTATAAAAACCGTCGTCTATTGTATGTAAAGATGACGCTTTTTATAAAAAAACCGTCGTCTATTATATGTAAAGATGACGCTTTTTATAAAAACCGTCGTCTATTATATAAAGATGACTTTTTTTTTAAAAAAGGGTCGTCTATTATATATAAAGATGACGCTTTTATAAAAAAAACGTCGTCTATTGTACGTAAAGATGACGCTTTTTATAAAAAAACCGTCGTCTATTGTACGTAAAGATGACGCTTTTTATAAAAAACCGTCGTCGATTGTATGTAAAGATGACGCTTTTTATAAAAAAAATGTCGTCTATTGTATGTAAAGATGACGTCTTTATAAACAATCCACGACGGTTTTCATAAAAAAATCGTCATCTTTACATACAATATACGACGGTTTTATTAAAAACAGTCGTCTTTCCTCCTATAATTAACGATCTTTACCTCTAAACAACGACGATTTTCTTTGAAAACCGTCATCTTTACTGATAAACAACGACGGTGAAAAGCCGTCGTAGTTTGAAACCCAAATAGACGGTAGTCGATTTCACGACCGGGCGGCGAAAACCTTTTACACGACGGTGGTTTCCCGTCGTCTATTTCGATTTTTGTAGTAGTGATTGTTTATATTCTTCATTTTTCATTTCGTTGCCAGTTGCTAAAATTATTATTATTATTACTATTTTGTTCTTTTGTTTTTGTAGAATGAGTCACTGTCTGTTAGAAATTGGGTGGCATCAAAAAGCAACTTTTAAGCAACTTTTAACCTCAATCTTCCGATTATGTAAATTTTATAATTATAGTTTTAATTAAATCTTTGGCAATTCAAGAGCATATTTTCATTATAGTCAAATTTTTATTTATTTATAGGGTACCACCTCAGACATGAAGTTGCTGAGGAAATTTCGAGCCAAAGAGTAGAGTTGCTTTGTTCTATAATTAATGAGTTCAAACCCTCCAACTCCAAGTATCATACAATCATAAATTTTTTGAGATATCTGCTACATTTTCCATAAATATAAAATAAAATACAAAAGATACACACCAGAAAGGGAAGCACAATTCTTATTTCTTGGATCTTAAAATATCCTAGGCATAATTAACAAGAAGTCCAAACTTGCATTGTTCCTTCTAATCAATTCAACGTCTCCACCACCTTTGATTTATGTGAACATGTCCTCGATGAATACCAATTCTTTCCTCCAGCTTAGGAAATATCTTGAGAAGGATGTTGTACATAGTTCTGTAATACCACTTACTCCATCTCTTGCACAACACAAGTGACCCAACAGCAATTCCAAAGCCAAATGTAAATCCAATTTCAACACTGATAAGATCCCAGTTTACCTCACGATGATGTCCAGAATTTGGAGGCCTTCCATTCACTGTTGGTGGTGGTTGCAATCCTGCTTTGTTATCCACCGTCAAAGGAAATCCCCGTAGTCCTTTGTTACCTGTAAAGGAGGATGGTGGAAATGTTGAAAACTGATTACTGGTTGGGATCCTGCCAACCAGTTGATTATATGAGAGATCCAAGAAAGAAAGAAAAGTAAGCTCTGCCAACTGCGGTGGAATGTGCCCACTCAGCTTGTTCTGTGACAGGTCCAAGGACTCGAGTACCTGCATGTTACCAAATTTGGATGGGATTTCGCCCGTGAATGCATTTCGGGACAAGTTAAGGACACATAGTGCTTTGAATTCTCCTATTTCCGTGGGTATGGGTCCACTGAAGTTGTTGCTTGAGAAGTCAATCAAGGTAAAGATAGATAGAATCTTTACGAGTTCCATCTCTAAACCTTTGCTAGTAACTGTTACACTTACACTATACTCTAAAGAATAACCATCATCTGCATTAGAAGAACCAGCATCTGCATTAGAAGAACCAGCATATGCATTAGAAGAACGAGCATAGCGAGGGCTGAGTCTATTAGTTGAATGTGGAAGGCAAGATTCATGTGCACGAGAAGGAACAACATTTTGATAGCCACGGTAGGATCTATCAGATACTCGACTGCAGCTTGTAGCAGTCATCCAGGCCAAGGTTTTTCTTTTTGTATGTGATCCAAAGGCAATTGTCGATAGGGAACCATTTTCGGTAGCCATCATTTCCCGCCATGTTCTCCACAGTATTCCCTGTATTTCACCACTGAAATTATTGTGAGCTAGGTCTATAATTTGAACCCCTGGCCAGGTGCCATTGGTGTTGAGACATTCAATGCTTCCATAAAAGTTGTTGGAGCGCAAAATAAGGACACGCAAAGTGGAAATGTTCTTCAACAAGCATGGGAAGCTATCTGTTATATTATTGTTTCCAATGTTTAAAACCTCCAACTTAATGCATTTAGCTAGAGATTTTGGAACCTTGCCATCTAACTGATTTCCACCGATCTCTAGAATTTGCAATGAACTATCTTCAGTAACTTCAACATTAGAAATAGATCCAATGAGGTTGTTTCTCGCTAAGTTAAGTACACTGAGATCACGCATTGCAGTCAAGCATTGGGGAATCATGCCACTCAGAGAATTATTGGACAGATTAAGAATCTGAAGATTTGAGGCATTGCATATTGACGCTGGAATGAGCCCATGCAAGTTATTGCTTGAAAGAGAGAAGAACAGTGTGTATGTGAGGAAATCACCAATGTTCGATGGTATAGAGTTGAAATTATTTCTCGAGTAATCCAGATACTTGGCATGTGGTAGGAAAGTTGGGATTTGCCCATGGAGTTGGTTTGAATGAAGGTCAACAGTTTGCACTGTAGAAATAGATAAAGGAGCTTCTAGTGCTACCAAGGAGTTACAAGAAAGATTTAGGGTAGAAAGTTCATTGGAACTCCAAATCCAATTAGGTATCTTGCCTCGGATATGGTTTTCTGAAAGGTCCACACTGGATAATGTGGATTGATTTCTCAAGACATTAGAAAATGCAATTTCACCAGAGAATTGATTGTGGGCAAGGTATAGTACTGACAATAAGGGAAGAGAGAAGAGCGACGATGGGACTGATCCAGTAAAATTGCAATATGAAAGATCTATCGTGGACAACATTTTGAGGTTGCCAATTGATTCAGGCAATGACCCTGAAAAGTTTGTCTGGTTTAGATACAATGAGTCAAGAGATCCATTATTCTTAGGAAATTCTGGCAAGGAACCACCAAGTTTAAATTACCCGAAAGGTCAATAGTTTGTAGAGTAGGTACCTGAAAGATCTCGTTGGGAAATGTTCCACTCAACTGACAACCACTGAGACTCAAGGAACTCAACTTTGAAAAATTGGCAAAGAATCCTGGAATTGGACCGGAGATATTGTTCGAACTCAAGTCCAACTCCCTCAGGTTTGAAAAGTTGGCAAAGAATCCTGGAATTGGACCGGTGATGTTGTTCCCACTCAAGTCCAACTCCCTCAGGTTTGAAAAGTTGGCAAAGAATCCTGGAATTGGACCGGAGATGTTGTTCTCACTCAAGTCCAACTCCTCAGGCTTGAAAAGTTGGCAAAGGATCCTGGAATTGGACCGGAGATAGATTCTAGGCTAAGGTCAAGACCAACAACATGCCCATTACTAGTGCAAGTAACACCAACCCAAGAACAACAGTCGGTGCTTGAATTCCAAGATATGAGTGGGGAAGGTTCATGAAATTGAAGGCTTTTCTTCAAATGGAGCAACGATTGTTGTTGGTCTTTAATACACTGGCTGTGAACTGCAGGGAGGAGGATATTGAAGCAGAGGAGGAAAAAGTAATGCAGCAAAGTTTCATTTTGGAAAATCTTTTTAGCTGATGAGGGAAAGTGATGAGCAAATGACTGATGAGAAAGAAAGGTTGGGGTGGCTTTAATATATATGCATGGTTGGGGTGGCTTTGATGAGATTAAATCTTTGTCTTGGCTTGACTTTGAAGTGTTCAACCAGCATCTAATCTTTGATTCGTGGTTGTAGGACAAAAGAAAAATAATAATGATGTAGCTTTAATAATGACGTGAAAAAAGGCCCCCACGAGATTCGTGGTTAGCTTGACTTGTTCACTTTAAGTCTTTCTATGGAGAGCTGCTTTTGATAAAATAATAGCATGTATAGAGTTGATCTGGACATGTGAGTAAACAAAGGATTACACATTGGGAGAGAATGAGGAATCAAATCTTTGATTATTCTACAAATGGAAGTAAGAACTCTATGGTCTTGTCCAGCACAAGCAAACAAAAAGACTCGTATATTGAGATTAGACCAGTATGAAATTCAACGTGTGACTGGACATGTGATATGATTCATCTGCTGGACCAAAGAATTGTGCTAGCTCGTATAGGAGGTCACTCTCCAACCACATCAACTTTGCAAAATTACAAATCTAGCATTCAAATCATGTTCAAGAAGCTGAAACCCCGAATTGGCACTTTGTTTCCGTTTGGTCAAGATAAGGGTTGTCACAGTGGGTGGCACTAGAAACTCCTAGTGAGTGGGTTGTCACAGTGGTCCTTGTATTGCCGTGCACTTCAATTTAGTCTGTTTTAGTTAGCTGCTAAAACATCCTTATTACAATGACCTTAGTTGCAACTTTTCAAATGAGATTCTAAAATAATAACATTCTTTACATTTGGATTAAACCCTTACTAGCTACCACATTAGTTTGAATTGTTTATATTCTTCATTTTTCATTTCGTTGCCAGTTGCTAAAATTATTATTATTATTACTATTTTTGTTCTTTTGTTTTTGTGGAATGAGTCACTGTCTGTTAGAAATTGGGTTTAGAAGGCTTGTACAAAAGAAAAATAATAATGATGTAGCCTTATAATGATTTGCAAAAAGGCATCCACGACATTCGTGGTTGGCTTGACTTGTTCACTTTAAAGTCTTTCTTTATAATTGCAATTTGCATGGCAAGCCCTGGATGAGTTAACTTGAACAAAAACCTAGAGCTGTAAAGAATTCCATGTAGTTTTGGGTTGGGTTATAGCGGTCTAAATGCAAGGGTAAAAAATTACTAAAATTGTATGAATCAAAATGGAAAATCTGACAAACTACAAAGAGCAACACACTTTTGCAATAGTGTGTGAAGTATATGGAAAATTTGTCACATGACTGAGATAGTGACATGTCGGATTGAGAACATTGTGAGGTTGCTTTATGTATTGACTTGTTGACTTCGAAGTCTTGCCCAACTTGTCCAGTGAGCCAAGCTACAGTCTAGCCCAACTTGTCCAGTGAGCCAGGCTACAGTCTACATGTTGGTTTCCGATTTGGATTTTGGGGTGAGTATTGACTGGTCCAGTGGAAGAAAGCAGATGATTTCTATGGTCTGTGCTCTTGCACGTTCATGTTGATTTCTGGGTTGGAAGAGGAATTCTCCATAATCTTGGATTGAACGTTTGGTCCGACCATAAACATGAAGATATGCTGAGGAAATTTCGAACCAAAGAGCTCTATAATCTTGGATTCAAATTCACGTTATATAACAACTTTGCATGTCGTTTAGCTTTACCCACCAACCTACTTTCAGTCTTTTATCATCCCCACTTACAACTAAAGTCTGTTCAAATATGCTTTACCCTAACAAAAAAAAGGAAAAGTTTACTCAAATTATGCAGAGACGATCGACCTAATTTCACAAAATCTTTTGATTGGCTGCTTAAAGCCTTAGACAGGAAATGAACCATAACGAAATGGCAATCGTGCAAAGACGAAGGGGCACGGCCTAATTACTACCAAAAGAAAAACAAAAGGTGAAAAACCAAGTTAAAGACTTGTTAATGGTAATCAGTTTTCATTTCCCAAAAATTAACGCGTTCTCTTCAATGGTGTGGATAATCCTTTGAAACCTAATTATAAAATTTGCATATAGTGCATGTATTTACAAATTGTTTAACACAAGTAAACTTCATGTATTTTACTAACTGAAGTATGAAAGTAATTTCACCTATAGATTTATACTAAAATCCACGTCATTGAGAGCCCGTGCTAATAATTTGGGCTGTGGAAGAAACTCCTCCCCAAATTCCAAGTGGTTTACTGCCTACGTTGCTTGTTCCAAATATGCCCTTCTTTCATGATGTCTTTTATTTGCTTTAACTCTTTGTAATATCGTGCTTTAACTGAAAGTTGATCGATAACCAATTTCGATTTTCTAAAACATGCAAGTTTTTCAATTTCAATCCAAAAGAAAGACCTACTAGTAGTAGACACCAGCCAATAATTTTTCTTTTTAAAGAAAAAAAGGAAGACCTTCTATGCCATGTCAATAACCATTACTCTTCTTTCTTTTATTCATCTATTTATTCCTTACAAAAGAAAACCATTAGTTCTAAACCATTACTCTTCTTTCTTTCATCTACAAGATAGCACATTAGTTCAAATTGTTTATATATACTTCGTATTTCATTTCGTTGCGGGTTGCTAAAATTATGTTTTTAGAAGGCTTGTCTACTAAAAAAAAGGAATGAGTTAGCGTCTACTAAAAAAAGGGTTTAGAAGGCTTGATTGGTTCTTATTATTTGTATCATATCTGACCGTCCTCCCGGGCTACTCCTACAAGTCCCACATCGAAACTTCACACTAAGAGGACACCCAAAACCTCTATAAATAACGCCTTTTTGCCCCTTGAGTACAGGGTAATAGCGACTTGACCTTATGCCCTTCCCTTAAATAGCTGACTCCTCTCTACTATATTCCTATCCTTTTGCCCATAGGGTACAGGGTAATAGCGACCGTGTAGATCAAAAGAGACCCCTAGCAAGCCACGGCCAAAGCAACCTCATTGTCATTTGTCCAATAACGGGCACTAATATTACAGATCCTCTAAGCCACCGAGCAGATAAGAAAACTTCTTACATTCATGATTTCGCATGCATTATCAACGTATTTACTATATCTTCTTTACATTATTATATATGTTCACTACATCGCTATATGCTGTATTATGCGGAAATACATTAGCTGGATGAGTTATATATTCTTATTGGGACCAGTGCCTGCCCCACGCTCAGATTCATCACATAAGAAATTGATTTCATATGCCTTTTATATTTGTTTTGGGGTAAGGCTTGTATGATTAAGAAAAATATGCTTATAGGCAAAGATACGAGGTCAATCGTTCTTTCATCATAGGACCATCCTATATCTATTGTTTTGCAGACAGTAACTTAGCTGGGGGCAACGGGTTGAACCCCAAGCAGAGAATTTTTGCTTTTCTCTTTTTATGATGGAAGTTATGTCCTAATATATTATATATTATATGTGCCTACTGTCTTGCCTAAGACCTCAAGTGAAAGATCTAGTGTTTTCTTTAATTGTGTACACTTGCTAGGATATTTGGTTCCCTACTCGTTCAAGTATTAGCTTTGACTCTAATTTACTATATTATTTCTTCTAAACGATGCGCGTATATATTGAGTATCTGCAAAACTAGTTCTTATTTATGCTAGCCATCCACTTTGACTTTCACATAATACTAAATTACCAACAATTTTACATATTTCTAATGGTCATTAACAGACATGTCATATTATTTCACTTATGCGCATACTAATTAGATGCCTATGTCAGGTGCAGTTTAACATGATTCAGAACCTTTACATTCATTGAAAGATGCTCAAGAAGTATGCTTCTGGTCAATTAAATTGGCTGTCTCAATAAAATTATAGTTAAATTGAATGCTACGTACTAATTGCTACAATAATAAGTAAATCAATTTTTACATATGACTAGTGCAAGTAACTTGGCTGGTCTCCAAGTCGAGGTATATATGCTTTACTCTGATTGCTTTTCTTTTTAAAAGACTTCTATATGATATTAGCTATGTGAACAATAACTTTTCTGTCAAATATTTGCCAATGCAATGGTTTACTATCTCCGCTACGTATATTATTGCTTAAGTCTATCATGAAAGTTATGTCCTAATATATTTCTTGAAATTCTTAATTAATGTAATGTTTTTCTACACTAATGCATTGAAAATCATATATTCATGAAGTGCTTAAGAACCCAATTTGAGTCGTGCAAGAATTCGTTGTTCATTTCATGGAAGACATTTTTTTTGGTTAATCCCAAGTTCATTTTCCAATTTGCATGAAAACTGATTTAAAATCTAAGATAATTATATTCTATGCTTCAATCATTCAAATGCTCTTTAAGTCACCATGATTTATGATTTTGATAGTTAACAAAAATTTGTTTAAATAATTTGAAACTCAACGTGACATAGGCAGGTGTAATGGGAACATCACACAAGGTTTACAAACTAGGAGCATATCCAAATTTTATTTCAAAGACCAACAAATCTCAACTAATAGAGTTGACGATAAATTGAAGAAAGGAGAGGTGTGTACCAAAGCTAACATGCTCCATGAACTAGTGCTTGGGCAATGACTGAGTCATTATCAAAGCACAACAAATATGGTATGCTTCAAAACTCCACAAACTATCTTGGTTCATATAAATTGTTTAACAATATCATTAGATCCTTTGTCGATCTCCAACAAAATTTCACCTAAGGCCAACAATACTTTCAGGCAAAATCGGATTCATGCGTATCCCAACATCACCTCGAGGTTACCAATCCTTTGGGGGCAATCAATTGGTATCATGTGGATCCCAACATCACCCTAAGGTTACCAATCTTCTAGGGGCAATTAAATGGGCCCATCAATCCCTACATCTCCCTGGGGGTTACCAATCCCTTGGGGGCAATCAATTAGATCTATGTCAATCCCAACATCACCCCGAGGTAACCAATCCTCTGAGGGCAATCAATTGGGTCCATGTCAATCCATACATCTCCCTAGGGATTACCAATCCCTTGGGAGCAATCAATTGGATCCATGTTGATCCCAACATCACCCCGAGGTTACCAATCCTCTGGGGGTGATCAATTGGGTCCATGCAGATCCCTACATCTCACCGGGGGTTACTAATCTCTTAAGGGCAATCAATTGGATCCATCTTGATCCCAACATCACCCTAAGGTTATCAATCCTCTAAGGGCTATCAATTAGGTCAATGTCGATCTCTACATCACCCCGAGAGTTACCAATCCCTTGGAAACAATCAATTGGATCCATGTCGAACCCGACATCACCCTGAAGTTGCCAATCCTCTGGGGCGATCAATTGGGTCCATGTCGATCCCTACATCTCACCGGGGGTCACTAATCTCTTGGGGACAATCAGTTAGATCCATCTCGATCCCAACATCACTCCAAGGTTACCAATCCTCTTGGGACGAACAATTAGGTCCATGTCAATCCATACATCTTCCCAGGGGTTACCAATCCCTTAGAAGCAATCAATTGGATCCATGTCGATCACAACATCACCCCGAGGTTACTAATCTTCTAGAGGCTATCAATTAAGTCTATGCCGATCTCTACATCACTCCGGGGGTTACCAATCCCTTGGGAGCAATCAATTGGATCTATGTCGATCACAACATCACCCCAAGGTTACCATCCTCTGGAGGCGATCAATTAGGTCTATGTCAATCCTTACATCACTCTGGGGGTTATCAATCCCTTGGGAGCAATCAATTGGATCCATACCGATCGCAACATCACCCCGAGGTTACCAATCCTCTGGAGGTGATCAATTAGGCCTATGCCGATCCTTACATCACTCTAGGGGTTATCAATCCCTTGGGGGTAATCAATTGGATCCATGCCGATCCCAACATCACCCCGAGGTTACCAATCCTTTGGGGGCAATCAATTGGGTCCATGTTGATCCCTCATCACCTCGGGGGTTACCAATCCTTTAGGGCAATCAATTGGATTCATGTTGATCCCAACATCACCCCAAGATTATCAATCATCTAGAGACAATCAATTGGGTACATGTTGATCTCTACATCACCCTAGGGGCTACCAATCCCCTCGGGGCAATCAATTGGATCAATGATTCCAACATCACCCTGATGTTACCAATCCTCTGGGGCGATTAGGTCAATATCAATCCCAACATCATCTTGAGGTTACCAATCGCCTAAGGTAATCAATTGAATCTAGGTCAATCCCAACATCACTTCGAGGTTACCAATCCTCTGTGGCAATCAATTAGGTCCATACTAATGTCTACATCATCATGGGGATTACTAATCCCCTAGGGGCGATCAATTGGATCCATGCTAATCCCAACATCACACAAACTTTACCAATCATTTGGGGGGTGATCAATTGGGTCCATGTCAATCCCTACATCACCCTGGGGTATTCCTTTAGGGCCCAACAATTAGATCCATGTATATCCCTACATCACCCTGGGGGTTACCAATCCTTTAAGGGTAATCAATTAGATCCATATCAATCCCAACATCACCCCATGGTTACCAATCCTTTGAGGGAGCTCAATTGAGTCCATGTTAATCCTTACATCACCTTAGGGGTTGCCAATCCCCTATGGCAATCAATTGGATCCATATCGATCCCAATATTACCATGAGGTTACCAATCCTCTAAGGGCAATCAATTGGGTCCATGCCAATCTCAACATCACCCTAGGGGTAACCAATCCCCTGGAGACGATTAATTGGATCCATGTCGATCCCAACATCACCCCGAGATTACCAATCCCCTGGGGGTGATCAATTGAGTCCATGTCAATCCCTACATCACCCTGAGGTTATCAATCCTCTGAGGCCCATCAATTGGATCCATATTGATCCTTACATCCTCCCGAAGTTATAAATCCTCTCTTGCCCATCAATCGGATTCTTAGTTAATCCCAACCAATTGGATCCATTGCTCTTCAAAATCTCACATGCATAGTAAATAAATCTAAAAACACTAGTTTTGGCAAGTGATTGATATATCGAAGTAATTAAGAGCAGCTTGTGATCAATCGACAATAGAAGTTCAGTAATAAACCTACAAACTATGTTCTTCAACATGGTATTCATTATTACGCTCAACTTCCACATACTTGTTAAAAGAAGCATAAACATCTCGACAGCCTTTAACATCAAGTTGGAGCCCAGCAAGGAAACAAGTAGGAAATAGTTGCATGCACTAACATCCATAAAATATTTCTAACGCTTAACAACTGAAATTTGTGCAAGAAATACATCCCATAAAATGATTCTTTTCTTGTATATTTGTAATCCATATTTATGCATTCAATGTAATTCATGTGATGTCCTTCAAACAACTGCTGTATTGTACCCTCCACAACTGTTCCCTAAACCCACAGAACAATGATAAAAATGATAATGAAACAACAAATAAACTCATAGAGCTAATAGTAATAAAATAGTTCATTAAAAAAAAAAGCAAATTTCTATTAAAAGTTGTCAAATCCTCTTCCACAAACATTCATATTTAAATCCAATACCATATGATAAACCCAACTCGTATACAAAGTCCAAATAAAGACTAGTACTTTTCTTTCCGTATAGACCAAAGTGGACAATCAGTCACAAAAAGAGCAAAACATGACAAAGTCAATTTTTCCTGTGTTTCTAAAACATGACAAAGGTCAGATGTCAGGTGACTTGGACTCTAAAGTATTCAGTGAGATACGCCCCTTCTTTCCTCTTGCCTGTTTGTGGACTGCAGCTGCATCCCCATCTCCACATCCACCTCTGAGGTGCTGGCATCAGTGGTAACAGACTCACTACTGATGGTGGGAGAAATGGCAGCTAGTGAATGAGTCACGGCAGCCACTAGCATTGAGAGAGGGTTGCCACTACTGATGGTGGGAGAAACGGCAGCTAGTACGGTAATAGGATTGGCCGTGGTGTGTGAATTGCCCTCAACGTCAGGGAAGGACGTGCAATATCTAAGTGAATTGAGTTCACTCAACACGCTCCCCAAATCATTTCCGACATTTTTATAGGTTGCCACAATATCTGTCGCATTTGGATAGCTGCCGTCCTCAGCCTTTTTCAACACACTACTCAGTTCCAATTTGATGTTGAAAAATTAGCGAGCTTCATTCTATAGTTGTTTTCCATTGTCATTCATGATGTGTACCTGTGTTAAAACAAAAAAAAAAAAAAAAAAAAAAAAAAAAAAAAGGTCAAAATAGGCCAACCCATCAATAAACAATCTATTTTAATACCTCAGTAGAGGATTGGGATTAGGATTTTGGAAAGAGAAGACCTGGAGAATGAGGTAAATGGAGATGCCTTGAAGGACACACGATTAACGAAGTGATGTTACTTGTTTAAGGCTAGAATGCGAGAAAGATGGCAGCGCAAGTTTGGTGACAGTGCCGAATGTTGGCTATACTCGAACCACAACATGACACTGACATAAGATTGCATGCGGATATTCGGAACGATGGAGTGTTCCAAAGGTGGATCCCGAAGTCTTACTCGTGTGCATGGTGGCTAAGGACATGGAATATGTTCGCACTTAATGTAAGACAAAATTGGAGTAACTTAGGTGTTGAAATCTTATTTGTTCCCATGTGAATGCTATAAAAGTGGTTCTGGGAGTCCGAGTTTAGGGAGTTGGTAGTTAAGTGGTTCTACTTGTAGTAGGGATTATGGTTATCCTTGGTGAACTGTGATGGTCTAAGTGATGTGCAACTTTGCTTTGGAGACACATGGATGTAAGGGTGTGTCAGCTAGGTAAGTAAGGGAGACACACGAATGCCATGGAGATATGGCAATGCATATGCACAAACAAATAGAGGTGATGTGGAAGACACACGGTTGGCTTACAAGTCACGCTTAGATGGGGTGCTTCTCTTCTAATGTGGAAAATGCGGAGACCAACGAGCTATGTGTTTGTTCAATAGCTGAGTGCCACAAGAGATGGAGGTCTCGACCCAAAGAAGGACAAAATGTGGAACTTCGAAGAGAAGTTGAAAAGGGTGAACACATTGCTGCATTGTGGTCCATGGACTAAGGACAAGAGGATATTCCTATATGGTGTTATGTGGCAGTGCAGTGGGTACGTCGACGAGGATGTCGATATTATCAGTGGGCACGTTAGGTGACTTGGACTTTAGAGTCTTGGGTGAGATACGCTTCTTCTTTCCCTTTGTCTTTTTGTGGACTGCATCTGCATCCACCATCTCCACGTCCACCTCCGAGGTGGTGGTAACAGACTCAATGTTGATGGTGGGAGAAACGGCAGCTGGTGGGGAGTAAGGGGAATAGGACTAACCATTGTGTGAGAAACGGCAACTGGTAAGGGAGTCACGGCAGACAATGGCACTGAGGTAGACCTGCCACTACTCATGATTGGAGAAACGACAGCTAGTGCGGTAGGATGACTGGCCGTGGTGTGAGAATTTCCCTTAATGTTGGGGAAGGACGTGCTATACCCAAGTGAATTGAGTTCACCCAACATGTTACCCAAATCGTTTTCAACACTTTTATAGATTGCCACAATATCTGTCCCATTTGGATAGCCGTCATCCTCAGCCTTCTTCAACACACTGCTCAGTTCCAATTTGATGTTGAACAATTTGCGAGCTTCATTCCATATTTGTTTTCCCTTGTCATTCATGATGCGTACCTGTATTCAAATGACCAAAAAAGAAGTCGAAAAGGTCAACCCAAAGCAATCATAAACAATCTATTTCAATACCTCAATTCTCGACGTCGATCTCACACCTACGGTTGAATTGAGCATTTGAATCTGCAAAGGCCGGCAGAGGATTGGGATTTTGGAATGTGAAGATAAGGAAAATGAGGAGGCAAATAGAGGTGCCTTGAAGGACACACGGTTGACAAAGTGATGTTGCTTGTTCGAGGCCAAGATGTGAGAAAGATGGCATGGCAAGTTTGGCGAGAGTGCCTAATGTTGGCTATACTCGAAAGATAACATGCCAAGATTCAGCTGGTGACGAGTGTTGAATGGATGGTGCAAAACCTTTGTTCGGGTAAGTATTGCGGGAGCTCAAGACCGAAATGGTGCAGTACTCGAAAGGAGTAAGTTGTTGATGAGCTAGGCTTCATTGAGGGAGTAAGTTGCTGACAGGCTAAGCTTTAATGAAGGAGTCACTAAAGTGATTGCTCTTACAATTGTGGAGAACACATGGGTGAGGCACAATGTTTGACATAAGATTGCCTATGAATATTTAGAACGATGGAGTGTTCCAAAGGTGGATCCCGGAGTCTTACTCTTATGCATGGTTGCTAAAGACATGGAGTATGTTCGCACTTGATGTAAGACAAAATTGGAGTAACTTAGGTGTTGATATCTTACTTGTTTATATGTGGATGCTATAAAAGTGTTTCTGCCAAGTCTGAGTTCGGGGCGTTGGTAGTTAATTGGTTATATTCGTTAAGTGGTTCTACTCGTGTACCCTGAATTCAAGGTATTGCTTTGAAAAATTGCAACCAGTGTTGACCACGCCCAGCCTCTCCACCTCTAACTCCACTTCCTTAATACAGTCTATCATTTCTTATTGAAACTCCTCAAAGAACTTAGCTTTGTCCATTAACTTCTTATGAGTAGTCCTAGCCATAGCAACCTCAGCAGCATCAGCTCTTCCGTCCATTATGAATTGAATTATGAAGATAGGTAGGTGCACCTATGACAACAAGTTAGAACTAGAAGAGATGCAAAATCTATAAATTGAATTCTCGAATGATGGATGATGTTCATACAAACTGGAATACAAGAGTATTTATAATGAAGAAAACCTAATCCTACTGGGATAAGGATCCCTACTAAGAGTATTTATAATTAAGAAAACCGGAATACAAGAGTATTTATAATGAAGAAAACCTAATCCTACTAGGATAAGGATCCCTACTAAGAGTATTTATAATTAAGAAAACCTAATCCTACTAGGAGTAGGATTCCTACTAAGACTAGTAGTTAGAAATCCTAGTCTTATCCAGAGTAAAAATTAAATTAAAACGGACAAAACTGATTGTCTGGAGTTTGTTCAGGCATTTACCTTTCATGTGATGTAGTTTAGCCATGTTAAATGTATATTCCCTCAATGTAGGTTGTTGCAACAATTGCTTTCGGAGTGGGAATTGACAAAAAGAATAGAGCAGAACTCGAGCGAGCACGGAGTAACAATATTAGAATCCTGGAAAAAAGTTCATATTTAACCTCACAGGACAGAACATACATGAAATCCTGACATAAGATTGCCTACGAATATTCAGAATGATGGAGTGTTCCAAAGATGGATCCCAGAGTCTTACTCGTGTGCATGGTTGCTAAGGACATGGAGTATGTTCGCACTTGATGTAAGACAAAATTGGAATAACTTAGGTGTTGATATCTTACTTGTTCCTGTGTGGATGCTATAAAAGTGTTTCTACCGAGTCCAAGTTCAGGGCGTTGGTAGTTAATTGGTTCTATTCATTAAGTGGTTTTACTCGTGTACCTTGAATTCAAGATATTGCTATGAAAAATTGCAACTAGTGTTGCCCACGCCCAGCCTCTCCACCTTCAAGCCCACCCTCTCCACCTCTAACTCCACTTCCTTAATATAGTCTATCATTTCTTGTTGGAACTCCTCAAAGAACTTAGCTTCATCCATTAACTTCTTATGAGTAGTCCTAGCCATAGCAACCTCAGCAGCATCAGCTCTTCCGTCCATTATGAATTGAATTATGAAGATAGGTAGGTGCACCTATGACAACAAGTTGGAACTAGAAGAGATGCAAAATCTATAAATTGAATTCTCAAATGATGGATGATGTTCATACAAACTGAAATACAAGAATATTTATAATGAAGAAAACCTAATCCTACTAGGAGAAGGATTCCTACTAAGAGTATTTATAATTAAGAAAACCTAATCCTACTAGGAGTAGGATTCCTACTAAGGCTAGTAGTTAGAAATTCTAGTCTTATCTACAGTAAAAATTAAATTAAAATGGGCAAAACTGATTGTCTGGAGTTTGTTCAGGCATTTACCTTTCATGTGATGTAGATTAGCCATGTTAAATGTATATTCCTTCATTGTAGGTTGTTGCAACAATTGCTTTCGAAATGGGAATTGACAAAAAGAACAGAGCAGAACTCGAGCGAGCACAGAGTAACAACATCAGAATCTTGACAAAAAGTTCATATTTAACCTCACAAGACAGAACATACCTAAAATCGGCTGGAAACAATATCAGAATCCTACAAGTACTCTGGACGACCAAGTGACAAGAATGCAAACTTCCACTGCACAAACAAAAGGGTATCGATGAGGAAGCAAAATAAAGAACCATTAATTCTAGCCACAGCCCTCTCTAGTGACCTTGAAATAGATACAAGTTGTGGGTCGAGTACCTTTGAAAACTCCTCATCAGGGACCTGCAATTTATTTTGTATGGGTACTTTAACCTCAGCTAAAGTTTCATCTTCATGGATGACCAAAAGGAAAGGTTCCCCAAAATTTTGTACTTGTTGTTAAAGATTAGACCATTATTAAGAAATAAGAATCACAAGTATTTGGGTGAAATCATCCAACATCTTTAATTGAAACGTAATGAAATACTTTATTTTTAAAAGCAAAATTCTATATGAAGTTTTTCAAATTCTCATCCACATTCATAAAAGATTCCAATACCATCTCGTTCTGTGCAATGTCCTTTGTAAAGTGGTAAACATGAATCAAGCGATCATGGAGAGACATCTGGTTCTGTGCAGTGTCCTTTCTAAATCTCATTCCTTCTGAAAATGAAAGGTCACTAAAAATCATGATTTGTGTTTCAAACTGACATTTTTCTGTTTTTGATGTACATAATCTCATGATTTGTTCAACTTCTTAATCTAGCAGTGCTTCTCTTTCAAACATTTTGACCTTGCTACTTCTCTTCCAACATTGGAAGAGATTCGAAGTCTTGACCTTGGTACTTCTCTCTCCGACATTAGAAGCGATTCAAGGTTCCAAGATGTTAGATATGAAAGTTAACTAAACAACACTAGCCAGGTAAATATTAAGGTTTCTTACTCTACAATAGTTTTACGCCATACACCACCAAATCAATGAAGCATGCTTCCTATCCTACCATTATTTCTCCTTATCAATCTCCTCTTTAATCAACAAAAAGAAGAGTTTAATATATATATATAATCCGATAATCGATTTCACATTACATAAGAATATTACATAAATGACTAGGGCATAGCTACATTAAAAAGTGACTTCTTAAGCACATTTCTTATTTCTTGGATCTTGATGTTAGAAAATTATAATATTTAGATTTAATTTTTTAATAAATGAATGGAAATTAAATTGTGGGATTCGTGACTTTTAAGTACATGACTTTTACGAATTGATATGTATCCATTGGGATTAGTCATGTTCTTAACTGAGGAAAAATAAAATATTATTTATTTTGTTTGTAAAATAATAATACATTATGTGATAAGTTGCATTGTTTCATATATGAAAAGTTGCATTGTTTCATAGAAATTGAAACATTGCACTTCTTGGCTTAAGTTGCATTGTTTTATAATAAATGAAACATTGCACTTCTTGGCTTATGGTTGCAACATGAAAAGATACATTTATTGATATTTTTCAGTCACATCTTTTCTAAATAGAGGCCTTGTTGCTTATAAATAGAGAAGATCCTACAACATTTCATTTATCTAGTGAGTATTCATAGCATTATATTTTTAGAAATATAGTGAGTTAGTAAGAGAGAATTCATGTACAAGTTTAAGTTCGCTTTTCTTGAGGATTGTAATGATACTTCAACAAGAAGTCGATCGTTGTATCCTGGGAGACGTTTGCCAAGCAAATCTTAAAAGAACCTGTGATGAGGCAATTTTGTCTTAAGGAGATAGAACCAAGTTCTAGACTCGATCATTTGTAAAGTATTCTTAACATTTACCTTGTCGATATTTTATTGTATTTATTTCGAATTTATAGTGAAGTTTTATTTTCGAAATTCTATAAATATAGCAATTATCTTTATCTTTTACCAACACTTGAAACAAGGAACAAGAACACCAGGCTGCATTGCTCCTCGTAATCTTTTGAATGTCTCCACCTTTGATTTACCTGAACGTGTCTTTTATGATTATCAATTCTTTCCTTCAGCTGAAGGAATATATAATATATTGACAAGGATGTTATACATAGCTTTGTAATACCATTTACTTCATCTCTTGCAGAAAACAAATGAACCAATGGCCAGCCAAATGCAAATCCAATTTCAACACTCAGAAGATCCCAATCAATCTCTTCATGTTCAGAATTGGAAGGCTCCATTCAATGTTGTTGGTGGTGCAAGCATGTTTTGTTATCATCCACCGTCAAAGGAGGTCCCCGTAATCCTTTGTTTCCTGTAAATAGTCTTTTGGAAATGTCGAAAACTGAGTACCAGTTGGGATTTTGCCAACCAGTTGATTATTTGAGAGATTACTTGCAATCATATCTGAGCGCCAGCCTCATGATCTCGATGATGGATGTGAGGGCGATGATGATTTTGATGATGATGTTGGTGACGTTGATGGCGATATTGACGACGTTGATTACAGCAACGATGCTTTCTCAAATGCCATAGATGTGTTCTCATTGTCAGAGGCAATAGACATTATGGAAAAGAAAGCATAGAAAGAACATGAAATTTCATAATCAAGGGAGATGAACCAAAAGTGCTCAAATTTAATAATTAACCGGTTTCTTCCAGATGTCACTGCATTGGCTGCATCATTTGCTCTACAGCTAAATGTTTCCCAGATAAGTTCATGTCACTACCCAATTCGAAAATAAAGAATATTCCCGAATCAGGGTGCGTGAATAAAAAGAAATAAATAAAAAGACTGAAAAAAATTGGTTAAAATACATTACCATTATATATATGAAAAAATATATATATAATAATCTTACAAGTGTACAAGATATAAATTTAATAAACGTTTATCACTCTAAACTAATCCAACTTCTTTGGTTTTGGCTTTGTCCTGCTCACTAATTGATCTGAAAAATAAAATAGGTGAGGGATGAGCAAACCATCGCTCAGTGAGTAGATTATGTAATATACCAGTCAAGCAATGTCATTTTACACACTCTAGAAAAATATAATACATAAAAAGATACACAATCCAAATTATATCATATCATTACTTCATATCTTGGTTATCCTTCACAAATTGTACCCAGCACGTGACCCCTATTGGCCTTACTGCCCTATGTCCCCTTCTGGTACATTTATTCTTCGGATACCCTGTCACTGAAGTTCTCATGTTCCATGAATAATACATATTTCACAAAAACTCCAAATAATATATATTATGTGAAATATTGCACAAATTAGACATGCTTGACTTGAAATTATAGAGAGATTTGTAAATAGAATAAACCCATGATTTTCACATTTATCACAAAATAAGAACTTTTAGAACATATTACATAACCCACTCACCATGATAAGTATGAAATATTGCAAGACAAACACACACACACACACACTCATCATCTTGTTTTTCTCTCTCTCTCTCTCTCTCTCTCTCTCTCTCTCTCTCTCTCTCTAACACTACTTCATGGTAGAAATCTATCTTAAAGGATTGGAATGAATGATTGAAGTAAGGAAGCATGATACTTATAGGAGAGGCTATGGATGCACCCAAATAATTTTTATATATACAATATTTTAAACCACCAAAAGATAAGATAGAAAAGGGAATAATATGACTCATCCTCCTTTGGCCAATGAAATCACAACACCACCATCAAAAGATAAGATAGAAAGATAAGAGAATAATGTGAGTCATCCACCTTTGGCCAATGATATTATAACATCACTTGTTACTAGCAAGCAAGGTGGCATGGCATTGATGATTTGATTAAAACCAATTCTAAGTCTCTACACATAGAAAACAAGAATGATGTCATCTTTCAACTAAAAGGATAATCTCATGCTAGGCTTAAGATTTAACAACATATAAGTCTTCACAATAAATATTTAAATAAGAAAAATTCATATTAATAAATAAGTAATATGTAGTACGAATAATTATATATATATATTACAGGTTCTCACAGTTCAAGCAATGAGCTTTGTTATCCATGGTCCACCAATTAAATTATACCCGAGTTGCATTTTGGTTCCTCAATTAAATTATTCGTTCAAATGGTCCACCAACTCTTTATTAATCGGCACATTGGTCCTACCATTACATTATGTTCATATTGTTGTCAAATATAGGGGTAAAAGAGTCCAGTTAAATAAAATAGTAAATAAATTAAAAACTAAAAATTAAAAGAAAAGAAAAACCTATCTCCCTCTCCCAACTCCTAGCTCCTAGCCCCATCTTCTTCTCCCCACAACCCACCCTCTCTTCCCCTCCAGCCATGTCCCCTCCTCCCCCTCTATTTCTCTCTTCAAACATTTAGTGGGGCTGCAAGGCTATGAGTTTATTCACATGGAGAGAGAGAGAGAGAGAGAGAGAGAGAGAGAGAGAGAGAGAGAGAGAGAGAGAGAGAGAGTGTGTGTGTGTGTGTGTGTGTGTGTGTGGGGTGGGGTTGGGTGGGCTAGTTTTTTTTAGGGTTACTTTTTGTTGTTTTTTATTTTTTTAGTTTCTAATTAATTTTAAAAATAAAGAAAATTTTGTATTAATTTGTAATCATATTTTTTATTTTTTTAGTTATCAAAAGTCTTATTTACCCCCACAAATGTAGCATGTATTGCTCACATGACTAAATTTAACATAAAATATAACGATATGACCAATTCGCCAAATAATAAAGAGTTGGTGGATCATTTGAACGAATAATTTAGTTAACATACCAAAATAAAACTAGGGTATAAATTTAAGGACCATTTAAGTAAATAACCCCACCTATTATGTTCTTCACCAACCTCTTCTACTTTTTAGCTGATTAAAAGAACTTGGGGATTTTGCAGGCACAAAGGCATGTTCTGATGGTGGTACGATATGAGTCTTGATTGTCTGGGAATTGGCCCAATCATCCATCCATTGTTCTGAATTATAAAATCTTATAAGCAAGCAAAATTATGCCATAATACGAAAATAAAAATTTATGTTAGTTTTTCTTCATTACCGGAACGTGGTAAACGTTCTCCAAGACTTTTGATCCTCCTTTCATGGGGGAAATGGGCAGGTCACCCACATTCTCCACTGGATGTACAGTGTTGTCAGATGTACATAAAGAACACCTTCAGTTGTTAAGGACAATGCATGTTGTTGGTTTGAAATGGGCTGAGAAGTTCTTGCAGAATGATTCATCATTGGGCCGAGAAGTTCTTACATAAAGAACACCTTTCAGCTTGGATATCAGTCGGTATGCACTATATTTTGCTTAGAGCTCGTTGTTATATTCGTTTTCTTCAACATTGTCTAAAAGGTTGGTCTGGATAGGACAGAAATAATAATCATCAATATCAGATATGCAACTCTAGGGTTGGGTAGGAATTTGTTTATGGAAATCGTGAGTGACAAGGTAGTGGGTGCTTTTAGTAATGTGTCTTCTCTTTATCGTTTTGTCCCATCTCTCTTCAGGATAGTTTCGTCAGAGCATTCTAATAACAACGGCGAGATGTTCATTTAACCTAAGTAGGCAAATCAACACACAAATGAGAGAGCATGGCACTATGCCCGTGTGGAGAGGTCCAATTCCATTAAGACAGATTTATAAAGTTCAGAAATGTGCAACAAGTCCCCAACAATGATCAGACTGACAAACTCCAAATAAAAACACAATCTTTATACAAACACCTTCAACAACAGAAATTACAGAAACCCTAGCAAATAGATTAGCTAAGCCTCTACAAACAAAATACAATCGATCTCAATAAACTAACAACAGAATCGAAACCAAAGAAAATGAATTGGGAATTGAAATTTCTCGGAAATCAAAGTCGGAAATCTCAAGGTGCGTAAGATGAAGAAGTAGCGCAGCTAGGTTTAAAGTTGGTATTTATATTGGGAGAGAGTCAAAACAAAACCCTAGACTTATAAGAACGCACGGGTGGGTTATCTAGTCGGCTCACCAAAAGCAGGCCCACCCGACCCGACTAGAAATAAAAACGTAATAAATAAAACGCTGCTTGAAAACAGAGACCTTTCAGGTTTCTAACTTTGTTCAGAGTGAGAGACCATCAGTAAAGCATTCTGGGCACATTTCTACTCATGGTACAATGCGCAAGCTTCAGCATAAGAGTTTTGGGATGCCACTATATTGGGGACCCTCTCTCCTGGCACTACATCAGAAGATTTTGTACTATTAGAACTGTGAATAATTTCTTTCCATTTCCATCCAAGTATGCCCTTGAACCCTTGAAAACATACTTTTGTAATGAAAAAGAAGCAAGAGAAATGAAAACACAAAAAGTCAAGTGAAAGATATCACTGGTGGTCCAATTAGGAGCTGATCAATGAGACTCTGCCTAATAAGTATATTTGATATATTTCCTTTTTGCAGGAACCGTCAATGCGACAGCTGCACCTACATGTTATCAGCCAGGATTTTAATTCAACACATTTGAAGAACAAAAAACATTGGAACTCCTTTAATACTGATTTCTTTCGAGACTCTGTCAATGTAGTGGAGGAAGTCAGCAGTGATGGAAAAGCAATACTAAAAGATGATGAAGACCTTCATGGAGTCGCGACGATGTCACCCGGGTGTAGAAGTGCTCACCCGAACATACCCCGATTAAAATGGCACATTACTAACTCCACGTAGAGGGCCGTGAGCAAGTGTATTCTCATAGCCCAAGGAACATTTGGCTAGTGGCTGCATATGACTTCCAATGCCTCCATAGTATTCTCATGCATGTTAGCTATTGGCTTTCCAAGATTACCATGTTGACTCAATGAATTGGCTAAATTAGCTGAACTCAAGAAAGAAAGAAAAAAGATGCGGAATTCCAATTTTGATGGCATAATTAATGAAATTGATGCTTCAACCTAAAATTTACGTTTAGCCAGGTGACATTTGAGGTACAACGAAAAATCAGACAAAAATCTTGAAAAATTATCATTAAAAAGATATTACTCATATATTTGATTTTCAAACAATCTCCATCCTACCAAATAAATAATTAAAGTATTTCTTAAGAGTTATTAATCATGCAAGTTTTGTCGTCTCTAATACCACTTGTTGGTTTATGTGGTGAAGGGAGTAGGACGATAGACAGGGGAGGCCCTGGCATAGTGCAAGTGGCACCATCACATAGGGTCCTCGATTTTTGAGGGCCAGCATATTTTTTTTATTTATATTGTATATATTAATATTATAAAACTATATACTCTAGCGTGCAACACATTGACACATAAGTGTATTTGGTCGAGCTGGTTTTTAGCACATATCCCTTGGTACAAGGCCTAGGTTCAAGTCTAGGTTTATCAGCAAAACTAAACTATTAACAATATATATCACATTCATATACTTTCTCCTTTTAAAAAAAAAATTGTAATTTCTTCCACTCAAAGAAAAACAAAACAAAACAAAACAAATTGAGCCTTCTTCTTTCTCTTGAACTCTTATTTTTTTTCACCGAACATAATAATATTTAACTTTATCACATGAAAACATTAAAAAAAATTATGAATTTGATTTATGATTGTTACTACATGCTAACTGATGATGAATTTTAATTATATAAAAAATTGATTTATGACATAAGTAGTCATGGTAATAATTTTTTTTTTTTTTTTTTTTTTTTTTTTTTTTTTTTTTTATATATAAATAATTATATAAATTTATATAAACCAATCCTAGACATGTATTTATAAAAAAACCCAAGCACTATTTAAACATAGAAACACAACCAAAATCAATCCTAAAATCAACAATTGTATATTTTTTGGGTGTGTTTATAAATGGGTTTTGAGTGTGTGTAATGATGGGTTTTGGGTGTGTTTATAAAGTGTTTTGGGTGTTGGGTTTTTTTATAATTTCAACCCCCATTTTGGGTGTTTTAGTGAAACTCCCTAGATTATATGAGGGCTCTAGTTTAAGTTTTGCATAGGACTTTTAAAATCTCAAGACTGGCCCTGACCATAGGACTAATAGTTGAAACAAAGTGATTTTATTAATTTAGCAGAATATAGTACATAGCTTTGTGTACAGAGAACTGGAGGCCTTTACGTGGCTATTGGCCACCACATTTGATTTAGATTAGTGAGTTTATTGGCTCCACAATGTAATTTGGTTTTGGATGGCTCTTAGCTCCCTAGCTTAGGTTGGGAGCCTCTTGTTAGCTCCTGTGAATTTAGTTTTGGGTATCCCTTTTCTTGCTCCCATATAGATTGAGAGTTTTCTTAGTTAACTCCACCTTGTATTAGTACATTCATGCCTAATTATATAGATGAGAACTTTCCGCCGTACTCCAATTGTCCCACCGACTTGGGACTTGAAAATAATTCCTAGCCATTAGCTTGTGTCTTACACTAGGAAGTTCTACAGACTTCTATTATCTTAGTGACTATTGTGTAGCCGACTTACTGTACAATTCTAGGCCCATTGTACTCTTAATTTTTCTAGAATTCTCTAGATGACAAATGAGCCTTAACTTCAACAAATACATTCATTTATTTACAGGCTTTCGATGTGGTTAAGTCGCATACATTTAAACTTCACAATAATCAGGCACAGGTATATGCCAAGGTGTTCATTGAAGGCATATGAAACTCATGACAACCTTATAACCATGGCATTCGATACATGATTATGGCATAATACTACAAAAGAAACAAAAAACTGAGGAAACAAAAGATAATTTTGCATTATACTACACACATGATTATGGCATAATTAAACTAAAATATGAAAGCAGAAGCATACTGCTAATTTCATCGATCTTTAAATAAAGAAAAAGAACACCAGCCTCAGCCCCTTCATGCATTGTTCCTCCTAATCAATTCAACGTCTCCACCACCTTTGATTTATGTGAACATGTCCTCGATGAATACCAATTCTTTCCTCTAGCTGAGGGAATATCTTGAGAAGGATGTTGTACATAGCTCTGTAATACCACTTACTCCATTTCTTGCACAACACAAGTGACCCAACGGCAACTCCAAAGCCAAATGTAAATCCAATTTCAACACTGATAAGATCCCAATTCACCTCACGATGATGTCCAAAATTTGGAGGCCTTCCATTCACTGTTGGTGGTGGTTGCAATCCTGCTTTATCATCCACCGTCAAAGGAGGTCCCCATAATCCTTTGTTACCTGTAAATGAGTCTTTTGGAAATGTTGAAAATTGAGTACCGGTTGGGATTCTGCCGACCAATTGATTATTTGAGAGATCCAAGACTTCGAGGAAAGTAAGCTTTACCAACTGTGGTGGAATTTGTCCGCTCAGCTTGTTATGTGACAGGTCCAAGGACTCAAGTACCCCCATGTTACCAAACGATGGTGGGATTTCGCCTGTGAACGCATTTCCGGACAAGTTAAGGACATATAGTGATTTGAATTCTCCTATTTCCTTAGGTATTGGTCCACTGAAATTGTTGCATGAGAAGTCAATCAAGGTGAAGATAGATAGAATCTTTAGCAGATCCATCTGTGAACCTTTGCTAGTAACTGTTATACCATCCTCAAAAGAATAATCAACATACGTTATTCGCGCACCATGGTCCAAGTGGACTTTGACTATTGATAGGGAACCATTGTTGGTAGTCATCATTACCTGCCATGCTGTCAAAAACATTGCCGGTATTTCACCAGTGAAATTGTTGTGAGCTAGATGTATGATTTGAAGCACTGGCCAGGTACCATAGGTGTTGGCAATGTTTTAAAAAGCGAGGCGTAGAGGCGATACGTTTTTAGTCTGCTATGCAATACGTAAGCCTTGAAGCATTGAGGCGTAAGCCTTTTAAACATTAATTTCTTTTAATAATAAAAAAATTATAAATAATACAATACAGATAAATTATACTACTAATTCTTATTGACCCAGAATATTCTATCAAAAATGTAAGTACTAAATACCATTCAAGCATAATAATCAATCTCAAAACATAAAATACTTATTCAATATCAAAAGAATAACTCAATTCATGCATCCCACTCCCCATAATGAAACATAAAATGCTATGATTTTCAGCATTTATGTGTGGACGTGAGTGTTATTTTTAGTGGGTTTTATGGATATTGTGTTGTTTGGAAAGAAAAAAAAACTAACATATATATATATATAAATCTTGTACAAAGAGAATTGCATACCGAAAGAGAGAGACGCTTCAACTTATGGAGAGAATTTAAATTGATGGAGATTATCACATTAGGAATATACATATAGGTCCATTAATGTATTTATTTAGAAGAAAAAAAGAGGGATGTTTTGTTTGGTTCAGTGGGGGCTTAAAAGGCATGATGTTTGTTTAAAAAATAAAAACCAAAACGTGCGTTTAAGCCTCAGTTAAAAAAAAACACTCAGCTAGATGAAACGACGTAGTTTGATTGAAACAAACCCTAACAAAAAAAATTCAAGTCAGGTCGTCTTTCTTCCTCTTGCCTGGGTTGCAGACAGCGGCGCTTCTTTGCGCCTCACCATGCCTCTCGATGCACGCCTCACCACGCCTCGACACGCTAAGCGTGCAACAAGCTAAACAGTCGTACGCCTAAGGCGATTTCCCTCCGCCTCGCTCCGACGCGCGCTCCGATGCGCGCTTAGGCATGCCTTTGAAAACACTGGGTGTTGGGGCATCCAATACCTCCATAAAAGTTGTTGGACTGCAACACAAGGACACGCAAGGTGGATATGTTTTTTAACAAGCATGGAAAGCTATCTGTTATACGATTGTATCCCAAGTTTAAAACCTGTAACCGTGTGCAGTTACCTAGAGATTTAGGGAATTGACCACCTAACTGATTTCCACCAAGTTCAAGAATTTCTAATGAACTATCTTCAGTAACTTGAAAATTAGAAATAGTTCCAGTGAGGTTGTTTCTTGCCAAATTAAGTACTCTGAGACTGCGCATTGCAGTCAAGCATGGGGGGATAATGCCACTCAGAAAATTATTGGACAGATCAAGAATTTGAATATCAGTTTCCACATTGCATATTGACACCGGGATGAGCCCATGCAAGTTATTGCTTGAAAGAGAGAAGGACAATGTGAAAGTGAGGAAATAACCAATGTCAGATGGTATAGAGTTGAAATGGTTGCTTGAGTAATCCAGATACACAGCAAATGGTATGAAAGTAGGGATTTGTCCCTGGAGTTGGTTTGAGTGAAGATCAAGCGTAAGCACTGTTGAATTATGTAAAGGAGCTTCTAGAGTTACCAAAGAGTTGCAAGAAAGATTTAAGTAATCAAGATGATTTAAACTCCAAATCCAATGGGGTATCTTGCCTTGAATCTGGTTTTCTGAAAGGTCCAAAGAAATTAATTTGGATTGATTTCTCAAAAAATCTGGAAATGTTCTCAAATTGGTAGAAGCCAAATCCAAAAACTCTATTTCAGGAAATGTGGAATAAGAGCCATCAGAAAACATGAGCAAGCCATTGTGTGAAAGATCAATGGCCGTAAGAGTTCTCAGTTGTTGTGGACCACTAAAAAGAAACCCAGTGAAATTGTTTGAAGAAAGAAAAAGGATTTGAAGCCGATGGAAATTAAAGATAGACGTGGGTATTGGTCCTTCCAAATTGTTGAAACTCAATTCAAGGGAATATAAGTTGGAAGAGGTGTTAGCAAATGCATGAAGTTTACCAGAGAATTGATTGCCGGAAAGTACTAGTCTTGTCAACAAGGGAAGATAAAAGAGAGACGATGGAATACTCCCCTCAAGTAGGTTGCCATCCATTTGGAGATCTACCAGATTAATAAGGTTTTCCCAGCGAATAGAATCAATCGAACCATTGAAGCAATTTGATCCCAATTGCAAACCAACCAATTGTGTTAGGTTTGCTATTGACTCTGGGATTGATCCATAGAAACTGCAAGATGAAAGATCTAGGAGTGACAGCTTTTTGAGGTTGCCAATAGAGTCAGGCAGTAACCCTGAAAATTTTGTGTCGCTTAGAACTAAGGACCGAAGAGATGCATTGCTTGGAAATTCTGGCAATGTGCCATGAAGTTCATCATTGGTCGAAAGGTAAAGAGTTTGTAGAGTAGGTACCTCAAGGATCTCATTGGGAAATGTTCCTTTCAACCCACAAGATCTGAGACTCAAGGAAGTCAACTCTGAAAAATTGGCAAAGAATCCTGGAACCGTAGCAGAGATGTTGTTAACATCCCATTCCAACTCCCTCAGGTTTGAAAAGTTGGCAAAGAATCCTGGAATTGGACCGGAGATATCATTAAAACCCAATCGAATCACAGAGAGAGACTGAAGCTGAGCGAAGGAGGACTGATCAATGGGACCTGAAATACCAGTGTCAGACAAGCTCAGCACCCTCAAGTTTGTCAGATTGGATATCGCTTGGGACCAGTGAGTCCCCTCTGCTGACAAATGTACATGGTCAAAATATAGCTCTGCAAGCTCTGTGAGGTTATGAAAGAGCATACTTAACTTCGGGGACGTAATGTTGGAGTCTTCTGACCCAGACATATCAAGGACAACCAACCTTGTCAAGCGTGAAATCTCAATGGGAATTTCCCCAAAGTAAGTATTATATGATAAATTTAGATACCTCAAGTTCACAAGTTTTCCGATTGCTGATGGAATCTCATGGTCAAAATAGTTTTCAGCCAAATTGAGGCTTTGAAGATGTTGAAGATCGAAGAGACTGCTCGAGTTGCCAATGCCACCGCTGATAGTTTCGTTGCTGAGGTCAAGACCAACGACATGCCCATCGCTACTGCAAGTAACACCAACCCAAGAACAACAATCGGTACTTGAATTCCAAGATGTAACCTTGGTTGGGTAAGATAAAGGGTCAGGATAAAATTGAAGGCTTTTCTTCAAATGGAGCAATGATAGTTGCTGGTCTTTAATACATCGGCTGTGAACCGCAGGGATGATGGCAAAACAGACTGTGGTGACTAAGAATAGGAGCAAGAAATATTGGAGCAAACGTTTCATTTTGGTTTAACTTTTTAATTCTAGAGACGCTAGCTAACAGGGAAAGTGATGAACAACTGATGAGAAATAAATGTTGTGGTGGCTTTAACATATGTATATGACACTAATCATGTTTGTGGTCGCCGTTGTTGGCTTGACTTTGAAGTCTTCTCCCGTCTGTAACCAGGAAAAGGAAACCATGGAATTTTGCTGTACAAATACCATGAGAGAGAGACAGCCACGTTGAAGACATTTGATGCATGATAAGTCATACTCCCATAAATGCATGCATGTTTTTCTCGATGAAGTTAAGTGTCCCATCCACTAACGTGCTGGGGTTTCCATAAATGCATGGTCGTGTTTTTCTCTGTTAAGTGTGGTTAGCCCACTTCCTCATAATACCTAAGTTGAAATCTCCTTCTCGTAAATTAGATTAATCTAGAGAGCCCACAATTCTTCTTTTATTATTATTATTTTTTTCTTACAAAAGAGAACCGTTACTAGCACACTACTTTGATTTTTTTTTCATTGCGGCTTGCTAAAATTATGTTACACTTGTGCAATATCAATTTGCATTTTATTCCGAGTTAAACCACCATTTGCATTTTATTCCAAGTTAAACCCGATTAAACTCGAATTTTTAAACATTTAACAACCAAAAGTACCGAACTCTATTACACGTTTACAATAGAGTGAATTATGAAAAATTTGTCACATATGATGATTGTGGAAATTGTGAGGTTGCTTTATGAATTGACTTGTTGACTTTATGGTTTCCTACTTGGAATTTTGGGTGAGTATTGACTTGGCTAAGTTCAATAGTCATAGCTCATGGCCCAGTGGAAGAAATGATTTCTGTGGCCTGTGCTATAGGTCTAGGGTTCCCATTATATCATATGCACATACGTTCATATTGATTTCTGGATTGGAGGAGGAATTCTCCATAATCTTGAATTTGACGTTTGGTCCGACCTCAGACATGAAGATGCTGAGGAAATTTCGAACCAAAGAGCTCCGTAATCTTGGAATCAAGTTCACATACATAAATGCTCCTTATATAACAACCTTGCATGTCGTTTAGCTACGTACCAAGCTAACCTACTTTCAGTCTTTTAAGTACTAATTTCAAAATGGTACCTTAAGGAGCATTTTTACAGAAGCTAACGGTAAAGACCATTTTGATGTGTGGAGGGTAACCTTAAAGACTATTGGTGTCACAAAAAAAACCTTGGACAAAATGTGATAATTTCACACACCTCAAGGACCATGTGTGATAAAAAGCCTAATGAATTTTCACACTAATCACATTTAATATATGTATTTTTTTACAAACTTTTGAATAATACCAGCAAACTTTATGTATTATACACGTATTATTAAGTAAAAATACTACACTTTAAAATTTTAAATAATTAATATTGATATACTCTATATTCCTTTTTTTTAAAATAAAAAATTTGTCAGATAATATGTATACACATTTTATTCGTATTTTTTGGGTCCCGTATTTTACTAATTGAAATATGGAAGTAATTTCACCTTTAGATTTATACTAAAATCCACGTCATTGAGAGACAGTGCTAACAATTTGGGCTGTGGAAGAAACTTTCCAAAATCCACGAGGTTGACTGCCTACGTTGCTTGTTCCAAATATGGGTTGGGCTTGAAAGGAAACAAGCTCAATGGGCTGAACTGTCAAAGCCGATGGGCACCTCTCTCTCCCAAGTGTCACATGCACATTTCCAACGCATTTCTCAAAAACCAACCACCGGTAATAGAAGCTTCCGGTAGAAGAAGAGACCGTTAGTTTCAAGCCGTTGATTCGAAGAGTGACAGAGTCTCACTGAACATGGACATGGATATTGACGAAACAGCCAAAGGTACGCCCTTTTTGGTTTTTCCAAAACTCTGCGTTTTACCTTTGGAGATCAAAGAACCTTCCTACGCTTTTTAACATTACCAGAATTCATGTGTTTAACAGGCGAAGAAAAACACGGAAAGCCAATCGTGGTAATATTGATGGGCGCACCTGGAAGCGGCAAGTCCACCTTCTGTGAAGAAGTCATGCGCTCCTCCACCCGTCCCTGGGTTCGCGTCTGTCAGGTCTTTCTTTATGTCTTCCGACTACAATGTGTTCGACGAAATGCCTCAGTGTGTTTCGAAAATTACTATTTTCAGGACTTGATGCGATAGGCATGATAGCTGTTCATTTGGGTTCTTCTTTCTGTGCGTTACATTTTGATTTCTTGTGTTTTGTAGGACACTATCAAAAGTGGTAAAGCTGGAACCAAAGCTCAGTGTATGGAGAGTGCAATTAATGCATTGAAGGATGGGAAGAGTGTGTTTATAGATAGATGCAATCTAGAGATAGAACAACGCAATGAGTTTGTTAAGCTTGGTGGTCCCCGGGTTGATGTTCATGCTGTGGTGCTTGATCTTCCTGCCAAACTTTGTATATCGCGGTCTGTGAAGCGAACGGGCCATGAAGGAAACTTGCAAGGTGGGAAAGCTGCTGCGGTTGTGAATAGAATGCTGCAAAAGAAAGAACTGCCTAAACTGAGTGAAGGGTTTGCTAGAATCACTTCTTGCCAGAATGAGAGTGATGTTCAATCTGCCATCGATGCATATAGTGGACTTGGTCCTTTGGATACACTTCCCAATGGTTATTTTGGCCAGAAGAATCCCGGTGCCAAAATTCAACTCGGCATAATGAAGTTCTTAAAGAAAACAGATGCTCCTGCTAGTTCTGAATCAATTTCGAAAAGTATTCTGGATTCTAATGCTTCTCAAATTACGGAAGAGAAGGATGCCTGTTTGAAAGGAACAGGTTCATTATCTGAGAATGCTGGTAGGGAGTTAAAGGAAGGTGAAGAGCCAGTTGTAGGCTCAGCTGGCGGCGATGTTTCTCTTAAGGATGCTCCTACTCTGGCATTTCCCTCTATATCAACAGCAGACTTTCAATTTGACCTTGAGAAGGCATCTGACATTATTGTTGAGAAAGTCGCAAAGTTTGTGAATAAGCTTGGAAATGCTAGACTTGTTTTAGTGGACTTGAGTCATAAATCAAAGATTTTGTCTTTGGTAAGGACTAAAGCTTCAGAGAAGAACATTGATTCCAACAAGTTCTTCACATTTGTAGGAGATATCACTCGGCTTCATTCAGAAGGGGGTTTACACTGCAACGTAATAGCTAATGCTGCTAATTGGTAAGCTTTTAGAAAAACTGAATGTAATTGCATGTAAATAGTTCAGAATACCAAAATAGTTATATATATATATATATGTATGTATATGTATATGTATATATATATAAAAACTGGAGGATATGCCAAAACCTGGGATTATATATTTGTTTGCATATTAAGTACATTGAACAAAAAATATTATGTTGCAGGCGACTCAAACCTGGAGGTGGAGGTGTCAATGCTGCAATCTTCAGTGCTGGAGGTCAAGCTTTGGAGGTTGCAACCAAAGAGCAGGCCAAATCTCTGCTTCCTGGGAATGCTGTGGTTGTGCCTCTCCCTTCAACTTCTCCACTGTTTTGTAGGGAAGGGGTAACCCATGTCATACATGTTGTTGGACCCAACATGAACCCACAGAGACCAAATTGTCTGAACAATGACTACATCAAAGGCTGCAAAGTTCTCCAGGAGGCTTACACTTCACTTTTTGAAGGTTTTTCATCAATTGTAAGCTCCCAATCGAAGTTACCCAAGGGAAGCATTGAAAACCTTCAGTCAAAGATGACAGAGTCACAAGATCACCCTGACGGTATCCCTAAAGATCATTTTACTAACAGTGATCAAAAGAATAAGAGAAAGGGTCTTCATAAATCTGAGAGGAGCAAAAGAAGTAAAGGATATCGGGATGAAACTGACGATGCCTCTGATTCTAATGCTGGTAAAGTAAACCTGAGCAACAAGTCTGATGGAAGCAGGACTAAATCCTGGGGTTCTTGGGCTCAGGCTCTCTACAACATTGCTATGCAGCCAGAGAAGCACAGGGATGCTGTACTAGAGATATCCGATGATGTTGTTGTACTGAATGATCTTTATCCAAAGGTAAATGTCACCTATTATATTCTTCACCATCCTCTTCTACTTTTTAGCTGATTAAAAAAACTTTGGAAATTTGCAGGCACAAAGGCATGTTCTGGTGGTGGCACGATATGAAGGTCTTGATTGCCTGGCAGATGTACGTAAAGAACACCTTCAGTTGTTAAGGACAATGCATGCTGTTGGTTTGAAGTGGGCTGAGAAGTTCTTGCATGATGATTCATCATTGGTCTTTCGGCTTGGATATCACTCGGTATGCATGATACTCTGCTTAGAGCTCGTTGTTATATTTGTTTTCTTTGACATTGTCTTGTGAAGACCCTTTCCCTCATCCTGGATAGTACAGAAACAATAAGCATCCGTATCAGATATGCAACTCTTTAGGTTTGGGTAGAAATTTCTTTATGGAAATCGTGAGTGACATGGTAGTGTGCTTTTAGTAATGTGTCTTCTCCTCTATCGTTTTGTCCCATCTCTTTATCTTGAACATACTTTTAATGTGGATTAGGAAGCAAGAGATATGTATAACACAAAAAAGTCCAAGTGATGGAGATAACTGGTGGTCCAATCAGGGAGCTGAAAAACGAGACTGCCTAATAAGTACTTTTGGATGTTTTCTCTTGCAGGAACCGTCAATGCGACAGCTGCACCTGCATGTTATTAGCCAGGATTTTGATTCAACACATTTGAAGAATAAGAAACACTGGAACTCCTTTAATACTTCTTTCTTTCGAGACTCTGTGGATGTAATGGAGGAAGTGAGTAGTAATGGAAAAGCAATACTAAAAGATGAGGACAGCATGTTGTCCATGGAGTTGCGATGTCACCGGTGTAGAAGTGCTCACCCCAACATACCCCGATTAAAATCACACGTTACAAACTGTCGAGCCTCTTTTCCAAGCACCCTGCTCCAAAAGGGTCGTCTAGTGCTCACGCCATGCAATGTCAGCATTGATGCGTAGGTGTGGCACCAGCCATTGTATCTCGTCCAAATTTTGTTGTATATAAACAACAGATGCTTTGTGAGTGGCGAAACTGGTATTGCAATGAGATGCTTGGTATGGTTTTTCAAGATTCTCAGTTCTCACAAATTTCTCTGCCCGTGGAGGGCCATGAGAAAGTGTATTTTCATAGCCCAAGGAACATTTGGCTAGCGGCTACATATGACTTCCAATGGCCCCATAGTATTCTCATGCATGCAGCATGTTAGTTTGGCTGTCGACTTGACTCAATGAATGAGCTAAATTAGCTGAACTCAAGAGAAAAAGATGCGGGAATTCCAATTTTGATGGCATGGTTAATGGAATTGATGCTTCAACCCTCAAATTTACGGTTTAGCACAACGAAAACTGCGTAGAAAAATCAGACAAAAAATCTTGAAAATTATAATTAAAAAGATATTACTCATATCTTTGATTATCAAACAAACAAATAAATAATTGAAGTATTTCGTAAGAACTATTAATCATGTGAGTTTTGTCGTCTCCGAAGTAATTTAGATGGAGAAATCATATAATTTAAAGCCTTCAAATATGGTTGGTAGAACATGTACCACGATTTGATAATCTATCAACATAGGATTCTCTTATCGTTTTATTTTTTTCATTCTTGTTCCTCATGGGATTTTATTTAATACACACACCTACACTAAGATTCCGAGTGTCGTCAACGCTAATTGTTTGTAACACAGAAAAACGAGGATATATATTTCCATACTCCTCTCTGTCCCTTCCTAACCTCCACCTGTGCATAATTAACAATGAACCCAGCGGCAATTATACAAAACAACAGTGACTGATTGCAGGACATTTGGGTCAATAGATTAGTTCTAAAAATGCTGACAGATGATGACAATGATATGACTATAGTTACTGTCATCAACAACGTTGTTTGAACACGTGGATTTGTCATCATAAACAAGTCAAAAAGACACCTTGCCTTGCGCAATTCATTTGGGATCCACATAAACTAAAATATCTGAAGATGCTCAAATTCAAAGGGGAATATACATAGAACCCAACAAAAATTCAAGTAGAACACAAACACCGTTCACCAAGGGAAAAATTTAAAAAAAAACAAGAAACATAAGAAACCCTCCACAAGAAAGAGCAACATTCTAATGTTTCAGAACAAATAACACTCCATTAATGAAGACCATGGCATGAAAGAGTTTACTGAGGGTTGGGTGGGCGGCTGTTGGCAGCAGAAACCCTAGACCCCCACTCAAGCAACTCTTTGCTGGTATCATCCTTGTGAACTATCACCTCAATGAAGCACAAGCTATCCTTCTTGTCCCCAGTTGCAGTCTCAATTGCTTCAATCAGCTCCTCTTCATAACGGACCTGTAAAAGTAGTAAATTCAATTACAAGGAGTGTTACGATCCAGGAAGCCCTTTGATTAAATCATTAATTAGTGAGGTTAAAGGAGATTAAGAAAACGAATTAACGAACTAATCACCTTGGTTGTCCAGCACTTGCCCTCTCCATTGTGGATGGCATCAACAAGTCCTGTGTAGTTCCAGTTCTTGATCACATTGTATGGTCCATCATGGATCTCTACTTCAATGGTGTATCCACCATTGTTTATCAGGAAGATGATGGTCCTCTGCCCATTTCGAATCATTGTCGACACATCTTGGGCAGTCACCTATTAGGCATTAAACAACAAAATGTAATAAATTTATGGAATCTCTGTGAGATTTTAGTGTCTGAAATAGGAGAAGCTCAAAGAAACTCTTCAACACTGAGAAAAGCAAATATGCCAATCTTTGCTTCACATTTCAAATACAATTTTCTACAACCACTCTCTATAAGATTCCTATTTGTAAACTACAGAGTTCTGGAGATTTACGTACTTATATGCTTGGCTTTGATCAAAATGAGAAAAGGAATAAAAAGTACCTGAAAGCTCCCATCACCGATGAAAGCGAGCACTCGCTTCTCAGGAACAGCCTGAGCATACCCAAGAGTTGCTCCAACTGACCAACCAATTGATCCATATTGCATTTGGAACTCGTACCTGCAATGCCAATTTCAAAATTCCAATTAAAAGCATGAACCAAAACATAGAAAGGAACAGGAAAGACCATATTCTATCCTTGGCTTACCCGCAACCAGCCGGCAATCTCAGTTTCTGGCAGTTAAACCATGAGTCCCCTGTCTCAGCAATCACAGCTGTTTCACTTGAAAGCATCTTTTGGACATGTTGAAACAGAACATTAACCCTCAAAGGTTCTCTGGGTGCACACTTTAGAGGGTGTCCATCAGGAACAAAGATCCTGCGGTAGTTCTCATGAGCAGTGTTGTTGTGGTTGAGCTTCTTTGCTAGTGCTCGGAGGAAATCCTTCATGAGAACACAACCAAATGAAGGGCCATTTGCTATTGTCACACGATCGGGCTGCACGATGATTGCCTTCTCTTTCTTGAGAAGGAGAGAGTACCCAACAGAGCTGTAGTCATTGAAAATTGGTCCAGCAAACAAGTATGCATCTGCAGACTCCACAATCTCAGCACAAAAGGCGGTGCTCACGGCGCCCCAATATGTCCCAATGAAATGAGGGTGGTGCTCTGGCACAAGCCCCTTTGCTGAAGGCATCACAGCCAGAGCATAACCACTGGCATCAGCTAGTTCAACAAAGGCATCACCAGCATGTGCAACTCGCAGTTTAGGCCCACCTACCATAACTGGTTTCACTGCCTTGTTCAAGAACTCTGCAGCTGCCTCAACTGCAGCCTCTAAGCCCCACTGATTGCTCAATCTGTACAACAAAACAAATAAATCAATCCCACACTTCAAAATTAAAAAGCACAACCTTTAATCAACACGTCATCAAATGGAATTTTAAAAAAGCCCAAAACTTTACCTGGGAGACAATGAAAATGGAACTGGTTCCCGGCTAAAAGTAGGATGGGGAATCCCAGCCAAGTTACAGCTTATGCTGATGTAAACAGGCTTGCTTTCTTTCAAAGCAGTTGAAATTGCCGTATCGATCGATTCATGTGCATCTTCCAGATTATTTACGACAGCCTAATAAAAACCCACATATCAAAAATCAGAACTTTGAAAAATAAGGGCAAATCAAACTCACTATGAATCTTTTAACCAAATCCATTAGAAACCCAATAACAATCAATGAAATTAAAGTTCAACAATAAAATAAAAAACCAAACTTTGATCTCATACTGACCTGATAGCAAGTGACGGTCTGAAAGCACCTAAGCTCTTGGCTAAAATCAGGCAACCCAATAGTGTGGTGAAGAATCCGGCTGGTTCCATAGTCATTAGAGTTGGGTCCTCCAACTATACAAATCAGAGGCAAGTTCTCACTGTAGGCTCCAGCGATCGCATTGAGAACACTGAGCCCCCCCACAGTGAAAGTAACAACACACGCGCCGACGCCACGAGAGCGAGCGTAGCCATCAGCGGCGTAGCCGGCGTTGAGCTCGTTGCAGCAGCCAATGTTGGTGAGCCCAGGCTCTGCGATGAGGTGGTCGAGGAGGGTCAAGTTAAAGTCACCGGGCACAGTGAAGACGTCAGTGACGCCGATTTGGACGAGTCGGCGAGCAAGGTGGCGACCCAGAGTGGCCTCGGACGAGTTGATCACTGTGGAGGGGACCGAATTCTGAATAGCCATAGCGGTGCCGTTTGGCAGGCTGCCCACTTCGTTGCTTGCCGGCTTGCAAACGTCAAGTGCTCCGATTTTGGTGTCCATGGATTGTCGAGTGACTTTGATCACACTCAAAACAAAAGAAAGATGGAGACTATAAAAATCAAAACTTTGTGATGAAAATGTCGTGTGGCGAGAAATGGGATTTTGGGTTTTTGGTTTTTAGATGTTTGGTGGTGAAAAGGGAGGTGGGTTTTTATAGGGCGGTCGGCAGAGAAAGGAAGATACCAGGGGCGGTTTTCATGAGAGGCTTTCCGTGAAGGCAGTGGGTGGCAGTGGATTCTTAATACAGGTGAATGAGTGACGCGCAAGTATTATAATAATTGTTTCTGATTTTTCTGAGTTTAGTTTAGAAAGCACTAGAAAAATCTGATTATTTTCCAATTAAAATTGCAACTTAGCTATGGAATTTAGTGACCCAATCAATGACAAGAACCCTATAATAGTGCAAACTTTTAATTTCGAATCTCTCTTCTTTTTTGGGTGAAAATAAAATAAAATTATGAGGTGAGAAGGCTACCCCATTTCAGAGCCAACGTATAAAAAGGTCTTTTTGATTTCTTTCCGAGGACTTAGAATTGTAAAACACGTTGCGTTTTTGGACAAAATATCACCATCTTGTTTTGCTTTATTCTGTTTTCTTTTGGACCTTGTTCATTTGGGTCGGAAAATATCTTGATTATGTGTGGCTTTAGTTTAGTGGCAAAGTCAAATGCATATTATAACTCCTCCGAATTCTAATATTGTGGACCTAACATACAGACCGTGGTCAATATGCAAAAGATGAACAAAGGTAAAACCGTAAAAGGTAACAGTAAAGCAGTAATTATATAAATGCGTTGCTGTTGTTGCGCGTGAAATGGGTTACAAGTATTGACGGTGGACGGATTTTCGTGGCCCTGAAGAAAAGCCAGTCAAGGCGTCAACGAATAATTAGCTGTAGTTTTATAAAATAAAATTTAAATCCCAATCTCAGCCACTCGCAATGAGTGACACGTGGCTTTCTGATGGGAAACTTGGCGCGTAACGGCTCCTCCAGAGTCAAATTACCAAACCGAGACAAGGTTGGTGTAACGAGACGACGACGTTATGGAATAATACTGCATCCGAGAAAAGGAGAAAATCCACGGGTTTTGGAAACAACAAGAGTTGCCGGTAATTGGAAATTTCCAAGTTTTGGAAGCGAGCGGTATGCATAATGCATGCACATTGCAGTGTCGAACACACGCTTAGTGGACTCTGATTCTCGTGATCCCATCATGTGACGTGACGCAATCACAGGAACAAATGTGAGGGGGCATTATACTTTTCCACTACGTTCACAGACCAGACTCTTCGGTAAGTCGGACTAGGCACGTCTCCATTGTCCGTCAGTCAAACCATAAATTAAGCAACATTTGAGGTTTTTACTCCCAAAAAAAAACTGCGTTCTGCTTTTTTTTCTTCTTTTTTTTGAAAAAAAACCTGTGGGCTCCAGTCTCGGTTTTCTTTGGATTCATGTGTTCTTCAAAGCTCGAACATCACACAAAACTTTAAAGGACACATGAACCCAGAGAAAACCCAATTCAATGTTTCAAAGCTTGACAAACTCGTCAAGCAAAACTGCACTCAGGAAACAAGTGGTTTATTGTTTCTGTGACTTGATTGCACGGAGGACAGCAAGCCAAGTGGTCTCCCTTTATTTGGTGTGACCGTCACATTATCATTTAGTGTTCTCAATTCATGTAATATAATACAAATTAATGATATAATTTATATATATTATGAACCTAGAATGTAGCATTAATACACGAGTTATAATGTCTTACTATCGGGGACGTTTGATTCAAGGTTGACAGCATAATGTGACGGTGTGCTGCCACACCGAATAATTAGTTGTTTGCTTGATCCAAATTTTGAAGAGTGAATATTCACCCAAACTACTAACATTTTTTGTAAATCAAATTAGGGGTGTGCTTCTGTCACAAGGGGGGGGTCAAACTTCTCAACCATTAATGAGGGAGTACCAAACAGTTATACGCTTTATCCACGATTACCTATATCGTTTTTTCATAAATTATATTATATAAAAGATGTAATTTACTTGTTATATATCTATTAAAATATTTTATTAGAATAGATTTAACGAGAATTGGATCGTAAGCTCTAATCGGACTGGATTGGAAAATTTATAATCCAATCTACATTATATCGAATACGAATCGGCTTAATTTATAAATTTCAAACCGATGAGATAGCACTCCGTTGATGCAGTTGAGGACCTATATGTGAGTTTACTGACAAGGGCTTGGGGGGCGGCTACTGGCTGCAGCAGCCCTAGACCCCCATTGAAGCAGCTCCTTGCTGGTATCATCCTTGTGAACAATCACCTCAATGAAGCACATGCATTCCTTCTTTTCCCCCTCTGCAACCTCAATTGCTTCCATCAATTCCTCTTCGCAATGAACCTTAGCTGTCCAGCATTTGCCTTCCCCATTGTGGATGGCATCAACCAGTCCTGTGTAGTTCCAATTCTTGATCACATTGTAGGGCCCATCATGGATCTCAACTTCAATTGTGTATCCTCCATTGTTCATCAGGAAGATGATGCTTCTCTGCCGATTTCTCAGCATTGTGGACACATCTTGTGCAGTCATCTATCAATCATATACCACATACAACAAGAAAGCCATAAACACATCAACGTGGGAAACAAAAGGAACTTCTGCTATATATAAAAATTGTGATTAAAAGTGTAGAGGTTCAAATCAAAATGACAGATTCTTCCAAATCACTTGATTTAGTATTGAAGAATTCATATATGTGACCAGTGATTATTGATATTGAACAAATGTTATAAGTGCACCTGGAAACTCCCATCACCAATGAAAGCAATCACTCGCTTTGTAGGTGCAGCCTGAGCATACCCAAGAGTTGCTCCAACTGACCAACCAATCGATCCATATTGCATTTGGGACTCATACCTGCAAACCCATCATCAAATTTCTCAATTAAAATCAAGAAACCATACCATAAAAACAAGCATCAAACTAAGACCAAACTCTCTCCACGGCTTAATTACCGGCATCCTGGCGGCAATTTCAGTTTTTGGCAGTTGAACCATGAATCTCCTGTCTCAGCTATCACAGCTGTTTGACTTGACAACGTTTTTTGGATGTGTTGGAACAGAACATTAACCCTCAAAGATTCTCTGGGACCACATTTCAGAGGCTGGCCATCAGGCACAAATATCCTTTGGTAGTTCTCATAAGCAGTCATGTTATATGTGTGCCTCTTTGCAAGAGCTTTTATAAAATCCTTCATAAGAACACAACCAAATGCAGGACCATTTCCGATTGTCACGCGATCCGGTTGCACGATGATCGCTTTCTCTTTCTTGAAAAGGGCAGTGTACCCAACAGAGATGGTGTCATTGAAAACTGGTCCGGCAAACAAGTATGCATCTGCAGACTCCACAATCTCAGAACAAAATGCGGTGCTCACAGAACCCCAGTACGTCCCAATGAAATGAGGGTGGTGCTCTAGCACAATTCCCTTTGCTGAAGGCATCACCGCCAAAGCATAACCACTAGCATCAGCTAGCTCAGCAAAGGCATCAACTCCTTGTGCAACTCGGAGTATAGGCCCACCTACCAGAACTGGTTTCACTGCCTTGTTCAATAAGTCTGCTGCTGCTTCAACTGCTGCCTCCAAGGCCATTTGATTACTGAATCTGCATGACATAGCAAACAAATAACTGAATCTTTTTACTCACAAGACACAAGCCTTATAACCACTTCAATCAGTTCAGAGGTAAATCAGAGAGACCATAGTTTACCTGGGAGACAATGATATTGGTATACGCTCAGGGCTAAAAGTAGGATGAGGAATTCCAGCCAAGTTACAACTTATGCTGATGTAAACAGGCTTGCTTTCTTTCAAGGCTGTTGAAATTGCTGTGTCGATCAATTCCTCTGCGCCTTCTAAATTATTTATCACAGCCTAATGATAAACCCCACATACCAAAATTAATAAACTTTGAAAGGCCAAAAAAAGAGAGAACATTTACTTACAAAATCCAACTCTAAAGTTAAAAATTATATTGGATTATTTATTTACCCTTCTAAATTATAACGAGTTACATGATGAGTAAAACTCTTGTATGCATGTGGCGCGTTATGTTAAATTATCGCACAGTAAGATAAATTTACTACAGGTGTGGTGAATGTATACAAATTTTCTTTCCGGCCATTCCTAAAGATAAACTTATCCATATTTGATATGTAAGCGAAAAACTAAAAGATATCAAGTTTAAATCTTTTCCGACCATTCCTATGAATAAACCTAAATCTTTTTCGTCTCCATTTTTATCTTTTAAAGTTTGTATGTGAGCACTTAATGTCCACATGTCGTTGTACATTTCCAAAGTTTACACTATTTACCTGATAGCAAGTGACGTTCTGAAAGCACCTAAGCTCTTGGCTAAAATCAGGTGACCCAATTGTATGGTGAAGAATCCTATTATCAGCCCCATAGTCACTGGAGTTGGGTCCTCCAACGATACAAATCACAGGCAAATCCTCACCGTAGGCTCCAGCTATCGCATTAAGCACACTAAGCCCGCCCACAGTGAAAGTAACTACGCACGCGCCAACGCCGCGTGAGCGAGCGTAGCCGTCAGCTGGCGTTGAGCTCGTTGCAGCAGCCGATGTTAGTGAGCCCAGGCTCGGCTATGAGATGGTCGAGGAGGGTTAAGTTAGAGTCACCGGCACAGAGAAAACGTCCGTGACACCGATTTGGAGGAGTCGCCTAGCCAGGTAGCTACCGAGAGTGGCATTGGACGAGTTGGAGGAGGGGACATAGTATTTCTGCATGGTGGAAGTGGAACCAACGTCGTGTTGGGGGTTCAGCACGACGTCGGTTCTTGTGGTCTTGTTATTACACACGTCAAGTGCTCCATTTTTGGTGTCCATGGCCACAGATAGTGACTTTGATCCCACTTAGAATTAGAAACACCCCAAATTCTGGATTTTGTGATGGCAATTGTCTGTGAGGAAAGTGGAGAGGTGTGTTTGTCTGTATATATAATAAAGTAGAATATACATAAAGTAGAATATACACCTTAGTATTCGTCCTTTCCCAGTTTATCAAGTTTACAATTAAGATTAAGTTAATGTTTCTGAAAAAGTATGGTACATTAATTTACCTAACCTACATATATTTAAGTAAACCAAAATGCAGGTACACCACTAGTCATAAAGTCTTTGTAAAATGGCCAACGAATGTTGGTTGAGTTGGTAAGGATCATTCACTTCGTTATCTAGGTTTAGGTTCGAATCTCGTTGCCAACAATCTCTATTAGACGTAATTTGTAAAAACCAAAAAATGAGCTAAGACCCCCTCTGTAAATCCTCAAAGAGGCTTTGGTATGCCCTTTCCTTCCCCTAAACTTTTCTCAATTGAAAATAAGTTTTTGTACATTTCTATATGTAGGTAATCATCTATTTTTCTGTCACGCTTAACTAACGTATGCGTTGGTCCATGCTTTCAACATTGCTCAATGGTAGCCATATTTTCTTATGAAGTGGCTCTCATTCATGTACCAATATTTAGTGGCTCGAAATTATGTTTATACATAGTACTAATAATATTTTTTTGCTTATAATCACTCCTTACATTGAGTTTGGTCCAGCTGCGTGGTGAAGTTTGGACTCTAATGCGAAATTATACAATCCAATTTGTAAAACTCTCCTCTACAAAAACCTACTTATAAGGAAAGAGTGCCTAATATCTCATATTCCATCCCAATATTAAGGATTTTTTCCAATACCATTAAATAATGGGTCCTAAAATTTATAAACTAACTTAATATACAGACAAAAAAAAATTCAAAATGCACATCTGCATTATGAAAAATATTGCTCAAGTTGATGTGGAGTAGGGAGAGAGAATAGTATTAACCACGAGGTGAATATCTTTTCGATTTTGGATGGCACTAAGATGAGCATTTTATGGTGCATAGAGAGAGAATCTGTAGAAGGAAGAAAATGAAAAGAATAATTAAAGCTATGACTTCATTTGTACGGCGGTAAATCAACCAGGCCTATGTTTCATTTGTACATATTTTTGTGGTCCCGAAGAGAGAGAAAATTGCTCGTCATTACACCAATGGCCACACATTTGTTAAGTTTGGGCAATATATATGTATGTGTGCCGTGTATTTAAGAGTGGCAATTTTAATACGACACGAATGGCAATTTTGGGATGACACAAAAGACTACTTTAAATCTTCACAAAATTATTCGAGTCAAATCGCATACCAAAAATTAAAAGTAAAAATTCAGATCAGATCAACCCAACAAAACACGATTAATAAACCTGTGAAACTTCACATCTTCAAAATAAACACGTTTCTAGTCTTCACATCCTAAACATATTTCTAGTCTTCACATCCTCACAATAAACACGTATTATTACTTACGTGTTTCACATTAGGATGTGCATAGTCCAACCTACATCATCTCGTCACATGCTTTGCAAATTTAGTTTAGGGCCATGATAGGCGTCCTTCATGCGTATTTTTACGTTTTCTTCAGCCGGAGGCCCAAAAAACCAAAACACAAAGAGTGGCACTCGTGAGTCATACGACAAAACAAAAGAGCAATAATGTGCTAGTGTTGAATTAAAAATAAATCCCTTATTATTGCAACAAGTGAGAACAATTATTCTTTAGATAGAAAACATGAAAATCAAATCATAAACTCCATTATCATTCATGTAATACATGTTCAGTGTCACGACTATAGACAAAATTCTGCATGATCATGACGAAACCCTAATTTGAAGAGGCCCATGCTGCAGTTGATTGGCCAATATATGAGCTTACTGATGACGGCTTGGTGGGCGGCTATTGGCGGCACCAACCCTAGACCCCCATTGAAGCAACTCTTTGCTGGTGTCATCCTTGTGAAAAAGTCAAAGTTTTATATGTTACATTAATTTACCTAACCTAACATAATGCAGGTACACCACTAATTATAAAATTTTAAATTGTACATTAATTTACCTAACCTAACATAGTGCAGGTACATATTCTTGTGGTCCTGAAGAGAAAGAAAATTGCTTGTCATTACACCAATGGCCACACGTTTGTTAAGTTTGGCCAATATTTATGTGTGCGGTGCATTAAGAGTGGCAATTTTGATACGACACGAAGGACTACTTCAAATCTTCATAAAGTTATTTGAGTCAAATCGCATACAAAAAATAAAAATTCAAATCGGGTCACCCAACAAAACACGATTAATAAACCTGTGAAACTTCACATCCTCTGTGGGATGCTCTGGACACAGGTGGGCAAGGTGGCGGCCTAAAGCCTCCAAATTGAGAAGGCCCCAATTTGTATAAACCTCTATATACACATAAGTATATGTGACTTGAAAAAATTGTACTATATTAATATATGTTAGACCTAAATATTGTAAAAAATAAGCCCAATTATTCACTCTAAAACTAAAAAAGGAAACTCCCTTATAGCTCAAGTGTTAAATCTTTTGAAAGAATTAGATGGATGTTTCCCAAATGCATGGATTGCTTACAGAATTTTGGTTAACTATATACCAGTCATGATTGCCTCTGTAAAAAGAAGCTTTTCAAAGTTGAAGTTGATCAAAGAATCCTCCATCCTCCACCATCAAATAATTCCATACATTCATAATCATAGCCGAAACACTCATATGAGAATACGAAGAGAGCTTGCACAACCTTGACGTTCTACTTGGAGAATTCGGTGTCTTCGTCAACCATCATGATTCTCAATAATCCTTCATAAACAAATTCTTTACTAGGGCTATGATGTAGCCTAGCTATGAATACTCAAATTCTTTAATATTATTAATTTTATTTATCTATACATGTTTGAGTGCTTGTTACCGTTCTTAATGCTTTCAATTAATTGGTCATTAATTGCATGCTTGGAAGAATTGGGTTGAGATCGAAAGGAGATTCCTAATAAAAAGTTTTTGTAACAAGTACCATAAATTACATAGCCGACTTGGAAGATTAGGTTATGGTTTGTGTAGTCTTTAATGTTTTCCACAAATCTTAATGGGTTTCTTAGCTATCTAAATCCATAACTAGGAATAGAGTGGGTTGACGGTACGGAACACAACTAATATAATTCGGAAGAGAGTGTTGGTGAGGTAAGGGAAAACGATTATCAAACATGTTAGGTGATTAGGATTAACAAGCTAGAAGGATTTAGGTGGGATTAGCTAGGTGAAATCGGTGTCCTAGTACTTTATCATCTTTGTTTTCATCGTTTACATTACTTACTTAATCTCAATTTATTTTACTTGCTTAATTAGATTTTAATCATCATAATTCTCTTATCGTTTAATTCAAATATAATTAGAAATAAATCACTCTAGTATTTAATAGATTAACTTGATCCCTGTTGAAATGATATTCTATTTACAACTATACTAATTTGAGTGATATTGTTTACTTGCAATTAATTACATCAACTACCTGGCAAGTGGCAATCCTAAGGTTTTGGAGGCTCAAGGCGAACTACCAAAATGTGGATTTCTACTCTCTATGTACAATATATTTATGCAATTTCAATAAGTTAAAAAAAATTATATGCACTCAAAGTCAGAATTGTAATCTAAAAATAAACAAACAAAATGTAATTCACATAACAACTTTATAGATTGCAACTCTTTGCTGGTATGCTGTACGACCAAGGTTCGTTGTGAAGACGACTTGATCGAAGCAATTGAGGTTGCAAATGGGGATAAGAAGGATTGCTTGTGCTTCATTGAGGTGATTGTTCACAAGGATGATACCATCATGGATCTCAACTTCAATTGTGTATTCTCCATTGTTTATCAGAAATATTATGCTCCTCTGCCCACTTCTCGTCATCGTTGACACATCTTGTGCAGTCACCTATAAAATTGTGATTCAAGTTCAGAGGTTCAAAACAAAAGAATGGTTCTCCCAAATCACTTAACTTGAATATATGTGACCAGTGACTATTGATATTGATCAAATGTTAACTGCTAGAGAGAAGGGAGAAAATTAAGGCACCTGGAAACTCCCATCACCAATGAAAGAAATCACTCGCTTTGTAGGTGCAGCCTGAGCATACCCAAGAGTTGCTCCAACTGACCAACCAATTGATCCATATTGCATTTGGAATTCATACCTGCAAACCCATTATCATATTGCTCAATTAAAATCATAAAAACAAGCATCAAATTAAGATCAAAATTTGTCCATGGCTTAATTACCTGCAACCTAGTGGCAATTTCAGTTTCTGGCAGTTAAACCATGAGTCCCCTGTCTCAGCAATCACAGCTGTTTGACTTGACAACATCTTTTGGATGTTTGGAACAGAACATTAATCCTCAAAGGCTCTGTAGGAGCACATCTCATAAGCAGTCTTGTTCCATTTAAGCCTCTTTGATAGAGCTTTCAGAAAATCCTTCATTACAACACAACCAAATGCAGGGCCATTTTCGATGGTCACACTATCCGGTTGCACTATGACCGCCTTCTCTTTCTTCAAAAGGGCTGAGTACCCAACAGAGCTGTAGTCATTGAAAACCGATCCGGCAAACAAATAGGCATCTGCAGACTCCACAATCTCATAACAAAAGGTGGTGCACTCAGAACCCTAGTATGTCCCAATGAAATGAGGGTGGTGCTCTGGCACAAGCCCCTTTGCTGAAGGCATCACAGCCAGAGCATAGCCACTAGCATCAGCTGCTTGTGCAACTCGGAGTTTAGGCCCACCCACCATAACTGTTTTCACTGCCTTGTCCAACAAGTCTGCTGCTGCTTCCACTGCTGCCTCTAAGGCCATTTGATTATTGAATCTGTGTGACATAGCAAGCCAATAATTGAATCTTTTTACTTACAAGTCACAAGCTTTATATAAAACAATCGGAGAGGCCAAAGTTTACCTGGGAGGCAATGAAATTGGAATAGGCTCAGGGCTAAAAGTAGGATGAGGAATTCCAGCCAAGTTACAACATATGCTTATGAAATTGCCGTGTCGATTAACTCACTGCCATCTTCTAGATTATTTATCACAGCCTGATAAATAAATACCAAAATATATTATTTAAAGAGTTTAGCCGCCCGGCTATACTATTTATAAATAATAATAAAAAGAAGCCGCCTAGCCCGCCTAGGCGGCCGATTTTTCGAAAACTTGAATGGCGTATTTTTTTTTGGATTTCCTTATTCCTGGCGGGTCTGGTATCTTTGCAAATACATCAAGCTAGGGTTTTACCGACTCTATTGAAGACATCAAATCAGGTTGAGAGGAAAAATGTAAGGGAGAATAAATTTTTTCAGCGACTGCAAAATGGTTTTTTATTTTTCATTGCTCATAACTTGGACTCCAGTTCTTCAGTTAACTGCATCTAGAATATTGGTTTTGATCATTATTTCATACCTTTCAATCATATTTCAATGCATTCAGATGCTGAAGAACTGTTCAACGAGCGTAAAGATCAATTTTCTCTGGTATGAGCAGTCGAGTCAGTGCAAAACTATGAGGGATAGCTGTGTAAGTTATGCATCTGCGGCAGCAAAGGTAGATGCTTGAAGATGTATTCTCCTTTGAGACATCCCGCAATTTAATTCTCGTCAAATTGACTGTAATGTTTAACTCAAGTAAATATGCATTTGATCAACCCTCATAGGGTTCCCTTGCTTGTCGATTGACATTGATTTCTTATTAGTTGCAGATCAGATCATGTATTGGGTTGTCTTTAATTTCTCTTAGAGATTCAATCCCACTCGAGCCTAAACTTATAATTAATGATCCCGATCAATCGTGTCCTGCTGATTCACATACTTTCTCCTACACAAAACGAACTAACACTAGGGCGACGACCTAGCTTAATAATGCGTGCCAGAGCATTTTAAATAAGTGCTTATAAAGCACACACGTGTTTTTGTCATGTCGTCCAGCCCCTACGACCATTTACATCACATATGTTTGGACTTGATGAGGCTGACTCGTTGGTTGTATTTATACTCTCTCTCATGTTGTAAGTATATTCCAGTGCTGTCACCATTCCTCAAAATCTTCCCCAGTATCATGTCTCTTTCTCATCTCGCACCACCTATATACAAATTTCATGTCAATCGACAAGCAGGGAACTCTCTATAAGAGGCGGTTGTGTGAAAGTCCAACGCAGATTTCAGCATCGTCACGCCCTGTAAGCACCAGTGTACCTTACAAAGTAAGATTTATGCCTCAATTCTACCCGGCTCATGACACGAGAACATGCGCACAACACGAAAGTAATATATTTACAACGGATGTAGTGTAATAGAAAGGATTAATTGATCAATACATTTCAAGCCTTCCTTACCTTTAGCTGTCCTCCTAGTGGCTATCATTGCATAACTCCACAGTCTATGCACAGTCAAGATGTTGTGCGAACCAACTAAAAAAAAGGTCCGACCAAGAGCCCCGGCTGATAACATAGATGAAAATGATGATCCTCTGTGGATCCCATCAGACACCCAAAAAATCAAGGGTACGTGCTCTCACGCGGTCGTGGAATCATGATGTCTGCGTACAGCTGAATGCATGTTAACATGTTATATTATCTCGAAAGGTACTTGAAATGGAAATGTACGGCATCCCCCATATATTGTACTCGCGTATGGCATTGTAATTTGTTGGTGTTTAATGTTAGGTGTAGTGGCGGCTCTCTGTGAAAGCAATAGCGCGACGCCAAGTCTGGAGCAAGGTGTAAAACTATAAAAACCCCTTTATGGGTGTGTGGGCGATGTGTACGCTCTTGTGAAATATTCACATAACACAGGGTATCCTCCTCCGCATTACACATGTCACTTAAGATCCCTCCATTGCCCACAATGCTAATTAGAACTGTCTCCACAAGTAGAGGGGGTGGTCGAAATACTCAAGTCTTTAGAACATCTCGCTGTTTCTGTGCACAATCTCCCACAGATGCCCGCCTAGCCAACGAGAGTGAAAATCCAAATTACCCCACGCCATCCAAAGGGTAGGCGGAAGCGGGGAAAAAATAGTGGGCGCGCCACGCAGGGTCGGTATGGGGCGCCTCCGTGTTATGACAACTATATTTTATAACAAGCAGGCAGATGCCTGTCACAGCGGCTACACACACGTAAATAATAAGACACAGAATATTACTGGATCCAATCGCTGGTAGCTAGGTGCGTTGCATCATATAATGTCTAGTCCGAGGGTCAGGGTGGGCGCAAGGAAAGCAGTGCTGCCACGGGGCACTCTGCACATCACAGCAGCAGGGATGTGACTGGGGCTGGGAATCTCTCGAGCCGACGTAGCCCGGGACCGATGCAAGGCAGTCACCACAGACACCACAGGTAACACACGATGGAGGAGCGCGCCACGCCGAGGGGGGAGAGAATCGGGACCTGGTGGACCGCGTGGCGCACTGGAAGATCCTAGGCATCCACTACGTCGGTCATCATAGTGTATCGACTCATTGTTTGCAGGACACATATTTATGGGTGACAAAATACAGGCTGAATAAGGAACCACGGTCTAGAACGAGAGAGCAGCACCGTGAGTCGGCCCGCAGGCACTACGAGGGGATGGGGTGAATAGCCTGGGCCCGGGCATAACCAGTGTGAATGACTGATGGCCATCGGCTCCACTAACACACGCGCGAACAAAGCCGCTCGCACAGCATTCGCTCTGGGTCGACGATCAGAGGGTGCTAATGTTCATCTCGCGGCGCGGTCGCACGCACACACGCGTGCAGGCAGGGAGCACCACTCCGATTTCAGGTATGTGACATACACTAACAAGAAATTCCCAACTGGTCTACCGGATGAGTCGGGCCCCACGCGGTGGTGTTACCGAGTGGGGGAGGGGGAAAAGAGTCAGCAGAACACCCCCCTACTAACGGCTTTGCGCGTCTCGAGCTGGTTGGGTATGTCATGTGACCAACGAGCCCGTGGGGTGATTGGGGGGTGGGCTTTGGGTTAATTGCGATTCATTGCGTGAAGTGCGCATCCATGGTACTGAAGAAGAGAAGAGCACAGAGGCAACCGAGAGATCTAGTGCGCGCTGACCCTAACGCAAAGGTCCCCGGACTATAGTAGGTTTGGGAAAGGAAGATGCGTGCAGCTATAAGATTAAACCCAGATCGACAGAGCATACTCAATACACACCAGATGAAGGATGCCTCCAGGACAGGAGCAATCACAGCCGTGAGGAATGGCTCGCGGAAAATAACGGAAACCAGAAATGCTGGGCATAGAGAAAACAGCCATGGCGGAACAGGTACTGTCGAAATTAGAGACCCCAGTCTCAGATAACGTGGAAATTCGGTGAATAGATATGTGTGAATGAACCCAGATCCTCGCTGTCGAGACGCGCGACTCGCGTGGTGGTGGCTTGTAGCATAGAGAGGGAAGGTTGTGGTCCATAGATGCCTAGAGATGTTAAAGTGAGGTAGCGACTGTAATGCCTAAACATCCATTGTGTGCGCTGAGTGTGGGTCGCGATTATATCCGTGTGAGAAAGACCATCGCTGGTGAGTCGATAGGCTCGTAGCTGACTTGACAAAGTCCGATGATGGTCAGTAAATCATGAGGGTAAGGGGAGGTGGTCCTGTGATAAATCTCCATATAATGAGCTCCCTGCTCACGCGACCACTCTCCACTGTGTGGCGGCGAAACTTCTTTAGGAAGATGTCAGCCGCTCAGGATTGAACACTGTGTGTGATAGGTGAACCCACTGGGTGTGGGGTGGCGAGACCAATAAGACGGTGGAATATCTAATTATATAGGGGGGATCACGGGCCGCTGCGCGCACAAAGGAGAGTGCACTTGATAGAAGGGGGCAAGACTGTGAGAATTGAAGATGGTGAGGGTGAAGGCAGGGTAAAATAAACATGCGCATCGCGCGAAAAAGAAAAATAAGGACAAGGAGGGTGTACATCTTCCTGGTTAAATCAACTGTCACGACAACATCTCGTATGTTATCCCCTAAGGTCTGCACCGTCGAATTCCAAGGCAGAGTGCACTATATGGGGTCATGTGCACATAACCGTCGGGGAGATCTCAGACGCGACGCAGATGATGTCAACTGTCGAGTGTTTATGCAAGTCGTGGTGGTTCTGTGTAATGAGTGAGATGATAAATTAGAACCGAGGTGATAATAGAATGTGGGGTGTACAAGGCGGAGAGAGGAAAATATAATCATAAGGGAGCGTGTGTGCTGTGTGTAGGAGCAAAACAACACTATTGGCGTACAGCAGCCCAGGTAAGAAAAAAAGGAGAGTGTGACTGGGCGCGAGTAATGTGTGTAATCGCGGCACGTGAAAGAAAATCAAAGTAGGAAATGTAGAGTTCTAAGCGAAAAAGAAGCAAGGAGAAAGAATATAGACGAAGACTTAGTCACGGTCGAAGTGAGAGGACAGGCATCAAATAAAAGAGTGAGGAGAGGAAAACACAATGTATACAGGTAGAATAATGGACTTCGACGAGTGCGAGAATCGGCAGCGAGAAAAAAGAGGAAAGAGGGAAAAGGTAGGCAATGCGAACCTTGGCAAGCATAACGAATCGCCGGCGGGGCTGGAAAGAGCCGAGGGATATTGTTCTGCGTAAGCACGGCTGGCAAATAATCGGTCGAACACCGAATGGTCGTAACTAAGTAACGCGCGCCGAGAGTGCTATAGTGCGCTATCGTGACCCTCACACTCGACGGGCAGAGGGAGAGAAAAGGAGGAGAAAACCCAGGTACCCATGGAGAGAACAGGCAAGAACACACGAGAATAGAAACGAAGCGGGCCAGTGCGAGCATGAGGCGCAAGGCTATAGGAGCTTGGACGACAAATAACGCGGTCGGAGAGAAAGGGACAGGCGTCTGCGCAACACCTGCGGTACGTAGCTGCGTGCATGACCACGGTAGGCAAGCACAACACCTCAACAAGTGAACGGCCGACAGAAAAGATCAAGATGACTACGTGCAAGAAGGTGAGGACGCTAGCGAGAAGATCATCCAGCCATAGGTTTGATTCATGGGCAGAAGTGAGGAGGCGCGCGTTGTGGCCTACAGACAGAGTTGGGATAGAGGAATCTGCCATGCGACCAAAGGGAAAACCCGGCAAGGTGAGGCACCGACTGCGGATCACAACACACACATGGGGGCGTGGATTCTCGGTGCGACGCCATAGGATAACAACGACAGTTGAGATCGACCGAGCGAGAGGATAGCGATGCCTGCAGTGAAGTGGGGGTGGAGGGAGCGCACCCTGCAAAAAAGACTCGGCATGCTCGTTCAAGCCACGTCAAATCCGAGAAGGTGAGCATCGGGACGTGCATGCAGACGGTAGAAACGTGTGCGACCACAACACGTGCTGTGATAGCAAGGCTCATAAGGGAGGGGGGGTACCATCCCACGAATGCGGAAAAAACAAGGGGCGAAGTGACTCACAAACGAGGCTGGATAGAGTGGGTGAAGTGTGGACGAAGGGGCGGAGGGGACAACGAGACTCTGCGGCAGGCTGAGAGGAGGCGGGCGACCAGAGAGGAGAGAGGACAAGGGGGCAAGGCACAGAGACGAAGCGATAGATAGAGGGTAACAAAAGGGGGGCCTTTTCAATTTGGAGGCTTTAGGCCGCCACCTTGCCCGCCTGTGTCCAGCATCCCACAGAGGATGTGAAGTTTCACAGGTTATTAATCGTGTTTGGGGTGACCCGATTTGAATTTTTTTTTTTTGCATGCGATTTGACCGAATAACTTATGAAGATTTGAAGTAGTCCTTTGTGTCGTATCAAAATTGCCACTCTTAATGCACCGTACACATAAATATTGGCCAAATTAACAAACGTGTGGCCATTGGTGAATGACAAGCAATTTCTTTCTCTTCAGGACCACAAGAATATGTACCGCACATGTTAGTTTAGGTAAATAATGTACAATTTAAAAATTTTATAATTAGTGGTGTACCTGCATTATGTTAGGTTAGGTAAATTAAATGTAACATATAAACTTTGACTTTTTCACAAGGAGGACCAGCAAAGAGTTGCTTCAATGGGGGTCTAGGGTTGGTGCCGCCAATAGCGCCCACCAAGCCGTCACCGTAAGCTCATATATTGGCCAATCACGCAGCATGGGCCTCTTCAAATTAGGGTTTCGTCATGATCATGCGAATTTGTCTATTCTGCACTGACATGGATTCCATGAAGGATAATGGAGTTTATGATTGATTGTCATGTTTTCTATCTAGAATAAGTGTTCTCACTTGTTGCAATAATAAGGGATTTATTTTTAATTCAACACTACACATTATTGCTCTTTTGTTTTGGTATGACTCAAGTGCCACTCTTTGGGTTTTGGTTTTTTTGGGCCTCCGCTGAAGAAAACGTAAAAATACGCATGAAGGACGCCTGTCATGGCCCTAAACTAAATTTGCAAAGCATGTGACGAGATGATGGAGGTTGGACTATGCCCATCCTAATGTAAACAACGTAAGTATAATACGTGTTTATTGTGAGGATGTGAAGACTAGAAATATGTTTTAGGATGTGAAGACTAGAAACGTGTTTATTTTGAAGATGTGAAGTTTCACAGGTTTATTAATTGTGTTTTGTTGGGTTTGATCTGATCTGAATTTTTACTTTTAATTTTTGGTATGCGATTTGACTCGAATAATTTTGTGAAGATTTAAGTAGTCTTTTGTGTCGTCCCAAAATTGCCATTCGTGTCGTATTAAAATTGCCACTCTTAAATACACGGCACACATACATATATATTGCCCAAACTTAACAAATGTGTGGCCATTGGTGTAATGACGAGCATTTTTCTCTCTCTCTTCGGGACCACAAAAATATGTACAAATGAAACATAGGCCTGGTTGATTTACCGCCGTACAAATGAAGTCATAGCTTTAATTATTCTTTTCATTTTCTTCCTTCTACAGATTCTCTCTCTATACACCATAAAATGCTCATCTTAGTGCCATCCAAAATCGAAAAGATATTCACCTCGTGGTTAATACTATTCTCTCTCCCTACTCCACATCAACTTGAGCAATATTTTTCATAATGCAGATGTGCATTTTGAATTTTTTTTTTTTTTGTTTATGTAAGTTAGTTTATAAATTTTAGGACCCATTATTTAAATGGTATTGGAAAAAATCCTTAATATTGGGATGGAATATGAGATATTAGGCACTCTTTCCTTATAAGTAGGTTTTGTAGAGGAGAGTTTTACAAATTGGATTGTATAATTTCGCATTAGAGTCCAAACTTCACCACGCAGCTGACCAAACTCAATGTAAGGAGTGATTATAAGCAAAAAATATTATTAGTACTATGTATAAACATAATTTCGAGCCACACTAAATATTGGTACATGAATGAGCCCCTTCATAAGAAAAATATGGCTACCATTGAGCAATGTTGAAAGCATGGACCAACGCATACGTTAGTTAAGCGTGACAGAAAAATAGATGATTACCTACATATAGAAATGTACAAAAACTATATTTCAATTGAGAAAAGTTTAGGGGAAGGAAAGGGCATACCAAAGCCTCTTTTGAGGATTTACAGAGGGGTCTTAGCCATTTTTGGTTTTTACAAATATCGCTAATAGAGATTGTTTGGCAACGACATTCGAACCTAAACGTAATAACGAAGTAATGATCCTTACCACCCACCAACATCGTTGCCATTTACAAGACTTTATGCTATAGTGTACCTGCATTTTGGGTGTGCTTAAATTTATGTAGTGAGGGAAATTAATGTACCATACGTTTTCAGAACAGTACTTAATCTCTAATTGTACACTTGATACTGGAAAGACGTAGACTAAGGTGTATAGTCTACTTTATGTAGATTCGACGTTTATATATAACAGCCAAACACCCGCTCCACGTTCCTCAACAGACATTGCCCATCACAAACGAATTTTAGGGGTGTGTTCTAATCTAAGTGGATCAAGTCACGATCTGTGGCCATGGACACCAAAAATGGAGACACGTGGACGTGTTGTAAGAACCAAGACCACAAGAACCGAAGTCGTGCTGAACCCACAACACGACTTTGTTCCAATTCCACCATGCAGAAAGACTATTGTCCCTCCTCAACTCGTCCAAATGCCACTATCGGGGGGAGCTACCTGGCTAGGCGACTCCTCCAATCGGTGTCACGGAGTTTTATCTGCTGAAGGGTGACCGGCTAACTTAACCCGACTCGGACCATTCATAGCCGACCTGGGTCACTAACAGGGCTGCCGCCTCCCACTCCCCTGCTGGCCGGCACCACCGAGCAAAAAACGGTACGGGGCGGCTCAAACGCGGCACGTTGGAGCCGTTGACGTAGTTACTTTCACTGGGGCGCGGGTAGTGTGCGTACTGCGAATAGCTGGAGCCCTACGTGAGGATTTTGCCTGTGATTTGTATCGTTGGAGGGAACCCAACTCCAGTGGACTGGGACTGGTTTAATAGGATTTTCACATACAATGGGGTTGGTGTCTACTGATTTAGCACAAGAGCTTAAGGTGCTTTCAGAACGTCACTTGCTCTCAGGTAAAATAGTGTAAACTTTGGAAATGTTACAAAGAACGTCGTGGAACATTATGTGCTCACATACAAACTGTTTTCATTACAAACGATATAAAAAAAGACGAAAAAAAGATTTAGGTTTATTCATAGGAAGGGTCGGGAAAAATTTTACTTGATATCCTTTTTTTTTCGCTTACATTCAACATGGATACGTTTCTCCTTTAGGAATGGCCAAGACAATTGTAATACATTCCCACACCTAGTTAATATTTAACTTAAGTGCGTAATTGAACATAACGCGCCAACCAGAAACAAGAGAGAAGGTGTGTTACTCACATGGTAACTGTTTATAATTTAGAAAGGGGTAATAATATAATCCAACAATATTTTTTAACTTTAGAGTTGGATTTGTAATAAAATGATCTCTCTTTTTTGTGGCCTTCAAAGTTTTAATTTTGGTATGTGGGGTTTATCATTAGGCGGTGATAAATAATTTAGAAGGCGCAGAGGAATGTGATCGACACAGCCAATTCAACAGCCTTGAAAGAAACGCAAGCTGTTTACATCAGCATAAGTTTGTAACTTGGCTTGGAAATTCCTCATTCCTACTTTTAGCCCTGAGCGTATACCAATATCAGGTCTTCCCAGGTAAAACTATGGTCTCTCTGATTACTCTGAATGATTGAAGTGGTGGTTATAAGGGCTGGTGTCGGGTGAGTAAAAGATTCAGTTATTGTGTGTGCGATTCATGCAGAGTCAGTATCAAATTGCCTTGGAGGCACAGTTGAGCAGCAGAACTTTATTGACAAGGCAGGAAACCAGTTAGGTAGGTGCGGGTCCTATACCCGAGTTGCACAAGGAGTTGATGCCCTTCTGCTGAGATAGCTGCTGTAGGGGTTAGGCTTGGCGTGTGCCCTTCAGCAAAGGGAATGGGCATAGGCACCACCCTCATTCATTGGGACGTACTGGGTTCAGTGACACCGCATTTGTTTGAGGATTTGTGGAGTTGCAGATGAATACTGTTTCCGGACGTGTTCAATGACACCATCTCTGTGGGTACACTGCCCCTTTTCTAAGAAAGAGAAAGCGCTCACGTGCACACCCGGATCGCGTGTGTGTCGACAACTGTAAGTAAGAAAAAAATGAGAAATGAAGATGAAAAAAATGAAAAATGAACAATGGTCCTGTATTTGGGTGGTGTTATTATGAAGGATTTATAAAGCTCTTGCCAAAGAGGCAACATATAACATGAGCTTATCGTGAGAACTACAAAAAGGATATTGGTGCCTGATGGCCAGCCTCATGAAATGTGGTCCCAGAGATATCTGTGAGGGGGTATTAAGTGTTATGTCAACAAATCCAAAAAACGTCTTCATTGTCAAAAGTGTGTGGTCAAAAGCAGCGTTGGTGATAGGAGAGACCAGGAGAGATTCATGGTTCAATGCCAAAAACGAAATTGCCGCAGGATCAGCCGGATATTTAAGCCGTTGGGAGGAGAGGTGGAGTTTGAGTCTTAGTTTAGATCTTGTTTTTATGGTATGGTTTCTGATTTGAATTTGAGAAAAAAAATTGATGCTGGGTTTGCAGGTATGAGTCCCAAATGCAATATATGGATCGATTGGTTGGTCAGTTGGGAGCAAACTCTTGGGTGGCTCACCGGCACGGCACACAAGACCAAAGCCGAGTGATTTTTCATGGGGATGGGCAGTTCCAGGTTGCACTCTATAACATTGTTCATATCAAAATCACTGGTCACATAGATGAATTCTTCAATACTAAACAAGTGTTTGGAAGAATCGTCATTTGATTTGAACCTCTCTACACTTTTCATCACAATATTTTTTATATAGCGCAGAAGTTTCTTTTGTTTCCCCGTTGAGAGTTATGTCTTTTTGTGTTGTGGTAATGATGATAGATGATGACAAGATGTCGCCACAATTGAGGAAATCGGCAGAGAATTTTTTTTTTTTTTTTTTTTTTTTTTTTTTTTTTTTTTTTTTTTTTTTTTTTTTTTTTTTTTTTTTTTTTTTTTTTTTTTTTTTTTTTTTTTTTTTTTTTTTTTTTTTTTTTTTTTTTTTTTTTTTTTTTTTTTTTTTTTTTTTTTTTTTTTTTTTTTTTTTTTTTTTTTTTTTTTTTTTTTTTTTTTTTTTTTTTTTTTTTTTTTTTTTTTTTTTTTTTTTTTTTTTTTTTTTTTTTTTTTTTTTTTTTTTTTTTTTTTTTTTTTTTTTTTTTTTTTTTTTTTTTTTTTTTTTTTTTTTTTTTTTTTTTTTTTTTTTTTTTTTTTTTTTTTTTTTTTTTTTTTTTTTTTTTTTTTTTTTTTTTTTTTTTTTTTTTTTTTTTTTTTTTTTTTCCAATTCCTCCAATTGTCTGTGAGGAAAGTGGAGAGGTGTGTTTGTCTGTATATATAATAAAGTAGAATATACATAAAGTAGAATATACAAAAAGTTTTCGTTTGCAGCAGGATATTGTGTGACTTAGAACGTGGATGCTCTGCCTAATTTGAGGTGAACTTTTAAATTTGCAACACCTTAACTTAAAAAAAGAGGTCAAAGTAATTTAAATCTTCTTTATAGTGAGAAACAACATTACACTTGGATGATACAGCCTACCAAAGTAAATTAGGGCTAAGGGCTCTGCTTCCCTACAAAGTCTGCTGATCACAAAAAGTTTAGGGAAGGCAATATGCTTCCATAGGAATAAAAAGTCTAGGATCTCTTCTTTGCGTTGATGAGGTAGAAAATAGGAGCCTTGTCAGAAAAGATTCTTCGACCATCACTGGAGGGAGATTCGTACTTCCATGCAGGACCTAGAAGCCATGATGTGGCAACTCCACCGAGCAAGCCTCCAAACTGAGATTCAAATGTCACGCTCAAAACAAAGATGAGGATAACACAAACAAGAAGGAATTTTAGTGCAGACATGGAAGGAACCATATGCAAGCTCGTGTGTTTCAATTCGTCTAACAGATCCAGATAGGTTGCCTCAAATGATTATTTCACCAATACAACGCTATCCATAGAGACTCTTCACATTTGTCTGTATATATAATAAAGTAGAATATACATAAAGTAGAATATACACCTTAGTATTCGTCCTTTCCCAGTTTATCAAGTTTACAATTAAGATTAAGTTAATGTTTCTGAAAAAGTATGGTACATTAATTTACCTAACCTACATATATTTAAGTAAACCAAAATGCAGATACACCACTAGTCATAAAGTCTTTGTAAAATGGCCAATGAATGTTGGTTGAGTTGGTAAGGATCATTCACTTCGTTATCTAGGTTTAGGTTCGAATCTCGTTGCCAACAATCTCTATTAGACGTAATTTGTAAAAACCAAAAAATGAGCTAAGACCCCCTCTGTAAATCCTCAAAGAGGCTTTGGTATGCCCTCTCCTTCCCCTAAACTTTTCTCAATTGAAAATAAGTTTTTGTACATTTCTATATGTATGTAATCATCTATTTTTCTGTCACGCTTAACTAACGTATGCGTTGGTCCATGCTTTCAACATTGCTCAATGGTAGCCATATTTTTCTTATGAAGTGGCTCTCATTCATGTACCAATATTTAGTGGCTCGAAATTATGTTTATACATAGTACTAATAATATTTTTTTGCTTATAATCACTCCTTACATTGAGTTTGGTCCAGCTGCGTGGTGAAGTTTGGACTCTAATGCGAAATTATACAATCCAATTTGTAAAACTCTCCTCTACAAAAACCTACTTATAAGGAAAGAGTGCCTAATATCTCATATTCCATCCCAATATTAAGGATTTTTTCCAATACCATTTAAATAATGGGTCCTAAAATTTATAAACTAACTTAATATACAGACAAAAAAAAAAATTCAAAATGCACATCTGCATTATGAAAAATATTGCTCAAGTTGATGTGGAGTAGGGAGAGAGAATAGTATTAACCACGAGGTGAATATCTTTTCGATTTTGGATGGCACTAAGATGAGCATTTTATGGTGTATAGAGAGAGAATCTGTAGAAGGAAGAAAATGAAAAGAATAATGAAAGCTATGACTTCATTTGTACTGCGGTAAATCAACCAGGCCTATGTTTCATTTGTACATATTTTTGTGGTCCCGAAGAGAGAGAAAATTGCTCGTCATTACACCAATGGCCACACATTTGTTAAGTTTGGCCAATATATATGTATGTGTGCCGTGTAATTAAGAGTGGCAATTTTAATACGACACGAATGGCAATTTTGGGACGACAATAAAGACTACTTTAAATCTTCACAAAATTATTCGATTCAAATTGCATACAAAAAATTAAAAGTAAAAATTCAGATCAGATCAACCCAACAAAACACAATTAATAAACCTGTGAAACTTCACATCTTCAAAATAAACACGTTTCTAGTCTTCACATCCTAATAAACATATTTCTAGTCTTCACATCCTCACAATAAACACGTATTATTACTTACGTGTTTCACATTAGGATGTGCATAGTCCAACCTACATCATCTCGTCACATGCTTTGCAAATTTAGTTTAGGGCCATGACAGGCGTCCTTCATGCGTATTTTTACGTTTTCTTCAGCCGGAGGCCCAAAAAAACCAAAACACAAAGAGTGGCACTCGTGAGTCATACGACAAAACAAAAGAGCAATAATGTGCTAGTGTTGAATTAAAAATAAATCCCTTATTATTGCAACAAGTGAGAACAATTATTCTTTAGATAGAAAACATGAAAATCAAATCATAAACTCCATTATCATTCATGTAATACATGTTCAGTGTCACGACTATAGACAAAATTCTGCATGATCATGACGAAACCCTAATTTGAAGAGGCCCATGCTGCAGTTGATTGGCCAATATATGAGCTTACTGATGACGGCTTGGTGGGCGGCTATTGGCGGCACCAACCCTAGACCCCCATTGAAGCAACTCTTTGCTGGTGTCATCCTTGTGAAAAAGTCAAAGTTTTATATGTTACATTAATTTACCTAACCTAACATAATGCAGGTACACCACTAATTATAAAATTTTAAATTGTACATTAATTTACCTAACCTAACATAGTGCAGGTACATATTCTTGTGGTCCTGAAGAGAAAGAAAATTGCTTGTCATTACACCAATGGCCACACGTTTGTTAAGTTTGGCCAATATTTATGTGTGCGGTGCATTAAGAGTGGCAATTTTGATACGACACGAAGGACTACTTCAAATCTTCATAAAGTTATTTGAGTCAAATCGCATACAAAAAATAAAAATTCAAATCGGGTCACCCAACAAAACACGATTAATAAACCTGTGAAACTTCACATCCTCTGTGGGATGCTCTGGACACAGGTGGGCAAGGTGGCGGCCTAAAGCCTCCAAATTGAGAAGGCCCCAATTTGTATAAACCTCTATATACACATAAGTATATGTGACTTGAAAAAATTGTACTATATTAATATATGTTAGACCTAAATATTGTAAAAAATAAGCCCAATTATTCACTCTAAAACTAAAAAAGGAAACTCCCTTATAGCTCAAGTGTTAAATCTTTTGAAAGAATTAGATGGATGTTTCCCAAATGCATGGATTGCTTACAGAATTTTGGTTAACTATATACCAGTCATGATTGCCTCTGTAAAAAGAAGCTTTTCAAAGTTGAAGTTGATCAAAGAATCCTCCATCCTCCACCATCAAATTCCATACATTCATAATCATAGCCGAAACACTCATATGAGAATACGAAGAGAGCTTGCACAACCTTGGCGTTCTACTTGGAGAATTCGGTGTCTTCGTCAACCATCATGATTCTCAATAAATCCTTCATAAACAAATTTCTTTTACTAGGGCTATGATGTAGCCTAGCTATGAATACTCAAATTCTTTAATATTATTAATTTTATTTATCTATACATGTTGAGTGCTTGTTACCGTTCTTAATGCTTTCAATTAATTGGTCATTAATTGCATGCTTGGAAGAATTGGGTTGAGATCGAAAGGAGATTCCTAATAAAAAGTTTTTGTAACAAGTACCATAAATTACATAGCCGACTTGGAAGATTAGGTTATGGTTTGTGTAGTCTTTAATGTTTTCCACAAATCTTAATGGGTTCTTAGCTATCTAAATCCATAACTAGGAATAGAGTGGGTTGACGGTACGGAACACAACTAATATAATTCGGATGAGAGTGTTGGTGAGGTAAGGGAAAACGATTATCAACATGTTAGGTGATTAGGATTAACAAGCTAGAAGGATTTAGGTGGGATTAGCTAGGTGAAATCGGTGTCCTAGTACTTTATCATCTTTGTTTTCATCGTTTACATTACTTACTTAATCTCAATTTATTTTACTTGCTTAATTAGATTTTAATCATCACAATTCTCTTATCGTTTAATTCAAATATAATTAGAAATAAATCACTCTAGTATTTAATAGATTAACTTGATCCCTGTTAAAATGATATTCTATTTAATTACTACTATACTAATTTGAGTGATATTGTTTACTTGCAATTAATTACATCAACTACCTGGCAAGTGGCTATCCTAAGGTTTTAGAGGCTCAAGGCGAACTACCAAAATGTGGATTTCTACTCTCTATGTATACAATATATTTATGCAATTTCAATAAGTTAAAAAAAATTATATGCACTCAAAGTCAGAATTGTAATCTAAAAATAAACAAACAAAATGTAATTCACATAACAACTTTATAGATTGCATCAAAACGTCATTCGTCTTGCATTTTTCGTCTTACATAGCAAGCAACTCTTGGGTATAATCAGGCTGCACATACTAAGCGAGTGATTTCTTTCATTGGTGATGGGAGTTTCCAGGTGCCTTAATTTGCTCCCTTCTCTCTAGCCCTTAACATTTGATCAATATCAATAATCACTGGTCAAATATATTCAAGTTAAGTGATTTGGGAGAACTGTTTTGTTTTGAACCTCTGAACTGTTAAAGTTTTATACTCTCAGTGTATTATCTTACTGAAGAAGAAAGGAAAAACGAAAGATCAATAGCTCAGCAATTTCAGAAAATGGTTTCTTCTATATTTTTACTGTGTTCTACAAGTAGTAGAGAATGTATGCGTATATCTCTTACAAAACTCTCTCAACGTAAAGACAATCTCAGCCTCTCATCTCACTAAAATAATGGATCACTCTCCACAGGTCACTTGGACAAGTTACAATAAAAGCCCATACACTTGGTTTAATTACCAAAGTGGATACACACATAATTACAAGGCATTTCTTAAGCTAAGCTTTAATTAGCTCATAGCTTATACACTAACATGAACTTGAATCACAATTTTATAGGTGACTGCACAAGATGTGTTAACGATGATGAGAAGTGGGCAGGGCAGAGGAGCATAATATTTCTGATAAACAATGGAGGATACACAATTGAAGTTGAGATCCATGATGGGCCCTACAATGTGATCAAGAATTGGGACTACAGTGGACTGATTGACGCCGTCCATAATGGGGAAGGCAAATGCTGGACAACCAAGGTTCGTTGTGAAGACGACTTGATCGAAGCAATTGAGGTTGCAAATGGGGATAAGAAGGATTGCTTGTGCTTCATTGAGGTGATTGTTCACAAGGATGATACCAGCAAAGAGTTGCTTCAATGGGGGTCTAGGGTTGCTGCGGCAATAATAATGGATTTATTTTCATGTTTTCTATTGGCAGCAGCAACCCTAGACCCCCATTGAAGCAACTCTTTGCTGGTATGCTGTACGACCAAGGTTCGTTGTGAAGACGACTTGTTTTTTTTTTTTTTTTTTTTTTTTTTTTTTTTTTTTTTTTTTTTTTTTTTTTTTTTTTTTTTTTTTTTTTTTTTTTTTTTTTTTTTTTTTTTTTTTTTTTTTTTTTTTTTTTTTTTTTTTTTTTTTTTTTTTTTTTTTTTTTTTTTTTTTTTTTTTTTTTTTTTTTTTTTTTTTTTTTTTTTTTTTTTTTTTTTTTTTTTTTTTTTTTTTTTTTTTTTTTTTTTTTTTTTTTTTTTTTTTTTTTTTTTTTTTTTTTTTTTTTTTTTTTTTTTTTTTTTTTTTTTTTTTTTTTTTTTTTTTTTTTTTTTTTTTTTTTTTTTTTTTTTTTTTTTTTTTTTTTTTTTTTTTTTTTTTTTTTTTTTTTTTTTTTTTTTTTTTTTTTTTTTTTTCCCCAATGCAAGGCAAAGTAAAAATTGATACACAATTTGTATAGGTTAGTATCATATACTTGTGAAGGGGCGATGACTACATCTTTGTATGAAAAAAAAAAATTCATGGTCAATCATTGAGTGGCCTCATCCCTTTTTGGGTGCCTTTTGTTTTTAATCCTGATGTGAAGAATTAAAAAGCCAAATGGTTCCTCAAAGAGGCCTTGGTATGCCCTGACCTTGGGATGGGGTAGCCTCCCCTTCTCCTAAACACATGCTAGAGCTTTCACTTCATATACTGCAAGGTGATTCTTGTTTATGGCAAGGAGGTGCAGCTCATTCTGGTGAATTTGGATGTAAGTATCTGACAATGATCTCAACTCCTTCCCATCTGGAATCTGCAACAATTTGCTTCTCTGTTTTTCCCACACAAAAATCTGCAGGGCCAAAACGACGTCGTTAAATAACAGAAGTCACATTAGAGTAGAAGCCATGTCTGAAAGTAATATTGTAGTTTCCAATATGCATCAGCACCAGAAGAAACTAGTACATTCAGAGTGTTCGAGAAGGCAAGGCTAGTGACTCTTTTGGAGTGACCCTCAAGCTTCCTTGTAACCTGCAAAATATTTAAATCAAGGCAATGACAAACTTTTCGGGTTTGCTTCATCACAACATCGAGCATGATTTGTTTTATTACAAGAACAAACAAATTTCCTTGTCTGAGTGGAGATTGTATATTACAATGGTGGAATTGTCCATGCCAATAGCAACTATACCATCATCTCGGGAGTGAAAAGCAAGACATGTTGCCGCAGGTGGCGGTGGCCTGACTTTCTTCATCGTATGCGTTTTTACGCAACAGATTTTTATGAGTACAATGAGTTAGAGCATGAGAAATTTGCAAACAGAACCTAAGCATATTGACAAACAAGATTTGGGAAGTTTTGGCTGGGAAAAGAAAATTTCAAGAATACTATGTGTTGGGTTTACCTTAAATGTTGTCATGTCAAAAATGGAGATCACCCCTCCTGTTGCTGATATAAGATATTTTTCATTCTTGGACAAATCAAAGCAGGACATAGAGTCTTCAGGGTTGGTGCTGGGAAGGTCATTGTTCATCAGCTCTAAGCCACTCCTTGGTTTCCATAAATTAGGGTGAACCTTGGGAGTTGCCTGCGTTCAATCAATATCATTAGAATCAAATGACCAACTGTCGCTTCGGTTTCAATTCGAAAGGAAAGAGAGGAGAAATCTAATAGGAAAGAATTATAAAGCATGTCATTCTTTACCACTCCACTAGAATTAAGGTCCTGTGGCCATTTCCAGAGAAAATGAATGCCATTTGATGCTAACACCAAATGGCATCACCTCCATTTGTGTAGAACAGCCTTGATATAATGAGAACCTACCAAAACATTTTAATGGCGAAATTTGAAACTTAAATATTAGATATTCTCATGTTGATATGCTCCCAATGCATAGGCAGAGAAAAACTATAAATCAGTCTCAGAATTGAGAGACCTCATATTGAATTATTTATTTTTCTTTTTCTGAAAGATAGAGTACTTTCAGACAGAATTGCAATTATGAAACTAGTATAGCCGATCGGCTATACTATTTATTTTATTTATAAAAATAAAATAAAATAATTATATATATATTATTTTTTATAAAATGAAACCGCCTAGCCCGCCTAGGCGGCCGATTTTTCGAAAACTTGAATTGCATTTTTTTTAAAGATTTCTTTTTTCCTGGCGGGTCTATTGCAATTATGAAACTTAAATATAGTATAGCCGAGCGGCTATACTATTTATTTATTTATTTTTAAAAAGAACCGCCTAGCCCGCCTAGGCGGCCGATTTTTCAAAAACTTGAATGGAGTTTTTTTTTCAGATTTCTTTATTCCTGGAGGGTCTAGCATCTCTGCAAGTACATTTTGGCAATTCTCAGTACCATAAGATGGGCAAAAAGAGTAAATCAAAAACTCCCAGAGAGATGCAAGATAATATAGCTGTTGGTATCGGTGGCAGCTTCTCAGGTCCTCTTCAAACAGGTTTAGATGATTCTTTCCATGCATATATTTTGCAGTCTTGTTTACTATTTAGTGTGAGTTTCCTTGTGAAAATGATTAAGCTTTCTTTGGAACACTGGTTTGATTACATTTTGCAGATCCAGAGGCTATCGAAACAGCAAGGGGAAGGCAACTGCATTTGTAAGTACTTACGTATCAATTTTTAAGTGATTATTTTCCAGTTCTCTATATCAATGAATTAAGAGCCGGTAAGGTGCTAATGGTATGAATCCATGTCTTGAGGCTTTTGAAGTGATTTCCCACTACTGCTGTCAAACATTGCGGATTAGCTTTCTTTTAGCTCCTTCATTTGAGGACCTACCTGATTGGAACAATGAGATTGTCTGTGTTCATGAGTTTATTTCAGTGGCATAGTTCTTGAAGGAGGGATGCATTCATCTGTTAAAGACATGTACAGAAGCATTTTGTATTTGATACGGCACATAGGATTTTAGGACATGGCATGCTTTTGCTTATGCTTTCAAATTTTCTTTGTTTTTTTTATTTTTGAAAGCAATCTGTATTCTGTGCGTTTGGTTGTAGTTGTGGTGGTTGAAGAAACATAGCCCATATTCAGAGACTATGTTAGATGCATTCTCTGTGTAAATATTTGGTTGTAGTCTTGGAAGTTGGGTTAAGGGATCAGATGCATTCTGTAAAAATCCACTAACATGGCCCATAAGGAGTGGCAGTATTCCATTTCTGATATTTGCAGTTGTGGTAGTTTCGAAGACCTTTACAACGGCTGAAACTATGTTGAATGTTTGAACCCTTAGGGAATGGATTTCATCTTCTCTCGGGTTAGTGCACTGCTAGCACTTCTTCAAGTATATGAACACGTTGTTTCAGTTCAGGATTTTTGCTTAATAATCTTTGGGTTAATTTAAACAACCGTGAATGAGCTTGGGAGTGGGCGGGAATGAATCATATTTGGAATAGCTTAGTAATTTTATAATTGAATAATTTAGTCCTCAACATGGTATGATGGAGTGAAGGTTTATTATGTCTTTGTAGTTAATCATTGAGTTTGTCAGATAAAATGTAAGTTTTGAAGATCTGCCTGCCCCTCTCTTTCTCATGATTGAGCGTAACAATTTCAGGCCTGATGCAGTTGCAAAGCATATGGAATGGTAGCAGTCAGCACTAATCTTACAGTATGGAAATTTCCTTTGTTCTCTTGCCTTTAATTGATTAAACATTCAGATTATCACTAAATTTAATTAACAATATTTCATTATCCGTTGGTAATTCTGAATTTATGTGCTTTTTTCTTTTCGATGTTGACGGTGATGCTATTTATTGAGTTCATGAGGACGAAGGTTCTAAAGATATCCTTGTTATTTCTATTTCATATTGACATATTGGAGACATCAAATCAGGTTGAGAGGAAAAATGTGAGGGTCATTTTTTGAAGAATTAAACTTAGTTTAACTAGAGTGCAAAATGGTTCTTTTTCATTGCTCATGAGTTTGACTCCAGCTCTTCAGTTAACTGCATCTAGAATATTGGTTTTGATTATTTTTTCATCCCTTTCAATCATATTTCAATGGATTCAGATGTTGAAGAACTGTTCAACGAGCATAAAGATCAATTTTCTCCTATATGAGCAGTCGAGTCAGTCAATTTTCTCCTATACTCTTTAAATATATTATTTAAGAAGTGCAGCCGCTCGGCTATACCCTTTGAATATATTATTTAAAAAGTACAGCCGCTCGGCTATACTATTTATAAATAAAATAAAAAAAGAACCCGCCTAGCCCGCCTAGGCGGCCGATTTTTCGAAAACTTGAATGGCGTTTTTTTTTTGGATTTCTTTTTTCCTGGCGGGTTCAGGCATCTCTGCAAATACATTTTTGTCAATTCTGAGTAATGTAATCTGGGTGAAATGCACCTTTTGGATCCGTAAGATGGGCAAAAAGAGTAAATCAAAAACTCCCAGAGAGATGCAAGATAATACAGCTGCTGTAGAAGAGGAAAACCCCTCATTTTCGGCCAAGAAATTGCTGAATCATTGGTTGAGATTCAGTTCAGGTTTACCTGAAACCAACATAACACTTAATAGTGAGTTTGAGAGGATACTGTTGGACTACTCATGGCAACGTGCCACGCCTGAAACCTTGGAAATTGGCAGAGGTGGGGTTGGCCCATTCGTAACTAGTGTCTTTTTGTGTTGTGGGGTGGGGGGGGAGAAGGATTGGGTGAATATAGTGTTTTCTAATTAATGTTGTCTATGCCACAATGCAGGCTGCATCCCTCAAAGAAAAGATTAACCGAATGTTTGGTGGAGAGCATGTACGTTTCAAGTTTATCTTCCTTCGGTCGAGTATTATGTGGATAATACATTTTTTTCAATTCTCAGTAATGTAATATGGGTGAAATGCAGCTTTTGGATCCATAAGATGAGCAAAAAGAGTAAATCAAAACTCCCAGAGAGATGCAAGATAATACAGCTGCTGTAGAAGAGGAAAAACCCTCATCTTCGGCCAAGAAATTGCTGAATCATTGGTTGAGATTCAGTTTAGTTTTACCATGCATATATTTTGGTTTTAATTTATGTTTCAATTACTAGGCATATATATGAAGCCTCATCTGATCCTACTTTCTGCAACAGGAACACTTGGAGAGCAATGAGGGTGATCCTGAAGGATGTCATTGCTGTTGGTATCGGTGGCAGCTTCTTAGGTCCTCTTCAAACAGGTTTAGATGATTCTTTCCATGCATATATTTTGCAGTCTTGTTTACTATTTAGTGTGAGTTTCCTTGTGAAAATGATTAAGATTTCTTTGGAATAAACTTTGGGTAGTGTTCACTGGTTTGATTACATTTTGTAGATCCAAAGGCTATCGAAACAGCAAGGGGAAGGCAACTGCATTTGTAAGTACTTACGTATCGATTTTTAAGTGCTTATGGTTTCAAATTTTCTTTTTGTTTATATTTGAAAGCAATCTGTATTCTGTGTGTTGATTGGAGTTGTGGTGGTTGAAGAAACATAGCCCATATTCAGGATTCAGGGACTATGTTAGATGCATTCTGTGTAAATATTTGGTTCTAGTCTTGGTAGTTGGGTGCGCGTTAAAGGATTATATGTGTATTTTTATCAGAGGATGGATGATTCTGGTCGAAGGGTGTTCTAATAATTCGTTTTACCCTGTGTGCAGTCTTGCAAAACGTTGATCCTATTGATGTTGCCAGAAATATTACAGGGTTAAATCCAGAAACTACCCTTGGTAAGCATTAAGTTTACTTACGTGTATAATACAAATATTAAACGGAAAAATACTAAATTCTTTATATGTGTATTATTATCTCTTTATTGACATCTTGTGTGGTTTCATTAAGCTTAACTTTTTGTTATTATATGTCCCTTGATGTTAACCTTTACGAAATTTGGTGTCAATGTTTGCACTTGACAGCTTTTCCAGAAGTTGTATCCAAATGAAGAATTCTTTCCTGAGACACGCTTGCCTGAGAATTTGGAGGATGACATTCCGATTAATCTAGAGGACTAATAGTATTAGGCCATTACCCGAGTCTCTATTGTCCCCCTTTGATTTTTCAATAATACATCCGTGTTTTGTACACGTCTTAAAGACTTGGTAAAATTCAATTTTTTTAAAACAGGCAAACGTGCAATATGCGTATTATACATGTACGTACATATATTTTCATGCTTAATACATGTATTTGTTTATAAAATTTTCAATGATACACACAAATTTACGTATTATACATATTATTGAATAAACATAATATATATTAAAAAATTTATATTAATTAAGTATATTTTTAACAAATAGTATAGCCGCCCGGCTATACTCGGTTTATTATTTTTTTAAAAAGAAATAGTATAGCCGCTCGGCTATGCACGGCTTCTTCCTATTTTACTTTATAAATAGCCGCGCGGCTATACTGGGTTTTGCGGAAAAATTTAAAAGAAATCGTATAGCCGCACGGTTAAACCCGATTTTTTAAAATTAGTCTAGCCGCCCGGCTCTACGCTTTTTTCTAATTTTTTAAAACAAATAGTATAGCCGCGCGGCTATACGTCGATTTTTCCTTCATTTTTTTTACCTTATTAATCGTATCAAATCCTAATTAATAAATATTTTTTTGAGTTAAACCTAATCATGAGACATTTATTAAATGATGACAAAACTTCACAAACAAAAAATCTATGTACTCAGAACCATTTAAACTAAGATTCATGCAAACCTACCATCATTCAAAACTAAAACATAGTATGGAGCTCTAAGAAGTCGTGGGAGCCATGCTATATTGTGTAATCACCACCATTACAAAAGCGGCACCAAAACAAGACAATCATTCTTGTGCACGAAAGCTTTACATTGCTCCTAATCAAACATACTACCCTCAAAGGAAATACTTGTGCAATAAAAAGGTATAGCCGTCGGCTATACTACGATAAAATAAAAAAATAAAAAATAAAAAAATAAAATAAAAAAGAACCCGCCTAGCCCGCCTAGGTGGCCCATTTTTCGAAAACTTGAATGGCGTGTGTGTTTTTTTAATTTCTTTTTTTCCTGCTTGATAACTCAGTCCTTGGTAAAGTTAAAAGTATCAGTCTATCTTCTTATCCTAAGGGTCCTCCTCCTACTCCTTCTCCCGCTCCATCTCCAGAGCCAACAATTTCTCCATATCCTGCTTCTCCAGTTCACTCTCCAGCACCATCACCTGACAGTAATCATCTCCCACCAGCACCATCCAAGGTACCTCCACATCCTCGTCCATGTCCATACCGCGGTTCTGGAATTCCTCCAAGCTCCTCACCAACTTCTCATCCTAACCCTACTGTTCCTCCTAGTTATGCACCTAATGGTTCCCCTTACTCGCCTTCTGCGAGTCCTTATACGAGTCCCTCATCTCAATTCCTCCAATTGTCTGTGAGGAAAGTGGAGAGGTGTGTTTGTCTGTATATATAATAAAGTAGAATATACATAAAGTAGAATATACACCTTAGTATTCGTCCTTTCCCAGTTTATCAAGTTTACAATTAAGATTAAGTTAATGTTTCTGAAAAAGTATGGTACATTAATTTAACTAACCTACATATATTTAAGTAAACCAAAATGCAGATACACCACTACATATATTTAATTATTATTTCTTTAGTGAATATTTAAATATATTACTATAAAGGTCTTTGTAGTAATTCAATTTTTGGGAGATTCATATTATGCTACTTAAAGGGTATAGCCGCGCGGTTGGACTTTTAAAATATTCCATTTTGGGAGTATAGTCACGCGGCCAAACTGTGAAGCAACAGCTCAGGCCACTAAGCTTCCTCTATGCAAGAATAAATCGAATGGCTACCTTGCTAGCTTGAGACCACTGAAGGGAATGCAAAGCCTAAGTCAACACCCTTTAATTCCTCTCCCATTGAAATCACTGGAAAATAGACTACCACTAATTAAAATAATTTTTAAAAAAACTAAGATTTTACTTAATAACATAAACTAAATTAAAGAAGGTCGCCAAAAAACAAAAGTAAATAAACTAATTTTATACTTTTAAATAATTAATTACTATTTATTAACTAATTTATTAAATCAGTAAAATATTTAATATTCACTAAAGAAACAATAATTAAAATGTAATACCTAATTAAAGTAATTAAAAAAGACTAACATTTTATTTAAGAATAATGCTACTCTTACCACATTTGTATACCACATCTTTATACCATCTTATGTGGCGGCTGAGGTGGATAGCCACATCAATTAAAATTATTTAATATTTTCTTTTCTTTTATGATTTATTCAAGTATTTGTTTTTCTAATTGCCTTAATTAAAATACACTTCATTGATTTAATTGATGTGACATATAATATGGACGTGTCACATCATATGGTATAGAAATGTGGAATAAACAAGTGGTAGGTGTAGCATTTCTCTTGATTTAATTACATAAATTAAATTAAAGAAGGTTGCCATAAAACAAAAGTAAAGAAACTAATTTTATACTTTTGAAGCGTATAGCTGCACGGCTATAAGTTCAGAATATTCTTTTAAATACTATAGCCATGCGGCTAGACCTCTAAAATAGAATATTTATAATGTATAATTGTGTGGCTATACTCTTTTAATATATCACCAACAATAAAAATATGGATTTATAGTGTCATATTTCCTTAAATGTATTCGAATATTTGAGTAATTTATGAAATCATTAAAATATTTAAATATTAACTAAATAATAATAATTAAAATATAATTATAAATTAAAGTAATTAAAAAAGGCTAAGATCTTACTTAATTACATATATTAAACAAAATAGTTGGCAAAAAAAGAGAGTAAAGAAACTAATTTCAAATAAAATAAAAAAATCTCTCCCGACGAATGATTTTGTCGGCAGAGACCTAAGCTGGCAAACATTTGCCGGATGAGACTTCTCCTGATGAATGTTGGCCGGCATCGGTCTATGATATTACTAATCAAAGTAATTAAAAAAGGGCTAAGATATTACTTAATAACATATTATTAAACTAAAGAAGTTGGCAAAAAAAGAAAAAAAACTAATCCGGCAATATCAACTAAAGAAAGTAATGCCATATATAAATTTTGATACAATCACAAAACCAACCAGGCTTTGAATCGAATGTCACGGGGATATCAACTCAGCAAGTCCAATTTGGGCTTGAATTCATGGGGATATAATAGGAATTCAATAAAAGGATTTCATTAATAAGGTTAAAATGAAATGTTTTCAAGTCACAAAACACACCGTTTCATTAAGAGGATTTCATTCCCCAAATTCAAAACGGCGTCGTTTCATTTTGGTATTATCAGAAAGAAAACCAGGGCGCAGTGGTCATCTTCTTCACAAGAACTGCGCCTCAGGCAGCCTCAGTTGCAGCTGCAAGAGATTTTCCGGCGAGGGGAGGTGTAGCTTAATAGGTCCGCCAGTAACAGCTTTGGTTTGCAGCAATGGGAACCAAGGGCAGCTTGTGTTTTGCAAACAGCATGGCACCGTTGTAAAAGAGAGAAGCTTCAAAAGTCTCCTAGATTGGCTAAAGAGGGTAGTCTTTCTGCCACTGATCACCATTTGTTTCAGAGTGCCTGCTCATTTAACCAGCCAGTGTTCAAAAATCGGCCTAGGCGGCGCCTAGGCGCTAGGCGGCTACCCAGAGGGTTTTTATGATGGCTCTTTTATTTCTCCTGTTTTGATGATTTTAGATTCACATGTTAAGCTATGGCTTCAACATTGTTATCAAGGCATTTTGTTTCAGAGTGCCTGCTCATTTAACCAGCCAGTGTTTGAAAAATCGGCCTAGGCGGCTACTAGGCGCTAGGCGGCCGCCTAGGCGGCTACCCAGAGGGTTTTTATGATGGCTCTTTTATTTCTCCTGTTTTGATGATTTTAGATTCACATGTTAAGCTATGGCTTCAACATTGTTATCAAGGCATTTTGTTTCAGAGTGCCTGCTCATTTAACCAGCCAGTGTTTGAAAAATTGGCCTAGGCGGCGCTTAGGCGGCCGCCCAAAGGGTTTTCATGGTGGCTCTTTTATTTCTCCTGTTTTGATGATTTTAGATTCACATGATAAGCTACGGCTTCAACATTGTTATCAAGGCATTTTGTTTCACACTGCCTGCTCATTTAACCAATTAGTGTTCCAAAAATCGGCCTAGACGGCACCTAGGCGCTGGGCGCCCACCTAGGCGACCTGGGCGTGTCTGGGTGTGTCTGGGCGAGTCTGACTCAGAAAAATGAGATGATGATGATGCTATGTGTGTGTGAGAGAGAGAGAGAGAGATGAGGATTGAAGAAGCAGATAGATCGCGGGTTATGTCTGAGCGAGAGAGAGAGAGAGGGGAGACAGCTCGAGTTAGATTTAGGGTTTGAGAAGGAAAAT